AATTCTTCAATTCTGAATGTTGCACAACCCTGGAGCATTTACATTAGAAAAGAGCCACTCAGTTCAATTTTCAACTTTTCAAATCTGTGTTTTAATGAAAATGCACATCCACTCATTTGACACACTACTTCATCGAGTGAACTCTCACTATAGACACAAACCTTGTGGGTAAAAGTCCCCCATCAGGCCCATTGGCAACCTGTTGTAGGCTCAGCCTGGCCTGGAGAGAAGAGGAGAGAGAGAATGAACTTGTGTGAGAGAAAAGGAAAGAGATGACGAGAAAGAAAGTGACAAAAATATCCCGGAAAGTTGCTCTATAATTGGTGCAGTCTGTCAGAGCCCTATTTTATGTGCGTGAACAGGGCAGGGCAGCCATCTCGTCCCCACTGAAACCCAACACTTAGAGGAACAGTTCCTCGTCCCTCCCACCTCAGCAGAGGAGAGCAGACTCCACAACACTGTGCTCCTCACTGCAGGATTACTGTGTGTGTGTGTGTGTGTTATCACACCTGTGTATGACCTTACCTGGAGCTTTATTTCTAGGAGGATGCTGCTTTGATACTTCAGGTGTCTGTGAGGTGTGTTTTTTGGAGGAGGTTGAAGAAGATCTTCTTGTTCCTACGGATTGACAGCACAGGTAAGAGTGAAGTTCATCGTTCATATCCCAAATATATCCCATCAGCAAACAGTGTTTCATTTGTGATATTTTGATCTAAGATGTTTAGTCATCATGTCTTAATAGCTCAGTCTGCTCTATAACTACTGCTTTCTTTATTCTTCCACTTTTGGGGGGGGGGGGGGGGGGGGGGGGGGGTGCTTTAGTAGAAGTAAAGGCTGTTTTTAACATTTCAGCAGAGGAAGAGTGAAGATTTCTGGTTTATTCATCTGCAGGTTGTTCCCAGGCTGGTCGTTTAGCAGAGTTTTGGAGTTTGGCCGCAGTCGGGCCCTAGAGTGTTAGTGGAGATAGACACACTTAAAGGTTTCAGAGACTCAAAATGAGAAATGTACTTGCAGACAATACAACAATTATGATAACTGATGGGTTTTTTTGACAATTCTAAACTGTCCAATAATGAAATAACAGAGGTAACTGGATCAAATCAGTCAATTGCATTGGTAACCAAAAGATTGTAGGTTATATAGAGTTGGTAAACCAAAAATGATATGTTATACTGTACATCCGTCTAATAATAAAAAGGTTGTAAGTTAGTCGATGAAAGAATGCAGGTCATGGCTAGTAACCAAAAGATTGTATTTATTGATCTGCTAAACCCAAAAATAGTATGTTTTACTGTGCGCCTAATAACTAAAAGACTGTAAATTGGTCGATGAAAGAATGCAGGTGTTGCATGGATGATAAACAAAAGGTTTTAGGGCTGGTGATCGAAAGGTTATAGGTCGTAGGGCTGGTAATGCAAAGGTTGTTGGTCATAGGACTGGTACTGTGAGTAAACAATTGTAGGTTGTCAAGCTAGTTAACAAAAGTTTGTAAGTCAAAAGGCTGGTAACCAAAAGATTGTAGATTGGTGGTCTGGTAAAAAAAAAAAAAGAAGAAGATTTCTGGTTGTAGGGCTGGTAAATGTAAGGTTGTAGCAGGGATTGAACGATTTTTTCAAAAAAAATAAAAAAAAATAAGTTGACATCTTTGTGAATAAAGTCGAGTCGACGTTGACTAGTCACTGATGACGTCATTAATGGACAAATAAGCCTGAACCTCGAGCTGAGACTTGAACGCGGGTTGCCTTGCGCACAGTTATGGCATACAGCGCTGCCCACAAGGCTATTGCATATTGCTCCAGTTCTCAGTTCTTTTGTCTTTGGGTCGTTATATTTCTCACAGATTTTTGCTCGTTCTAAATCAGATACAGAAAAAGTAGCACAGTAAAGATTACATATGAATGCATTACAGAGAGTGATTGCGTGTGAACCAATTATACCTGGCAGCGTCTCTCTACTAATAGTGAAGCTGTGGGTTTTAGTTACTAAGAAACATATGCTAGAACTTTTCAGTTTCTAAGCTAGTTTTTTGATAAATCACAGAACAGTGCTATGCGCTACTAAATGTTTCTCTATTTGCACGTGATGCGAGATACTCTGTATGTGTGTGCGTTACAATGCAGAATGGCGATTAACTTGCGTGAACAATAAGCTGTTTAACACGTGCATTCACCCGATTAATTTGTTCATCCAGATGGTATAATCAAATATATCTAGAGGAGGGCTCTCAGAGTATGCATTTATTTGTCATTTTAACTGTTGGAAACAAAGCGTAAAAGTGAACATAAAAGATTTCGTATCCTGTTGCGCCCTCTATAGGCCATGATTAGCGACTAGTCAATGTTTAAAAGCTTAAAGTGTCATGGCAGAGCATTCAAGTCGTCTAGTCTGTGCAACCCCTAGTTGGTGACCATGACCATTGTGCCCTTGGACATGGCACTGACCCACAGGTTCCATTTGGGACATTGACCATATGGGTCAACTGGGTGAACTGGGTGTTCCCTTCCACAACCATTTCATTTTAGTTATGAAAAGAATTTAGTTTTTTAACCAAGCACAGGCCCATTAGTTTCAAAATGCAACCGGTAATTTAGGCTAATAGCTTGACCAGTAGGCTGGAAAAACAAAGTGCCTTTTAAAACTTTGGACTGCTGAACTGGCTGTAAAAAAACAGTAGGCCTACATATTGGCATATATATATAATTTGATGTCTAAAATCTAAAAATAAATCATATTACATGTGTTACAGGTGGCTATTTGTTTTCACAGACACATGAAAATCCAGTATATATGTTGTTTACTGCAAATGTATACAGTTAATGTTACTAGTTAAATGAATCCGGGATACTTTCGCAGTCTCAAAGAAACATGAGAAGACCTGCTGGTCAAAGGGTTCAAAGAGCTCACCGTGCTGGGACATACTGTGGGCTTTTAAGACCAAAAGTAAAGAGCAAGCAAGACTTTCTGGGTCATATGATGATAGTGCAAACCTTCATGAAGGGAGGGAGAGCAATGAGCTATGGAAAGCAACAAAGAAAAGTCACTGAATTGTGTGAGAAGAGGCCTCTGACCATCAGTTCACGAGGAACATAATTGTTTTCCTTATGTTCTGACGGATCCAAAGAAATGGACAGTGTTCCAAAGATGCATCAACTTTTGTACTGGAAACTTTGAACTCACTAACTCAATTGATACCATTTTTACAAGTCATCAAAGTCCCATTTGCCATTGATGAAGTTAATTCTATTGTCCTTGGTGAAGGTTTTTCAGGAGAATAGCAATTTAATGCACCTGAAAGTAGGGGAACTTAGCTGAAATTGCCTGTGAGGAAAGATTGCCACATCATCAAGGCTCAGCAAACCATAATTCAATGCTTCCCAACGTTGTTGCCTCGCTCCTTGATGACAGTGTGCTCCCTGGGGCGAACTGTACTCCGCTAAATCAGAAGAACACCCTATTTACAGCGAAACATCAGTTCAGCTTAGCCAGAGGAGCGTGGTTAGTCACCAGTAATGTATATATAGTTTGGTGAACAGGGGAATGAATTACAGATGGACATAAATCTGTTACCCCACCTTGTTCACTCGGTTTCCTGATGGAGATCTATAATCTTTCATTATGTGTTATTTATAATATTATGCAGTCCCCCCAAATACCTCACCTCACATTCATGCTAGCACTTTTGCTAATGTATCTGTCTATAGACAACAAATATTATTTCTTCACTATGCACTTAACAAATCATATTTAGTATCACATTCAGGGAATACATTTTTTAAATTTCCACCAGTCATATATGGATGAATCTCAATCTCACAGAGAGAGGTTTTCTCTGCAGACATTTACTATTCATTTACCTATTATTTTCAGTGATTTTACAAGACTTTTTATGGTAACACTTTACGATAAGGTTTCAATTGTTAACATTAGTTAATGTATTAACAAACATAAACTAACAATGAGCAATGTTACTGTATTTATTCATCTTTGTTAATATTACTTAATACAAATACAGCTGTTCATTGTTTGTTCATGGCAGTTCAAAGTGCATTAACTAAAGTTAACAAATACAACTTTTTATTTTTATAATGTATTAGTAAATGTTGAAATTAACATTAACTAAGATTGATTAATGCTGTAGAAGTGCAGTTCATCCTTATTTCATGATAATTCAAGTTTAAAACCTTATTGTAAAGTGTTACCCATTTTACTTGTGTAATACGCAAATAATTGTAAGAAAAAAAAGTAATAATTGTATTTATATTGTACTTAAATTGGTAAAATAGTAGGGATGCACCGATATGAGCATTTTGGCTGATACCTATAACCGATAATTCTTTATATTTTGAAAGCCGATAACCGATATATCGGCCGATAAATCTAAATCCAAATTTATATATGATTTATGAGAGCCTGATTACAAAAGCAAAAGTTTCACCATTTAAAATCCATGTCTCAAGCACACAATTATAATATCCTCATGATTAATGTAGCCGATATATGACACATGTTGCACTGAACTATATTTTCCTTTTTTGAATTGATTTTCAATAATTTTTTAAGCAATTCATAATCATCATGTTGAACAGTGCGCATCTGAAGTGTCTCAGCTGAAGGAAATAATACATTATTTATCGGCTTTAATATATCGGCCAAATTGTCTTATCGGGACGATACCGATAACATTAAAAATGAACCGATATCAGCCGATACCGATATGGTGGCCGATATATCGTGCATCTCTATAAAATAGTCCTGTATTCACTTGTATACTGTGTTTATGAGCATGATGGTTCATTTTGTTATTGACTCAAACTAAAACGGTAACTTGGAAAGTAATCAGGATTAATGTGGGCTGCACCAGTAGTACATCAGTAAGAAATGTTATAGCACACGGCTAACATGAATCATACACTCCACTTCTGTTTGCAATCTATCAATATACCTCCACTCCGAGTCAGAATGACTGATCACCGAACATTTGTTCTCATTTCTCCACTGCAGCAGCAACTTGATGATCATCGCACCTTAGTGGGAATATCAGCAAACAACAGCGGAGAAGGAGATGGAGTTTCGATTCGGGCTCAGGATCTCTCTGGTCCTGACCATACTGGCCCTGACTCTGTACGGAAGGGGTGTTGAAGGACAAAGGGCAGGTGAGGTCACATACTAGCCTAAATATACTGTTTTCATGACCCCTAACCACATCTCTGTTTAACTTTAGCTTGGTGGCTCTAATTCTGACTCTCGGTGAGTCTGTTATGTGTGCAGACTGAGGTTTTGCACCTGAGAAACTAATAGCTTTGAGTTCTCTGTCAAATTCAGTCCATGTATTATCCAACCAGACCATGGTACACTGACAGAAACACAAACCTCATAAATCTGTGGCTAAACTCTATACACACTGTCTGTAAAATTGCATGTCTTTTGTCCCAGGTTGCAAGAATGTCCACTATGATCTGGTATTCATCTTGGACACCTCTTCCAGTGTGGGCAAGGAAAACTTTGAGAAGATCCGGCAGTGGGTGGCAAACCTGGTGGAATCTTTTGACGTAGGTGCGGAGAAGACACGTGTGGCCGTGGTTCGCTACAGTGACCGTCCCACCGCCGAATTCAACCTGGGCAGGTACAAAACTCTCGAGGAGGTCAAGCGTGCCGCTGGGAACATCCGCTACCTGGGTGGGAACACCAAAACTGGAGATGCCATCAGCTTCACCACCAACAACATCTTCACGGAGAGGACAGGGGCAAGACCCGCCGCCAAGGGTATTCAGAAAGTTGCGATCTTGCTGACGGACGGCAGGAGTCAGGATTTTGTTTTGGAGCCATCGGTTGCTGCAGCGGCTGCTGGAATCAGGTTGTTCGCTGTAGGGATTGGGGAAGCTCTTAAGGAGGAGCTGGAAGAGATCGCCGCCGAGCCCAAAAGTGCTCATGTGTTCCACGTGACGGACTTTGACGCCATTGACAAGATCAGGGGCAGGTTGAGGAGGAGACTCTGCGAGAGTGAGTATTGATGACTTTGACCTTAAACCACATATGTTATTAAAAATAAAGGTTCCAAAAAGAGTTGTTGTTTTTTTGCAGTGATGCCATGGAATAACCATTTTGGGTTTTTTAAAACATTTTAAAAATCTAAAGAACCTTTTTCCACTATAAAGAACCTATTGTCCAATTAAATGGTTCCAGGGATATTAAAGGTTCTTCACAGAAACATAGATGCCAGTACATTTCTTTACACAGTCAGATAGGTTAGGTGGGAGTTGACTTAACACAGAGTCAGCTTGACCATTGACCGACTAAAAACATCAGTCATTTAATATGCTTTTGTTGGCAACTTGGCACACATTCCCATTCACAAGAAGGTCTGTTCTGTGCCATACAAGACTTGTTGGACAGGAACTGGAAGCTCTTTGGCCAGGACATTTATGTGGTTTCTTGCCTCGGTGAGCTCCGAGTAAAGAGGTGTATTAAATACAGAAGACAGAAAAGCTCAGAGCTCAAGTGCTTTTCCAGATCACATCGGCTCTGCAGGCAAAGATAACCTAAGTACATGTGGGATAGTCTTTGGAGGCCATTACAAACAACAAGCTTGCATTAAAACTATGAATATAGATTCAAAAATACATAAACCCAAACCGTTGAGGTATGTGGCCTGGATTGACCATGCAAATGCAAATTATGTATATGCGTAGTACGTTTTTAGTGATGATGGATGCTTAGCCTTGACATTCCTCTCTAAAATTAGCGTGAACGGGAGAGCGACGACACCTGGAGCTCTTCAGTTTAAAGTGGAAATCTGAGTCCGGAGTAGCACTTCCGCTTTCCAGAACTCTTGTGTAGTCAAAGCAATATAAAAACATTACATATACAGTGGTGAAGCGGTCTTTTGTTGAAGGTACAATCGTTGGGATTTGAAGAGGTTGTAACACAAGCCTTCTCCAATGCCTGCTTTAAATCAGACAGCCAGGAAGATAGGGAACCATTGGACTTGGCAGGGAGATGGAGAGATTAAAAGAGAAAGAGATAAACTGATTTATTGTGAACCAAACCCTTGACCCTGCCTTGATTCCAACCAAAGGTCCTCCTCTGAGTGACTCTACGTGACTCAGAAGTGCAGAGATATCAACTCAAACATTTCACTGCCAGCTTTAGACTTTGATTGTCCTTTAAGAATTTAGAACTGAATATCAGGTCCAGTTCTGTGATTACCAAGATAATCTGGCACTAGCATTGGCATCTAAGAATACTGGTGGCTAGAAATCATGGCATCTCCAAGGTCCAAGTTATTTTTGCTCTGAAAATTACAGTCCTAATGTTTCAAGTGGAACTTGGCTTCACCGTACTGCGTTTTTACTTTTTAATCTTTGGCTTTTAATTTTTTTTATGTGAAAAGATAAAAAGCATTACCTCATCCAAGGGCACAATTAGCATTATTTTAATTTATGAAATGTGATTACCCATAATGCAGTTTTTTCTTCTTTGGAAAGAAAATCATTTAAGGAAAATGACATTTCCTTCTCTAAAAGTTGGTTGGAATCAGTTTTTCCCTTTCTTTCTTTCTTTCTTTCTTTCTTTCTTTCTTTCTTTCTTTCTTTCTTTCTTTCTTTCTTTCTTTCTTTCTTTCTTTCTTTCTTTCTTTCTTTCTTTCTTTCTTTCTTACTTTCTTACTTTCTTACTTTCTTTCTTTCTGGTTAGTAATAATAATTTAGAATGAATTGCCTAGGTAATGTTCACCATAAATTCAACAGATTTTGTTGTTGTTGTATTTTCATCAGCGTAAAAGGGAATATATGATATATTAGTAAAGTGTACATTTTTGTACTAAATTCATAAATAATTATTTTTTGACCAGGATGTGTTACAATAATGACAATGATATTTGTGCTTACAGGGGTAGTTCACCCAAAAACGAAAATTAGCCCATGTTTTACTCTCCCTCAAGTCATCCTAGGTATGATATGACATTTTTCTTTCAGACGAATACAATCGGAGTTATATTAAAAAATGTCATGGCTCTTCCAAGCTTTATAGTTGCAGTGAATGATCGTTTTGAAGTGCATAAAACATCTATCCATCATAAACGAACTCCACACTGCTCCGTGGGGTTATTAAAGACCTTCTGAAGCGAAGCAATGAGTTTTTGTAAGAAAAAAATCCATATTTAAAACTTTATAAAGTAAAATAACTAGCTTCCGGCTAAACGAACATTCGGATTCCACTTAGCGCAACTTATGCGAGTAATGCGACGCACTGCTGATATTTACGCTACGCCATGACACACTACGCTACTTCCGACGTCACAAGTTGCGCTTTAGGCGTAAGTAGACTGCGTATGGCTGTTTCGCCAGAAACTATAATTTTACTTTGTAAAATTTTCTTACACAAACTCATCGCTTCAGAAGGCCTTCATTAACCCCCCGGAGCCACGTGGAGATTGTTTATGATGGATGGATTCACTTTTATGGACTTCAAAACAGAAACGGCCATTCACTGCCATTATAAAGCTTGGAAGAGCCAGGAGATTTTTTAATATAACTCTGATTGTATTCGCCTGAAAGAAGAATGTCATACACCTTGGATGGCTTGAGGGTGAGTATGGGGTAATTTTCATTTTTGGGTGAACTATCCCTTTAAAGGTGCCTTGTGTAAAAAAATCAATTCAAAATCCACATATTCCATACCAGATGGGGGCAGTATACCAGAAAGTTGGCCTACTCTAGTCTGTTTTTTAGTTTCGGGTTGTTAATCTTCTAAAACCGTCAAATCGTCCGCTTTGTCCCTCCAAAGCCTATTTTGATCGGTTAGTGATGTAGAATAGAATGACTGCTGCGCTTTACAGGGCGCATAACGAGCAGAGAGAGAGAGAGAGCGCCCCGGCCGCGCGTGCGCGCACTCTCACATCTTTAAACAACACGAGCGCAGTCCTCCTGCTCTCTCTCTCCCTCGTGCATATTAATCAAATTAATTGACACGATCGTAAGACCGCAGTTCATTTGGAGATTTTTAGAGATTAGAGACTCAATGAACAACATCTCAACACTAAATTATAAAGGCCAGTCTCATATAGACGCGATAGGCTTTATGCCGAGCGTCACGTGACCAAGCCGGAAAACAGGTCACATCGCTTCCGATTCAGGGCTTTTGTATGTGCTTCATGAAATTTTTTGCGGTTTTACTCAAGATAACTTAAAAGGAGCACGCAAAAATGAGCACAACCAATGTCCCTCGCATGTGCAGATGGATATTTAAAAGTTTTTTAATTTTTCTTCTTCACACTAACGTTTATATATTTAAACAGCATAAAACACCAATAACAAAGTGAATTTAGTAGGTTAGCTGATTACCTTAAAAATCCATAGATATCGTAGTTAGTTCTTACGGCCGTTAACACTTTCTCTGACAAGCGGATGCAATGAGACCTGTTTTCCGGTTTGGTCACGTGACGCTCGGCATAAAGCCTATTGACATCAGGTTCAAGTACGCCCACAAGCCGTGCGAGTTATTCGTGTATTGGAGTTTGGCTGGTGGTTATGTATGTTGCCCGCATACCGCCTCCCATGGCCGAAACTGGTATTATGACACTGGCCGGGCCGGGGCGCGATATTTTTTTTCACAGGATGGTAGGGGAAGACTCATGAATATTCATTAGGGAACTCATCCCTGATTGGTCTTAACCCCAGTGACTGGTAGGTTTAGGGGCGGGGTTAGGGGTAGGTCATCAGACCCCCAGTGACAGGTAGGTTTAGGGGCGGGGTTAGGGGTATGTCATCAGACCAATCAGGGATGAGTTCCCTAATGAATATTCATGAGTCTTCCCCTACCATCCTGTGAAAAAAAATATCGCGGCCGGGGCTAGTAATTTAGCATGCTAATTCAGGTTTATATCTCGGCAGCACTATGACTTGTCATTTTTTTAATGACATCATTGCATTTATTTCTTCTCATTCTTTTGATACGTGTAGCTCATTTGTTGGATATTTTTACCTCAATTTTTACATATGGCACCTTTAACTGTCATTAAAATAGTCTTACAATGCAAACAACAACATTCTTTATGCAAAATATAATTTCCTTTTGATTAAATGGTGAATATTACTTCCAGCTTTATGATAATACAGGAAGTGCACTGGGACATTTTTAGCATGCTTGAAATAAACGAAAAGTGCAAAGCGTGTTTGACTAGTAGTTTCATCACTTAGTGTATCTGGGCTTTGGTTCAGGTCGGTTGTCCACCCATGACCACAGCATGCCAAATCTGTAATCAGTGGTGGGACGCTGCTAAACAGAACAGAAGTGCACTGTAATATGTTGGGTGTGCTAAAATATTTGATTGAGCCATTCCCTTGTGTTTCAGAGTATAGTTTGCACACTTGCTGGAGGATTTAGATGTGTTAGCCGGGAAGAATGCTGAACAGGAAGTGGAATATTTTGGGTTGGACTTCTCAGAACACGTTTAATAGAGTAGGACTGTCTCTGAATGAATATCGCATCTGAGGAAACTTGGATGTGAGATGTTTCAGTTGTTGATACTGGCGTTCTGAGTGGTTTTAAATGCGTGCAGTTGCAAGTGTGTTTTAGATGGTGGCTTAGTGGCTTTTTAGCTACCGTTTGAGAACTTCAAGTCTGAGCTAAAGTAAAGTTGGTAATGGTTTTACAAAGTCCTCTATCTATATGACTCAACACTTTCTGCATCTCTAGCCTGAAATGTCAGGGTGATTATTTGCTAGTTTCATTGATCAGCCGGTACCAGTTGGCCCTTTTGTAAGCATAAATAAATACATCAGCTTGGTAAATGATTTGTCATTTGAGACTAGTATTTTATGAATTGACTAATGTCAATACAGTGCAAATTGTCATGTGTATATGCATCCATTAGATACTTAACCAACAACATCTGGTAACATTTTGCAGGTGCATCATAATTTATTTTTAGTTATATTCATTTAACCAGCTGATTATCCTTAGCATATCTGATATGATTTTTTTTTTGGTGTAATCCAATCACAAATTGATTGCTCTAAGAAATAAGCAAGAAAATAAATGCAAAAGTCTTTGAAAAACAATGTAGAAATGCAGTACTCGGTCCATCATTTTAGTTTCATGGCCATCCACTAAATTACAGCCTTTAAGCCACAGCTGAAGGAAGTTGCCCTCGATAGAGCACAGTTAGAAATCACTCATACGTGCCATTTAAACAATGACGCACGACTAGCTTTTGATTGCTTTGTCATTTCGCCAGTCAAAGGAAATAGGTACGTCGAAAACAACTCTTTATGGACAACCACATTTTGTTAGTTACTTTTCATTTAGCAGCATCCCACATAGCAAGCAGTCTGGCCCGAATGTGTCTTCAATCTGGCACTGCTGGCCTCCTGTCGACAATGACATGTCTCCTGTCTGCCAGAGCTGGGCCATGTATGGCAATGATGGCACAGCATGATCACGGCAAAACACATGAGGGACGAATGTTGGTGGGAGGAGTGTGGCCCAGACCAGTCCATTGATAATCTGGTCCAAATCAGGCTTGTGACCATGGGCCATATAAATGCATTTTATCTGGCCCAGCTCTGTTCCACAAAACCCCTTTTCGCTCGGCTCACGTACAGCAAAGAATGATGGCCCTGTAGTGGCCCAGATCTGGATTTAAGACTAACCCCACAAATGGGCTATAACTGGTCCGAGTCTCAGCCAATTAATGACCCATAACTTGCCCTGCACTGGGCCTGAATAGGTTTTAGTATTGGTACAGATTATCCTTAAGATTTGGATTACAGCACTAGAATGTAATACTTTTATGATAATTTTATTGTGTTTGTGGTCTATTTTACACCACATGGTAATGGTAAAATTATCACAGAAATGTCAGTTATTTTCATTCTGTTATAACTTGTCAATTCAAAGATTAATTTTAAACAATACTTATCTTGAAAATTTTGAACTGAATCTCTGTGATAATTTCACCATTATCGTGAGGTATTTTAATTAATTGTGTTCACCATGAAGTACATCATTTTATTATATGTACTACCAATACTAAAACCTATTCAGGCCCAGTGCAGGGCCAGTTACGGGTCATTAATTGGCTGGGACTAGATAGGCCAGTAATAGTCTATTTGTGGTCCTAGTCTTTAATCCATATCATTCTTTGCGGTATGTGGGCCGAGGGAAAAGGGGTTCTGTGGAACAGAGCTTGGCCAGATAAAATTTGCTATGTGGGGTGGGGTGGGACTTTTTGTGTTTTAGGAAGGTTGTGGACACAGGAACATGACCTGTTTGCAGTAACACAGAAAGAGAAACCTCAAGTTACTATGCACATAAACGCCTTGAAAACGATACATCCGCTGTACTGCAATAACTTGGCTCACATAACGAATACAACTCAAATATAGAAAGCCAGGTGCTCTTTTCTCCAACCTTTATTTATCCCCGGGTGGGCGGCTGAGCTCTTTATTTATTCGTGGTCAGGAGGGTGATGTTTGGATCAGGGCAGGGACTCGCTCGGGGGTGTGGGGGTTTGGGAGAGTCACGCTGAGGACACTGTATCGGACAGAGATGTAATTGTGTCAAGTGACCCAGCCTCTGTAAAGTGGAACTCGTAGTGAAAGTGGGGCCTTTTAAACGCTACAAAGCACTTTTTATAGGAGCGATTAAAGAAAATTACAGGGTCTGATTGTACATGATTGTCAGGGACGCGATCAGCCGCTGTGGTTTGGGCGTCTGCCTGGTTCATGCCAAGAGTGTGTGCACGTATGAGAGAGAGAGAGAGAGAGAGAGAGAGAGAGAGAGAGAGAGAGAGAGAGAGAGAGAGAGAGAGAGAGAGAGAGAGAGAGAGAGAGAGAGAGAGAGAGAGAGAGAGAGAGAGAGAGAGAGAGAGAGAGAGAGAGGCATAAAAAGACATTGAAATCATTTGATCGATGGCATATTTAGGTATTATAGTATGATTTTGTGCATTATTCTACCAATTAACACCCAAAGAGCATATACGTTATAAGGGTGAGTAAATAATGACATAATATTTATTTTTGGCTAACAGCTACCGTGTGTGTGTGTGTGCATGCATGTGGAGTGATGGGAATCACATTACCTGTACATCTTTTCCTGTACTCTCTTTTCAATTAAAAGTAACAAAAAGACCAAACAAAAGCAATAAGCAGTCATCCATAGTGTCTAAGCTAATATTAGCATCCTTCCTTAGCACTAGCAAGTTCCTCTCTATAAATAGCACATTCTCATCACAGATGCCATAGTAAAGCAAGTCTGCTGGTGTTACGTTTCTTCCTGTCATCACTGCTGTCACTAGCAATGCATCGCCATTTGAAATCTGCCCGTTTGTACGGCCTAAATTATCACCGCTGTGACGTTAGCATAGCTGCACTCCACCAAACTCTAAGCTCACTGCGACCAACCTGTAACTTTCCCCACTTCTATGAGCCAATGTCATAGAGTCGTAAGTTATGCCACCATGTCTTCGCTGGAGGGCTTGGAAAGGATCCTCTAACAGTCTGTCTTCAAGCACAGAGAGGAAGATGGATAATATTACAGTGAAAGTCACTCTCAACTGTTCATTTTCTTCAGCTGCCAGTAAAATCATACCTCTTCAAAGAGGGCAATGTTTACTGTTTAGAAAGATTATGGCATTCCTATTTAGGTATCATCAAAAAAAAAAAAAAATCCTAAAAAGCTTTACAGGGGTTCTATTATGCTCATTTAAAGGTTCATAAATTTGTTTATGGGGCACACTGGAATATTTTTTACACCATTTAATGTTCAAAAAATTATTATTTTTCATTGTTCCAGCACCTGTTCTCTCTGAACGCCCTGTTTTAGTTTCGGTTTCTTAAAAACCTGCCTTCCGAAAAGCGCAGTCTGTTGTGATCGGTCAATCACAGCATGTGTCTGAAATGTAACACTACAGTAATATCTTTAATTTCTAGTAAATTTCGAGATTTAGGATTTTTGAGACTTTATCTTTGCAAATTTGACTTTGAGACATCATTATTTTGCTTTTGAAACTCTAGAAGAGATATGTCTTATTCAGATGTCAGGCAAAAGTCTCTATTTAAACTTGTTTTCTAACAGCAATTGAGATATTAAAGAAAAGTCATGCATTATTTTTTTTTCTCATTAAGTGCCTTCATTGGAAAAAAGGTTATATCTATTTTCATCCTAATTATGTCTGTATAACATAAAACATTTAAATGTTAAATAATCGTGAGTGAAAAGGTTTGTCACGGGCGAAATACCTCGGCAGATTGCCTGGGCACCTGGAACCAGTACAATAAAATGTCAACAAAAAAAAATTTAATTTCACACTATGAATTATTGATGGAGTCTGCTCTCACTAAAAGCAGATGTTTAGACATTTCAGGAGTGTTAATAAAGCATGCATCACATTAACCCAAACAGGACTAAAAAATATTACGATTCTAACTGTAGAAATAAATTGCTCTATATAATCCAAGCACCTGTGAAGAGCTGTGTAGTTCCTAAGGTCGTTTTGCCATCCAAAAATATGTTCACCCATAATGTTGTGTTTCTCTCCACAGATGTTCTGTGTCCCAACATGAAAGTCCAGGCAGGACGTTTCAGACCGAACAGCACCAGTGCTGGACAGACGGAGGTCCCAGGTAATGTGTCCATGTTCTTCCCATAGTGCTTTGGTGTTAAAAGTGTCATGAAAGGCCCTCAGCGTCGTATCAATTCACTGTTCGCATCTGAGGAAAAGTTCACATGGTTTCATTGATAATAATCTCATAGGATATGAGATGTTTTCAGCTCACCTTGTTGCAGCTCTAAATCCATTTGGTATAAATTGGCTTTTTAAATTAAAATCTATTGTCTTCCATCATTTGCGACGTTAACATCCCAAAACTAGTATTTTATGATACTTTAATATATGTTTCATCTTCAGATGTGAGAAAACGAAAACTTTTCTTCCTCTCACGGTTACACGGTTACATGAAAATCACCATACTGTATTTTATTTTCCGATTAGAGGTCAAAAATAAAGTGCACGGCATAATGATTCTGACATATGGACTCCCAATCTTGCACTTCAGAGTCTTTTTTTGTGTGGATGTAAGTATTAATACCACAAACTACAAGCCTAGTTTCTACATTTAAAGTACTTTTGGATCAGAAATAAAGCATTCTTTTCCCTGAAGGTTATGCTTTAAAACATGAAACATTGCAGCGGGACATCGAGGTTTCGAAATAAGAGATCTTTTGCCCTCCTCTGTTCTAAGAAACGTGGAGTTCTTTAGTGATTACACAGATCTGGAAGGATGTTGTGTTTGGGTCTTCAGGGGGTTCTGAGTTCCTCTGCGAGACTCCCACTCAAATTCATCAACCTAAAGTAAGAAACCAGACCAAAACAGAGAGAGAGAGCACTTACCTGTGCAAGAAAATGACTATACAATCTGGTGCTATAGGGGTGTGTGGAATGGAAGGACTGATTCACTGCAGGCATATACAGACACTGCTGTATGTACAAAATGGTCAAGAGAGCTGTTTTTCATAAATCTGATGAGTTTGGGTCATGTTTTAATTGCTCAAATCTCTCTTGATGTCGTAACCCTGGAAAATGATTTATGTTTCTTCGTTTGACATATTTTATATCTGCATTGCTACAAAAAAGTAAAAAAAACTTTCTAAAGTCTCTGAAATGTGGTCCATTTGACTAACTATTCTACTTATAATAAGGAAAAGTGCTGTCTTTGGTGTTTGGGTGAAGTTTAAAGTGTGATCTCTCCATGTCTGAACATCATTTGTGGGTCACTGCGCTTTCCTCATCGTTCCTGTCATCTTCTTGACGTTTGTGCTTAGATCTGTTTGGTTGCAGTTCTTTTGGATTGCACCGACTAGACTAGATCTCTCCTCCTTTGGTGTTAATTATGGTGTCTTGCTCCTGTAATCTGCGATATTCAAGAGAACAACACAAGCTAAATCTTCAGGGAAATTCCAGGTTCACATGAGATGTCACAATTGCTGAAACATCTGCATGCTGTTTCTGAAGTTTGGAACGTCAGTGTTGGCCAAAAGGCCAAAATGGACATAAAATATTGCTGACTCATCTGTAAAGTAACTTTAGCAATACAAAAGTAGTTTATTTCTAGCACTTGCACACTAGATAACACTCTGATGGAGTGTTTGACAAATGTGTAAGATGTGTTTTGAGGGGTTGGAAAGTTCAAGTATACAGTAAATTGGATTTCTGAAAGCATAACTAGACATCTCTGAAATTCTCATTGATCATCAGTGTGTTAGAATGCATTTGAACCAACTTTTCTCAACGTTTGGTGCACAAACCCTGGTTTTCTTCTAAATCTGCAATGCACTATTAAATCAATGGAGTTGCCTGCATTGTGGGGTGTAAGTGCACTAACTAATTTTAATCGTTCATATAATTCAACTTAGCTTTTTACTAATGTTTTAAGGTACATTCACACCAAATAATCCGCATAAAGATTACTATAACGTTTAATGATAACAACATTAGCATCCTCTGACCATTAGCTATATGTTTCTCGTCTGCCACTTTAAATGATCGAGCTCTTTAAAGCAGGATAGATTCTGATTGGGTGTCAATATTTTTATCATCCATCACCTGGGGAAATTTTTTTTATGAAAGTGATCCCAACTAAATTGTTTCTCTGTGCTGTTATTACTGTTATAGTTGTGGTGTGGACTGCAATTCCTTGATATTTATAACGATTAGAACTATTTTTATATAGCCTATAATGTAGCCTATAGCTATCGGCCTTGGTATGACTGTATTTATGAAACTTATGGGCTTATAAAATGACATTTTCAACATTACATTTGCATGATTTGGAAGATGATATATCCAAATCGCATTAAATGTAGGCTATGTTTAGCGCATGCGCGGCCACGGAAGATTTTCAAAAGCGGATAGGTGGAGGGAAAATAAATTAAACAGATTAGGCCCTATGGGTCTCAAGATGCATTGTGAATAGTTTAATTATTTTTTAAACATCTTAAAAACATTGCGCTTATGCAACTAAATGCTGAGGGGACAAAACATCAAGATGTCCATTTAGCGCATGCGTCTGGATCAAAGACTTGGCTGTTAAACCACAGAGAAGTTTGTCACGCTGACACACTGTGTGACCGTTTTAAAACGCTGCCGTAGCGTTTTTATGCGGTGACATCTAGTACTTAAGGGGGCTGGTTTCTATGGTCGTCGCGTTGTGTGCTGGAGTGCCCAATTGTTCCGATCAAAGTCATGCGTCTTAACGCGCTCATCCGTGCCGCGCCGCAGAACCCTCGCTCTCTCACTGTTTAAAATAAGACTCGCTCGTGATTATACGCTTTTACTCGCCACTCGCCAGGCCCAAATTACAGGTCCTGCAGGCGAAACGCTATCGAGAGAGAGAGAGAGAGAGTCGTGCCTGGCGCATGGAGACGCAGAGACAAACAGAGAGTTGTGGAAATGAGCTGAGAAACGAACAGCTGGAGAAAGAGTTGAACATGGTGTGAAATCAAACAAACAGTATAAACATACAAGTGATGGAGAACACCAGGGGAAATTGTTCTAAGATGATGAACTGAGGTTCAGACACTACAAATTAGTATACTATACTTAAAGAATTTTGATGCCATAAATACCTGACATTTTTTATTTGCTGACTATCTAACCAGGTTTGATGTCAATCATGTTGAACAGCATTGGTTCTCATGTGTCATGTTAACGAGAAAGAGATTTTAGAGCAATATTTTCTGCAAACAACTGCTTAAATTTAGCTTTGTTCATTGCTTCAGACAACAAGTACCATATATAAGTAATTTGGGCTACTTTTTAGGGTGTTAAACATCTCCTTCTGTGTGTTAAAGTCATACCGAGTTGGAAAAACAAGAGGGTGAGTAAATGATGATACATTTCTCTTTCTTTTTTTGTGAACTATTCCTTTAAGGGGCAAATGACACTATACTTGCTCTATATGCAAATATTGATTCATCTATTGGTCCAATGTTTTGAAAACTTATTTTTAAATTGATACAGCTTTCATGGCACAAGAGACTGCAAAAGCATCGAGATGTACCATTACGGCCAAAGATGTCAATTAAAAAACTAGCACAGATGGAACATGAGAAAGTGTGAACGGCCCCCTATAATGCTGGTCTGGCAGAAACCATGAGGGATTTGTTGTGCAAAAAAAAGCTTAAAAGATGAAAAGTGCTTTTGTTGTTTTATGCATTTTTTGTACTTTGCTGTTAACAGGGTATCTGCTTTCTTTCTACGTCCTCAGCCACCTGTTACTCTATTACAGACACACACACACTTGCACGTTCTCACATTACCACCAAGTTAAACAACTCCTAACATCCTTCAGTTCAAATAATCGTAGACTGTTTAAAAGAGCCCCCGTTTGCTGACACGAACACACCTGCCCTAAGAAAACAACATGAGAGTTCATCAAGTGAACGTGAGATTTAACAGGCGGCATATACACAAACCATCAGCGGTTCATGTACAGTATCGAGAGCTCTTTTGAACGTTTAACTCAACCAGCATTAAAGTGTGTCGCAGATCGACCCCTGACTTTCTTCCTCAGACAACGCCTAGGGCCCCACTGGCATCGCCATGGCGACAGACTATGTATTGGTTAAAGGAGCGCCCTGGTTTGGCCCCTATACTAGGGTAGAAGGCCAATACTGCCAACCTCTCTCTCTCACACACACACACACACACACACACACACACACACACACACACACACACACACACACACACACACGCACGCTGGAGCACCACTGACATAATTGCACATGAAAGGTTGGTTTTTAAAACATCTGGTGCAGCAAGTGCAGTTTAATGAGTGTTGGCTGTGGATCTGAAGCATTAATTAATGGGCTGATACACACACACACACACACACACACTTAACTATTTAAAAAAAAACAATGATGTCATGTTTGATCCCAGAGGCATGGATTTTTTTGTGTGAATATGGAAATTGGCCCGAGTGAGGCGTGTTGTTTTGCTCGTGGATATGGAGGAGAGATATTAACACTTAAAACACAGCTGATCAGTTTGACCGTAATTTGCTCTTTACTGGGATTTGTTTCAATTTATGTCCATTATACTTGATTCTGATTGGTCAGTCATGGTATTTTGTTGTCAAATATTTGATGTTAATGTAGACTGTTGTCTAGTTCACCCAAAAATGAAACTTCTGTCAGTAATTACTCACCCTCATGTCGTTCCAACCCCGTAAGACTTTCGTTCATCTTCGGAACACAAATTAAGATATTTTTGATTAAATCTGAGAGCTGGATCACTCCTCCATATAGGCTTCTTAAGGGATCGAAACTGGCCGGCCCAAAAGTTATGAAAGACATCGTTAAAATAGTCCGAGTGACTACAGTGGCTCAATCTTAAGTTTATCAAGCGGCGAGAATACTTTTTGTGCGCAAAAAACAAACAAAAATAACGACTTTATTCAACTATTCATTTCCTTCTCTGTATGGCCGTGATATTTCACGTAGTGATATTGCGCAAAGCTTCTGGGTTGTACGTCACGCATCACACACATGACCAGCGTCGACCAATAGTGAGCCTGCGTGTGACGTGCAACCCAGAAGCTTTGCGCAATATCACTACGTGAAATATCACGGCCCACAGAGAAGGAAATGAATAGTTGAATAAAGTCGTTATTTTTGTTTGTTTTTTGCGCACAAAAAGTATTCTCGTCGCTTGATAAACTTAAGATTGAGCCACTGTAGTCACTCGGACTATTTTAACGATGTCTTTCATAACTTTTGGGCCGGCCAGTTTCGATCCCTTAAGAAGCCTATGGAGGAGTGATCCAGCTCTCAGATTTATTCAAAAATATCTTAATTTGTGTTCCGAAGATGAATGAAAGTCTTACGGGGTTGGAACAACATGAGGGTGAGTAATTACTGACAGAATTTTCATTTTTGGGTGAACTAACCCTTTAAGTGATTTCCTATTTTGCTGTTAGTTTCATGTCCCTTTTTGACTCTCTTTCTTCAGTTTTTTTTTATGCTATATATAATACATACATTTTAAGAGTCCTTACACAGGTCAAGCTGTTTGGCCAATGGGTGGAAATATATATAATAATATGATAAATACAAACATTTATTTGTATATATATAAAAAATATATAATTAACGTTTAATTACTCATTTCATGCATTATTTTGAGTCATTAAAATGAACATGTGATAAATTATATTTGAACTTAAACTGAACGTGTCTGTTTACGGATTTTTTAAGCACTGCCATATGAAATTTGCTAGATCAGTAAACGTGCCTAGCCTAGCAAAAACGTAGAAGCTATATTATTGCATATAGGCCTTCTTTTGTTTATTGCACTATGATATTATGTTTTAATCTTATTTATCTCTTTTTTTATAAGAGTGATCCTCTACTTACAGAAAGATTTAGGAAAGTTCATTTACAGTATGTTGTCATTTTGACCTGTCTCTTGGACTCCACCTAGTGATCATTGATGGAAAGACGTGTTAACGATAATCTACAGTACAACATGTTCCTCAATCAACATCTTTGTAGATCCTAGAACAACGTTTTAATCAACCAATCAGATTTGAGGGACAAGTTTACAGTTAATGTCAAGTTTTTTTCTTCTTCTCTGGTCTCAGGTTTTGATTTGATGGAATACTTCAATGTGAGAGATTTTCTTGGAGAAAAATTTGAGCCAGGTCAGACCCCGTATGTCCGGCTCGGTACCATGCCCATCGTCCAACAAACACAGTAAGTGAATCATTACTTGCAATGGAATATTAAAAAAATGCTTTATTTTAATGTTGTTTTTTTTCTGCAGTTTTTCTCTTTTTAACCAAGCTGTCTTTGTTTCTTGTGTTGTAGAGATGTCTTGCCGCAGGGTCTGCCTGATGAATATGCCTTCGTGACCACATTTAAGTTCAGGAAGACGTCTCGTAAGGAAGACTGGTACCTGTGGCAGGTCTATGACAAATACGGCATCCCGCAGGTGTGCACAACTGATTCTTGGGCGCCAATGAGGACCTGATGTTTCAATTGCTCTCCATTTGACCAAATAAAACCTATGTCAAATATATTCTACATATATTCTCCAGGTGTCCATCCGTCTGGATGGAGAGAACAAGGCAGTGGAGTACAACGCCGTGGGCCTGACGAAAGATGCGGTCCGGGCAGTCTTTAAGAACCCAGAGGTGGAAAACCTGTTTGATCGTAACTGGCATAAGATCGGCATGAGGGTGGACTCCAAATCTGTGTCCCTGTTCCTGGACTGCAAGCACATTGAGACGGCGCCCATAGAGGAAAGAGAAGACATTGACATCCAGGGAAAGACTGTCATCGGAAAGAGACTCTATGACAGCGTTCCCATTGATGTAAGCACCTGTGTTGAGGTTTATTTATACACACTCTCATTTAGATTAGCTTACATCGTACTGAGTAAGTTGCACAAAATACTGTGAAATGGAGGCATCAAAAGTTAAAACCATAGTATACTAAGGTACTGATTGATTATTTTTTATAATATAGTATTTTCATGGCACTTCATAGACAGAATACCACCATGGTAGTCTCTAAAAAGCGTGGTAAATAGTGGTTCATGATTTGATGGAACGCCAGTCTTCAGAAGTTTAAGGTCAGCAATATTTTTTTAAAGAAAAAATACTTTCTAATAATTTCTATTTATTAAAGAATCCTGAAATAAATGTATTTCTGTTTCCTCAAAATATTAAGCAGCACAATAATAATCAGAAATGTTTTTTGAGCAGCAAATCAGCATATTAGAATAATTTCTGAAGGATCATGTGACACTGAAGACTGGAGTAATGATGCTGAAAATTCAGCTTTGATCACAGGAATAAATTACATTTTAAAATATATTACAATGGAAAACAGTTATTTTAAATTGTAATACTATTTCACAATATTACAGTTTTTACTGTATTTTTGATCACATAAATGCAGCCTTGGTGAACAGAAGAGACATTGGATTTTTATTTTATTTTTTCTGACACAAACTTTTGAACTGTACCATATGTTTATAAGTCAACCAAAATCACAGCTAATACAAACAGTCTTTCCTTTACAGTTTGACCTCCAGAGAATGGTGATCTACTGTGATGGTAAACAGTCTGAGCAGGAGACGTGTTGCGATATTCCTGGTGGACCAGTAAGTGTATCTGACACACACACACACACACACACACACACACACACACACACACACACACACACACACACACACACACACACACACACACACACACACACACACACACCTTTATTCTCACCTCATTATGTCTTCAAGAAGAATATGTAAACACATCACCTGGATAATAAAGCAAAAACATATGCTTTCGAACAGTACAAGCCCTATAAAGGGCTCAAAGGTCTTTGTTTTTAGTCCTTGATGAAGATGATGATGGGGAATATTCGTTGTCCAGTGTCCAGAATTTCATACTCATAATACTGGACATCTGGAGCCGCCCTGCAATACTTTTCGTCTTCGATTCCTCTCACTTTCTTTCTTTCTTTCTTTCTTTCTTTCTTTCTTTCTTTCTTTCTTTCTTTCTTTCTTTCTTTCTTTCTTTCTTTCTTTCTTTCTTTCTTTCTTTCTTTCTTTCTTTCTTTCTTTCTTTCTTTCTTTCTTTCTTTCTTTCATAACACATTGAGTCTCTTTCCGTTTCCTCGTTCACTTTCTCTTCTCACTCAGTGTGAACAATCTTTGGCGACCGAGGCTCCCCCAGTCCCGTTGCCCACCCCAAAACCAACAAGTGCTGAGCAGAAGAAACCGGCCGCGGTCAACTGCTCCTGTCCTGCAGGGGAAAGGGTAAGACTTTCAGGTCAAAGGTCACACTCTTAAAGCTGGTGAACACCCACGTTTAACATGCGAAAAAATTGAATGTTAGCCTTATGATGCTGTACAGTAACCAAACTTATTTACAGTAGATGAGAAAGAAAAGACTAAATAGACTTTCATTCTTTTCTGAATCATGTGCTGAAGAAGTTTTAGTCATGCTAATAAGGAATATTTTATAGTTTATAAGCAAAAATGTGACATTTTGGTTAACACAAATTTTTTTTTGTAAAAGCAAGCAAAAATTAAGTTTACAGTACATATAGTATAGCCACAGGACTTAAATTAAACATTTTAACATAAGACTAGTATGATGAAATTATAATATAATAATAATAATAAAATTATACATTTTCCCTTTATTATACATAAAGTAATACATTTTACATAAATTATACATTTTACACTCCAACTTTAACATTTATAATAACAGATTAGTTTTTTGTACATAAGAATACATAAGCATTTACTTTATATCAATTATTTGTATATATAATTAATAAAATATTTTAAAAAATCTGGGCTTTTTTTTGTTTAAACCCTTAGGAATTTCTCGCCCTATAGACATTTGTTTTTCCTGAAGGGCGAAGTGTCATGGATGCTTTTATAGAAATGAGTTTATATTGAACTTGTAAAATTCCTTTAAAGACATAAGGCTGGATATCAATTTTTTTTTAAATCTGAACTTTCGTTTGTAATGCATTCAGTTCCTTTTTGTAATGCATTCATTCTATAACCTCTCTGATTTCTGACCTCCACTTTCAAAACATATCCCCTCATTGCTCTCTCTTTTGCTGTCTCTCTCTATCTTTCCCATCCTACAGGGTGAGACAGGTCTACCGGGTGCCGCGGGGCCCAAGGGTGAAAAGGTCAAATAGTGTTTCAGTATCACAACAACTTTAATATGCTTTTGCACATCTCTGGATGCATTTCCGACGGGTTCCTCATTGGCTCTTTGCGTAAACTGTGCATCTGCAGGGGGATCCTGGTCTTAAAGGGACAGAAGGACCGCCAGGGCTCAAAGGGCTGAAAGGAGAACGTGTATGACACTCATACTATCTCTTATAATGCTTCATAAAGCTTCATTAACTCTTTAGATGAACGTAATATTAGAAATGTTTGCTGATTTTCCCATACAAGTTAGAGAAAAACAAGATTTATTTTTATATGACATTGATCTGTTTCCATCTCTCTGGGCCTGGAGAATAATTGATCGGTGTTGATTGATTATTTGCAGGGCCAGGCCGTCTCTATCAAAGGTGATAGAGGAGAAAAGGTAAGGTCATGAATTTACCAGCCAAACTCCTCAAGATAGACCAAGCACAGTGAATGTTTAGTCTGTATGTGTGTTTGTTTGTGCACGTGTGTGTTACTGTCGTTTTCAAACACTTCATTCTACCCTTGATTCCAAAAAGAACAGCAGAAAAGAAACAAATGTTGAAATTGACATTCTTTTGAGGATAAAAATGATACGAATACCATATTTTGAACGGCAGAATTATGGGTCCGCCAACCTCGGAGGATAATGCAAAACAAGAAGCAGGGCACTGAACACCCACTCACAGCGCTTAAAACAGACAGACAGACTCCAGGGCAGAATTACCTCAGAATAATGTCATAATTAGAATTAGAGAGAGAATTAGACGACCGTGGTGTTGGGAACAGAACGGAAACTGCCATTATTTAAACATGCTTACTGGCTATCAGTAAATGTCCAGATTTCACTCATTTGATCTGTGAAGACTTCTCGAAAAGAGTCTTATTTTGAGATTTCCACTGGGGCAGATTTAGATGCCAGCCGACGCCCACAGCTAGAAAAATGTTGCATGCTGGATTGGTCAGTGGAATTTCCTGCGGGCGACCTAGAAACGGCATATGTGAATATTGACCCCTACTGTGCCGGAGCAGATTAACAATTACAAAAACAAACACGCTAAACAATTACTAATCCTCATACGTTATGGGTTTAGAACTAACCCTAAACCCTAGAAGGTGTGCTGTTACTTTTCGACACGGCAAACGAAAAGTTTGATGAAAAGAAATGATATTTTCTTACTCAGTGCTTTTGTATTGGTTTCCAGTAATAATATCTCAACATTCTTAAAGGCATAGTTCGCCCAAAAATATAAATTCTGCCATCATTTACTCTTGTTCTTGTTCTAAACCTGTATGAGTTTCTTTCTTCTGTTGAATACAATATATATATATATACACTCACCGGCCACTTTATTAGGTACACCTGTCCAACTGCTCGTTAACACTTAATTTCTAAGCAGCCAATCACATGGCGGCAACTCAGTGCATTTAGGCATGTAGACATGGTCAAGACAATCTCCTGCAGTTCAAACCGAGCATCAGTATGGGGAAGAAAGTTGATTTGAGTGACTTTGAACGTGGCATGATTGTTGGTGCCAGAAGGGCTGGTCTGAGTATTTCAGAAACTGCTAATCTACTGGGATTTTCACGCACAACCATCTCTAGGGTTTACAGAGAATGGTCCGAAAAAGAAAAAACATCCAGTGAGCGGCAGTTCTGTGGGCGGAAATGCCTTGTTGATGCCAGAGGTCAGAGGAGAATGGCCAGACTGGTTCGAGCTGATAGAAGGGCAACAGTGACTGAAATAACCACTCGTTACAACCGAGGTATGCAGCAAAGCATTTGTGAAGCCACAACACGCACAACCTTGAGGCGGATGGGCTACAACAGCAGAAGACTCCACCGGGTACCACTCATCTCCACTACAAATAGGAAAAAGAGGCTACAATTTGCAAGAGCTCACCAAAATTGAACAGTTGAAGACTGGAAAAATGTTGCCTGGTCTGATGAGTCTCGATTTCTGTTGAGACATTCAGATGTTAGAGTCAGAATTTGGCGTAAACAGAATGAGAACATGGAACCATCATGCCTTGTTACCACTGTGCAGGCTGGTGGTGGTGGTGTAATGGTGTGGGGGATGTTTTCCTGGCACACTTTAGGCCCCTTAGTGCCAATTGGGCATCGTTTAAATGCCACGGCCTACCTGAGCATTGTTTCTGACCATGTCCATCCCTTTATGGCCACCATGTACCCATCCTCTGATGGCTACTTCCACCATGTCACAAAGCTCTAATCATTTCAAATTGGTTTCTTGAACATGACAATGAGTTCACTGTACTAAAATGGCCTCCACAGTCACCAGATCTCAACCCAATAGAGCATCTTTGGGATGTGGTGGAACGGGAGATTCGCATCATGGATGTGCAGCCGACAAATCTGCGGCAACTGTGTGATGCCATCATGTCAATATGGACCAAACTCCCTGAGGAATGCTTCCAGCACCTTGTTGAATCTATGCCACGAAGAATTGAGGCAGTTCTGAAGGCAAAAGGGGGTCCAACCCGTTACTAGCATGGGGTACCTAATAAAGTGGCCGGTGAGTGTATATATATATATATATATATATATATATATTTTTTTTTTTTTTTTTTTTTTTTTTTTTTTTTTTTTTTAAGAATGTTGGTAACCAGACAGTTGACAGTACCCATTGACTTCCATAGTAGGAAAAAAAAAACTATGGAAGTCAATAGCGGTTACCAACATTCTTTAAAATATCTTCTATGTCAATAGGGTAAGAAAAGAAAAATGAACTTAATTAGATAAAATAATCCCATAGACTTACAATAAAGGAGGAATTCTAGCCAAATGGGCCTGTAAGTAACTACCCAGAATACTTTAGCAACCTCATATCGACATGCTAAGACCACCTTACATGAACGTTTCTATTGTTATGCATGATTTGTGTGTGTATTTATGTGTCAGTGATTTGCACGAGTGTCCATGCGTGTATGTATATGTGTGTTCATTCTGTGTATGTGTGTCTGTGTACTCACAAGTATCCGTGTGTTATAATGTTAGCTAGCAGCATATCGAGGAGTTTGCTGGTTAAAGTGCATGATGCCGCAAACGCATGTTTGTGTTTGAGGTGTTGCTCTGTCTCTGTCTCTCTCAAACCCTGTCATGTATTGTCTTCTTTCACACTGAGTTGTGCTGTGGTGCAGTAGTTCGCACACGTGCTTTTGACATGCTGACCCATGGTGCACATGCAGAAAGAGATGTTACCACATGTTGCTACATATCGTTTACAATATTCAAAGCTTAATTAATTACACAATTTTGAATGATACTTTCAGTAATCCATATCTGGACTCTGCCCGCTATATTTTCACTGAGTTTGCTGCAATGCATTCTGGGATTTTCTTGTAAGTGCTATATTAGAAAGTGGCCAAAAGCTAACTTAGAAGGTAGCATGATTGTTACCTACCGTTTGAAAGATCTTTTTGCATCGTGTGTATATTGCTATATAGGTTGCCAGCTCTCTACATGTGGTCGTTAGTTTCTCTTGATGGTGTTTATCATTGATCGGTTGGCTTTATCGAAGTGAAAAGAACCTTAAAAGTAATTACAGACTATCAGGCTGTCAGCTGCAGTGTGTGAAGTCGTTACTATAATCAGGTCATAAAAGTTTTCTCTTGTACTATTCAACTCTCAGAATTCCAGGAGATTCCCTCGAGTGCACGAGACGTCTGAAAGACAAGATATAATGGGAACTATTTCTTTAGGTTTCCTTAGTGGTGTTTAGTGGTTTAGTGGTGTGATTAATTGCCTTGACTAGAAAATTACACTGACTGCTGTTGGCCTCTTTTTATATTGTGATCTCACAAGCATTTCTACATAATTTGTAAGCCCTTACAGTATGTGATACTTTGTGAATGATGATGGAAATATTGTGATTATGTCTGATACACTCAAGCAAAAACACAGTCTTTTTGTTGGGTGGTTTGTTGGTCATGTTTTTTGATAAACTCTTTTGGTTGGAAGGTCAGATTTTTCAGATTTTCATTGGGACATTTTGAACTTTATGTAAATTAAACTAATTAGTGCTTCACATGCATTTGGCCCCATCGAAACATGTACAGCACGCCAAAGGATGAAACGTGGTCACGTCCAGGTCAGGAGTCATGTGACATCTTAGTGCAAACCATACTGAAATTCCATCTCTCTCCACAGGGGGACAGCGGCGAGCGCGGTGAACCTGGAGCCAGCGGAGACAAAGGAGAAAGAGTAAGATATAAGATACACTTCTTTTTTCTTTCTTTTTCTTTTTTTAGTAAGATATACATGTGTACATGTAATATGAAATGGCATTTGCATTTGACTTACACTTGAGTTCAAATGTTTAGGGTTGGTAAGATTTTTTGCTGTTTTTGAAAAGAAGTCTTTGATGCTCACCAGCTCTGCATTTATTCGATCAAAAATACTGTAGAAACATTAATATTGTGGAATGATATTACCTATAACAGTTTCTTCTTTCATTTAAAATGTCATTTATTCCTGTGATCAAAGCTGAATTTTCAGCATCATTACTCCAGTCTTCAGTGTCACATGATCCTTCAGAAATGATTTTAATTTGCTGCTCAAGAAACATTTCTTATTATTATCAGTTGAAAACAGTTGTTGCTAACTATTTATTTGGGCGTTTTTAGGGATCCGATGGTTTACCAGGTCTGGCTGGGAAACAAGGCGATAAGGGACAAAGAGTGAGTAAAAAATGTGTGTAGTTGATGGTATATTTCGATGGTGTATGGACTATTGACCAAGCATGTCATGTTTGTGCTGATAAACAGGGTGAACGAGGAGTTGCAGGTGAAGCTGGGTTACCTGGACCTCTCGGACTAAAGGTAAAACACCACCACCTTTAGACATTAGAGTTAGAATATACACTCACCTAAAGGATTATTAGGAACACCTGTTCAATTTCTCATTAATGCAATTATCTAATCAACCAATCACATGGCAGTTGCATTTAGGGGTGTGGTCCTGGTCAAGACAATCTCCTGAGCTCCGAACTGAATGTCAGAATGGGAAAGAAAGGTGATTTAAGCAATTTTGAGCGTGGCATGGTTGTTGGTGCCAGACGGGCCGGTCTGAGTATTTCACAATCTGCTCAGTTACTGGGATTTTCACGCACAACCATTTCTAGGGTTTACAAAGAATGGTGTGAAAAGGGAAAAACATCCAGTATGCGGCAGTCCTGTGGGCGAAAATGCCTTGTTGATGCTAGAGGTCAGAGGAGAATGGGCCAACTGATTCAAGCTGATAGAAGAGCAACTTTGACTGAAATAACCACTCGTTACAACCGAGGTATGCAGCAAAGCATTTGTGATGCCACAACACGCACAACCTTGAGGCGGATGGGCTACAACAGCAGAAGACCCCACCGGGTACCACTCATCTCTACTACAAATAGGAAAAAGAGGCTACAATTTGCAAGAGCTCACCAAAATTGGACAGTTGAAGACTGGAAAAATGTTGCCTGGTCTGATGAGTCTCGATTTCTGTTGAGACATTCAGATGGTAGAGTCAGAATTTGGCGTAAACAGAATGAGAACATGGATCCATCATGGCTTGTTACCACTGTGCAGGCTGGTGGTGGTGGTGTAATGGTGTGGGGGATGTTTTCTTGGCACACTTTAGGCCCCTTAGTGCCAATTGGGCATCGTTTAAATGCCACGGGCTACCTGAGCATTGTTTCTGACCATGTCCATCCCTTTATGGCCACCATGTACCCATCCTCTGATGGCTACTTCCAGCAGGATAATGCACCATGTCACAAAGCTCGAATCATTTCAAATTGATTTCTTGAACATGACAATGAGTTCACTGTACTAAAATGGCCCCCACAGTCACCAGATCTCAACCCAATAGAGTATCTTTGGGATGTGGTGGAACGGGAGCTTCGTGCCCTGGATGTGCATCCCACAAATCTCCATCAACTGCAAGATGCTATCCTATCAATATGGGCCAACATTTCTAAAGAATGCTTTCAGCACCTTGTTGAATCAATGCCACGTAGAATTAAGGCAGTTCTGAAGGCGAAAGGGGGTCAAACACAGTATTAGTATGGTGTTCCTAATAATCCTTTAGGTGAGTGTATATGGTTTGATCAGCGTCAAAAACAAACTTTTGCAAAGAGATTGTTATAATACTAAAAAAAAAAGTAATATGATGCATCTTAATATGAAATTATGTGAAAAATATGACCACTTTGGTCAGTCTGAACAATTGTGGATGTTACCTATAAAATCAAAGCAACATCAAATTTAAAATATTGCACAACATAGTGTTAGATTATACAGCTCTCTACTGTGCTGTTATACTAGATTTCATTGTGTTCACTGTTGGGAGTGTTTTCTTCGCGTAATCTGCTCTGTGTTGCATCATTTTGAACACAATCTGGCCCTTTTAATCTGACCTGTTTTAATTCAGGGTGTCCAAGGTGATTCTGGTCCGCCCGGAGCACCAGGTCCTCAAGGGGTGTCTGTAAGTGTGACGTGTGTGTTTAAATCAGCTGCTTATACTGATGATTATGGAAGCCCTCAGAGTAAAACAAATAAAAACTTACTTTAAGACTTTATCTTTAATGCAACTTTATATTTCACAAATGCATGTTTGTATCTAACAATTGTTAATTCTTAAAGGGTTATTTCACCCCAAAATTAAAATTAAAATGTGTCATTAATGTGTCACCCTCATGTCGTTCCAAACCCGGAACACAAATGAAGATCTTTTTAATGAAATCTGAGAGCTGTCTGTTCCTCCATTGACAGCTACGCAACTACCATTTTGAAGCTTCAAAAAGTTCATAAAGAGTTCATAAAACTATTCCATATTACAAATATTCTGAAGGGATGCTTTATATGATAAACAGATTGAATTTAGGCTTTTATTCATTATTATTTAATATTATAATAATAAAGTTTTAGCAATTTTATTTTGTGATTTTTATAAGTTTTATGTCTATATAGTTTTTATACATTTTTATTTCAGTTTAAGCAGTTCTATTACATCAAGTTAAACTAAATGAAAATAAAAAATGTTGCTTTGGCAACTAGTTAAAATAGCTAAAATGTTTCAAGCAGCAATAATGTTTTTATGGTTTTAGTTTTATTACATTTTAATAACCCTGTTGTGAAGTTTGTAACATTAAGAGCATGTTGTGTTGTTCATCAGGGCGGTGCCGGAAATAAAGGAGACAAAGGATCCTCTGGAGATAGGGTAAATTATGACTGACACCTGTCAATCATAACAACTTTGTTACCACAAACATCATAATAGGCTTAGTGAGCTGAACCCCTTACGCTGAACTTTGGCACATAACTCGTCCTGCACTACAGACATGAATGAGTCTTAAATCATGCAGCAGATTTTTTGCACAGCAGTCATCGCCTTCAGAAAATGTAAAAATCTAGATTAGTCTGTCATTGCAGAGCCTCTTTCCCCCACTTCAAGGCCTGGGACAATATTCCCGGTTGTCTTCCCCTTGTCAGCACCCCTGTTTTAAGTTCTGATGCTGTGTAATAACTTGGACAGAGTCCAAACTAGTCATTATCAAAAAGCACTGTACATACCTGTCAGATCCAAACGCTACAGAGGGAATATTTCAACAGTGTACGCAGGCAGACTAATAACTCAAACAGATGTCAGTGCTGATGCAGACTCCATATTTCCTGTTCTGTGGGGGCGGTGTGCAACCAGACCGTTTCACACGGTACAGCATTACCGTCATTCCACGGTCTGTCCCACGGTACACCTCCACACACACGCTGAGGTTGTTAAGACAAATTTGACTTTTCTGAATCAAATTTAGGAGCAGCATATGGAACTGCAAAAATAGTGATTGTTTTCATACAGCTGATGTTGCTGTATTTGACTGGTTGGGATGCTCAAACAAACACTATTTCCCCGAGGAGTCACAGTGTTACACTTTCCAGGAAATCAGCTATTTTATTATGTTAGATATTTTAACATGGAAAAAGTACACTGTTGAAAAATTATGCAATTTTAATGGTGAAAGACTGTAAAAACCTTTTGATTAACAATGAGTTTCCTTGCCGTATATGGTGAAAACTGTAGTAAACCAAACATTGTAAAATGTTAATTAAATTTAGTTTTTGGAAAAAGTTATCCTATGAAAAACCATAACCAGTGAAAAACCATAAATTGACATTCCCAGTCCCATAATTCCCTGTGACACCTTACATTTGATGTTTTTTTATTTATTTAAATCATTATTTCTACCTATTTACTTTGGTTATCAGTTAATCTTTTGGTATTTGTTATACAGTACGTTAGAATTTTGTAACATCTTGTCTTGTTAATTGTGTTTATTGCATTTTTTAAATGTCATGCCTGTTACCATGATGGTGTTTTGTGTCTGTGCGACACTGTGCGCCTTTTATCAGTATTATATCAGTTTGTGGAAAAAGCTATTTTTGATGAACTTTGACATTACCAAAAAATTGCTTTTACATTAACAAATAAAATTTAGTGCATTAAAGGGATAGTGAAACTTTTGTTATTACTTACTCACCCTCAAGTTGTTCCATACCTGTATGAGTTTGTTTCTTCTTTTTAACACAAAAGAAGATATTTTAATGAATGTTGGTAATCAGACCCCATTGACTTTTGGATATTTTTTTCCTACTATGGAAGTCAATGGGTGCCGTAAACTGTCTGGTTACCAGCATTCTTCAAAATATCTTCATTTGATGTTCAACAGAAGAAAGAAATGCATACAGGTTTGGAACAACATGAGGGTAAGTAATGAAAAAAGGTACATTTTTGGATGAATTATCCTTTTATTGGGTTGGTTTGTTAACATTGTATCAGTTAATGAAATATACTTTTTTTTTTTTTTTACTGTAAGTTAATAAAACCTGAAATGTTGCTAACATATTTTTAACAGTTAAGTTCTGGCTACCACAGCGCTGCCGTTTCTTTTTTACTGTAAATTTCACAGCTTTTATTATTATTATTATTTTACAGTGTACACATTTCAGCTTTAACCAGCTAAGTTTGCCTTGGTAGGCAAAAATGCATTACTTTTAAAGATAAATATTGGTGATCCAATGCAAATGGAGCAAATAGGAATATTTTTAGAAATAAATGCATAGTTCATCAAAACAGGAAATATCAGATTATACTTTTGCGAGAATGGTTTAACTTTTGAACTGAAATGGCCTTGAACTCAAAATAAATACATCATGTAAACTCATTTACCATCTGTTATATTTCCTGAATTCCTGAGCTGTAACAGCAGGCTCTGTGGAGTGTATATTACACATGTTTTCAAGAGCTTGTCATTTTACACTCATTTCCTGCTGCTGTTGTCTGTATAAAAAAAAATAAAAAAAACCTGTCTGGACAAATATAAGTAGTTTAACGTTAAAGGAGTCGCTCAGCCTCGCTTCATTCTAAACCTAAATGTCGTTTGTGGGACAAAAACTTAGAAACTAGGGGTAAGAAGTAAAGAGCTTGTGACACTATTCTTACTGAAAGAATTAATTGTTCTCAGCAACAAATTTCAGAACAAATTGCGTGCTGTTAAAATTATAGTCATTTATCAAGACAACTATCATGAAATGAGCATTGTGAAATTGTAAGCAAAATATAGCACATAATTAAATATTGCTTATACACTACTGTTCAAAAGTTTGGGGTCTGTAATTTTTTTAAATTATGATCAAGATTTATTTGATCAACAATACAATAAGAACAATAATATTGTCATATATTATCAAAAATTAAAATGACTTTTCTATTTTAATATATTTTAAATGTAATTTATTTACAAAAATGTACTGACCCTAAACTTTTGACTGGTGTATATATATTTTTATTACAGAATTTTCCATTCAATGATGTCTGACTTTCTCATGTTGTTTAGGGCGAGCCAGGTTTAGACGGGTTTCCAGGTAAACCAGGTCTTCCAGGAAAAGAAGTAAGTGTTCAGAGGATTCTATAATGTATATAATTTGTCTCGTACCATTTTGCTCAGCATGCCATGTACAAAGGATGTTGCAGATATTAATGTGAGCTTGTGTCAAGTATTGCTATATGTTTAAACTAAATGACTCTTTTTCTCTAAAATCAGGGTCTTAGGGGGCTGAGTGGCGCTCCTGGATCAAATGGAGTCAAAGGAGAAAAGGTATGGACACTTTTTTGGGGGGGGGATGCTGGTTCCTTTGGTTTTAAAGATCTGGGCAAGTCTTTTATTCATCCTCAAGTTGCTCCAACCCATTTGACTTGAAGTTAAGTCTCATTTTCAAAGTCATTTTTCATTTCTTTGGTAGTTGAAGGTGCACCCAGATATATTTAACTCTTCCCTTTTTCACATAAAATCCCAAAACGCATATCTTCCTTGGAAAATTATAGTTTTGTATGATATGTCTGTATTTCTCACGCTCATCCACAAAGACACCCATTCAAATATGCAATCAGTCTCATTTTATCTCACACACACACACACTTTCATGTACTTATTCCCAAAGGAAATGAGAAAAATGTCAGACGTTGCAGCTTGCAGTACAGACAGTTTAACTCAACTCGAATATCAAATCACTGTTTGTGGGAGTCTAACCCAGCATTGAATAAATCTCCTGCTTAAACCATCCAAATGTTGTTTCATAATCTCTGTGTTTGTTTGATAGGGTGAACAAGGTCCTGCTGGAATACCTGGCAATGCAGTAAGACGTTTGATTCGTAAACTGAATTCATTTACATTGTAAAACAGCTGTATTGAGTTGAATTGATCTGTGTTTTTTTTCTCAGGTTCAGTTGGCAGGACTCAAAGGGGAGACTGTAAGTGTAACATCTTTTTAGAAGAGGAGTCTACCTTTGCTTCTTCAGAGTATTCTCTAAACCGTGTGTGTGTGTGTGTGTGGTTTTCAGGGCGTCCCAGGAGAACGAGGACCCCCAGGAGCGGACGGCCCCCCTGGACCTGCTGTAAGATATATTTTGTGATGTAATGCTGTTTCAAACAAGTTTTATTGCTTTAAAATTACGTATTGAAGAAGAAAAGTAAAGTTCGTTCTGAGAAAAGCTTCTGATTGCAGATGATACTTGATATTTTATATCAAATGCAATGACATTCAGACGTTTTACATAGGGCTCAAGTGTCCAAATAATTTTTGTGATCACTGTACATTACATTCATGGTCTGTTTATGAAAAAAAAGCAGCATTGTTGTGCACTTCATTGTTTTTAATTAGCCTATTGTTTCTGTTGTTTTTCTCAGGGCCCACCTGGACCTCCAGGTTTGCCCGGTGAGATGGGTGAGAACGGACAAAGGGTAGGACATTTATATTTGATTGTAATAATCCATCTCGGCTGCTTGTGAGGTGTTCTAGAACCTGATCTGGGGTAACCATAGAGACTGGCTAGAAACTGTGAATCTCAGTTCACGTTGTGGTATTTTTGAGTGCTCTGTGGGGTCAGATTAAAGCGAGGAGCTTGTTAGGAAGAGAGACGGGAGATGTTCAAATGCTCTCAGATGCCCTCAAACTGATGAGATGACTGCATCATTAAAATGTTCTCAGGGTACTTGGTAAACAGTGTTTCTTGTCAAAAATTATAATAGCATTTGGATAACAGCTCCAAAAATGAAAAACAAGCAAACAGAACAAGGTTTTTTGTGCATTTAAATGAAAATTCTGTAATAATTTACTCACCCTCATGTTGTTCCAAATCAGTATAACGTACTTTCTAGAGATGCACCGATTACAATTTTCTAGGCCGATTCCAATTTCCGATTTTTCTTGAGTTTGACCTGCCGATACCGATTTTAGCCGATTTCGATGTCCTTTTTTTAAACCACTTTACAGCACACACAAATATTTATTTTCTATCTTCTCTTTAATAGAACATTTTGCATAGAACATTTTTTTAACAGATAATCACTATAAAATAGAACTATATAAATTACTCCTGGTGTGGGAAATCCACACACATCTAAAGTGCAGTGTTATGGAAGAAGCATTTCTTTCTTTTCACATCCAATATCCAACTAAATAAAATTGATATATTTAGCAAACTAAACTTTTGTATGAAAACAGGTAATGGCAATAAAATAATATATAAATAACAAATATAACAATAAAATAAATATAGCCTACCCTTGCAGTATATATTTCTCAACACACACACACACACACACACAGGCCTATTGCAATCACTTGTACATCAATGTTATATTTCTCAAACAGTTTTTCTCTCTGACACATGTCCAGCCAGGCTAAACAGGACAAGTGGAGCATGTGCAGGGAAACGACCTGGAATAAAAACAAGTTATTTTCTATAAATATTTTTGAGTCTTAATTTTCTTTTCTGACATAGCCTGGCTACTTCAGTTCTTGTTAAAACACACCAGAGGTGCAAATTCTGTGCATTTTGGGCACTTTTGGGGTGAATTCATATTTATTTTGTCCATCAAAAGTGTGCTTTCACTTTAATTGAGCGCGAGCAGAATAGACTCGGCGCCGAAACCCGCGCTTCACTGTTGTTCACGCGACGCTCCTGCTTGACGCTCACGCGCTGCTCCGGCTCCCGGTGTGAATGCACTCATTGATTAACATGCACGCCGAAGGAAAAAAAAAAAACCCGCTGCTCACGCTTGCGGTGTGAAACGGTCGTAATTCACGAGGTTTCCTACATGTGTGTTCCGTGTGCACGTGTGATGCCGATGTTGCGCGATGTTAATCATGCGGCGCCCGAGTGCATTTGACCGGCATAAAATCGGCATATGTCAGACTGACTGGCCGGTCGCCGATCATGGCCGATCACGTGAAAATCGGCCGATTCTGGTCACCAGCCGATCAATCGGTGCATCTCTAGTACTTTCTTCATTTGAACACAAAAGAAGATATTTTGAAGAATGTCGGTAACCAGACAGTTGACGGCACCCATTGACTTTCATAGTGTTTTTTTTTTTCATACTATGGAATTCAATGGGCGCCGTCAACTGTCTCTGTTACCGACATTCTTCAAAATATCTTCTAGAAAGAAACTCATACAGGTTTGGAACAACTTACGGGTGAGTAAATGATGACAGAATTTTTATTTTTGGGTGAACTATCCCTTTAACTAAAATCAAGCGTAGCGCTAGTTCTGGCAGGTCACGTCAGTCAAGCTCGCGTCAGCTGACTCTCAGCTGATCCACGTCTACCTATAGGAATATGACTCCTATCACAGCATTCCTATATATACAGTATATATACTGTAAGGTCCATTCAGTATCATCAGCAGGTTTATCGTGTTGCTCAGGAGCTAATTACCCTTCTCCATCCCCAGCTCCTCCTCTCATCCAGTCAGGACTTGGGCTTCTGATATTCCTCTTTGATTCAGACTAATTTTTCTTGAATTGTGTTATTGAACATTAATAATGTCTTCAATACATTTATGTTGGTTCTGTTCTGTTCTCCCTGCTCTTATCCATGCTAGGCTGCACGGATGGTCAGGGAGTTCTTGCCCAGAACAGAACCATAGACCTTATTCAGAGCAGCGCCATGACAGATATGAAAGCGAGGCTGTGAGAGATAGACTTGCCGTGTTTTCAAAAAGCTGTATAAAGCTCCTAGATCACTTATAATTTTCCACAGCTCATGTTGTCTGGGTTTTTTGTCTACTTTGTCTATATTTTTGCAGTGTTTCATCAGCAGAACAATCCAAAAACACATTAAATAACAGTGCAACCCACTGAAGAGTATTGTCTATCCCTCACAGACTCGCTTTCAGTCCTGTTCAAAATCAACGATGGCGCTGCCGTGAATAAAGTCAGTACCGCCAATCCAATTGGTCCTGACAGAAATAAATGAATTGCCAGGGCAATAAGTTGTCATATTAGATACGTACATTTCTAAGGACTCTAAATTATCAACATGATCAAAACTGGAAAAACCTGTCAGACAATCCACATGGCTTCTGTCTTTTTTGCTGTGAAGACAACTTTAATGATTTTTTATAAAGTAAGTTTACATAAGAATAACTTTTAAATTTTAGTAATATTTCGAGATGAACACTTACTCTACTGAAGCAACTTAGGTTTATACTTGCTTATACTTGATTACTTGCTTATCAATACATAATTTAGAAAAATTGGGACTGAAAAAACGTGTTTGAGCTCCATATTCTCTTATATCATACTATATGAGCTATAAAAGCCTGATGTATCAAATATGATACTCATAAAGCACATATGCAAACTTTTATTATATATATATATATATATTTCATCTAAAGTTTCAACAAACAAAAAATAGATTTTTCTGAGTATTATTTTGTCAGTTGAAGTACTAATATTACTAACTAAAATAAAACTACATCTGGCATTAAAATAAACTAAAAATATTTTTAAATATTTTTAAAAAATCTAAAACTAATAAAAAAAAGTTAAGTCAAGAACTGTGATAGTATATAAATAATGATAAAGTGACACAGGTTTAGCACAATGTTCACTGCTAAATGGAGCGAAAATGACAAAAAAGCACCAAAAAAGTAGTTCATACAGTATGAGTTGTGCGTTATATTTTAAGCTGTGAACAGACAGACTGTCATTTAGGTAATCTGCGGCAGCTCTCAAATCTGCCCATTTCATATTTACCACATGAAGACTGGCCAGTGAAGGCATTGGTTCTCTGTAAAAACTCACTTAATCCACCTAAATCTGGTCTGCTGGTTTGAGATGGTTTCTCAGCCTCACCAACTTGTTATTTAGCTGGACAACTATCTGAAAAGTGCCCAATAAACCAGCTAGGACCGGTAGACACACAGACATTGTGTGTGCATATTGCCTACTTTTATCCTTGCAAATTTCAATTCTCATTTTTAGGTGCGCAGTTCCTAGCTCAGTATTGTATCTCAGCAGGGTTTGCAGGTGTTCTGAGTGTAGCCCAAGTTCTCTCTGTCCCAGCGGGAATCACAGGCTTTCAGAAGCTTTTAGATAGGGAATCTAACTCAGATCTCGCGCACAGCACAGAAACACAGCGGGTGGCACTTGAGTGAATGATGCACAACTGTAGAACGGCAGGGAGCCCTGAGTGAGATGTTAAAAGAGTTCCTATCTCTCTATTTTAGGCTCTTATTGCTGTAATACCTTCAAACTAATTTTCCTTGCCTTACATGCCAGCAGCAGGGGATGCTAACGTGTTAGCAAGAGTTAGCATGTTCTGCCATGATTGAACAAATATGAAAGTGAGGAAGATAAATGTACACTCTGCTTCTAAACCACCTATTAAAACTCTTAATCAGAATTGTTTTTTTGTCGTATATGCTAGCATACGTAAACAACAGCAATATTTCAGATAGGGATATAAAAAAGCCCTAAGTTACCTGATACCGACTGCTAGCATTAGCAGGTAGCTAATCATGGTCTGTAACTGTGACAATAAATAAAGTCTGTTGGCCATAAAGGAAAGTATGAGCCCTACTATATGTCCCAACCTAACATCCGTTTCAGTTAAAAAAAAAAAAAAATGTACACAGGAAATAAAACCATGCTAACAGGGTCTTTAGTATCTTTGTTTGTTCTATTGCCATTTACTGCCATTTTGTAATTTTTGTCATTTCTATTTAATATAGAATACACTGACAGCTAACGGAACATTGTCATAAATGTAAATCAAGAGCCATTTCCAGTTTGTCCAGGAGAGGGCAGAACAACCCTTGTTTTGTGCCTCTAATTAATGGAAAGTTACATTGGAGTCATTATAGATGCCAGATAGAAGACATGAACTCTACCTGACCTCTCACAGTTTGTACAAGAAACTGCCAGAGGTCAGGTAAAGGTCAGAAATGTTGACATTTCCATAAAGTTCACAACAATTTGAAAAAAAAAAGGCACACTAAGAGAAATCAAATGCCTGAAAGTTCACCCAAAAACGAAAATTCTGTCATAATTACTCACATAATTACTAATGTGTCGTTCCAAACCTGTAAGGCTTTGGTTCATCTTCAGAACACAAATGAAGATCTTTTTGATGAAATCTGAGAGATTTCTGTCCCTCCATTGACAGCTACGCAACTTCATGAACGGATCATAAAACTATTCCATTTTTTATTGAGTGGTTAAGTTCTGAAGAGACTCGATCGATTTATACGATGAACAGATTTAATTTAGAGAGAAAAGATGGATAACTGATATAGAATAAAAAAGTAATATGCCTTTTATTGTGTTATCAATCAGACCAATAGTGATTAAAAAAAGGCTAATTATAGCATGATACTAATGCAATCACTTCATTGTTTTATTTTATAAAATATCTCTTTATTCCTTATTATCTCCTTATTTATTTTCCACATAATACAAGCTCATGAGACATTGTTTTCTCTGTTTCTCTAGGGTAAAAAGGGGGATGCAGGATTGCCGGGAGTTGATGGTCTTCCAGGACCACCTGTAAGAACCAGCAGAACATTCAGTCTTAGTCTGAGCAGAACCCTCTGCCCTTTATTTTTCTTATCAAGTGTGATTGCATTTTGGGTTTGTTTTTAGAATTGGTCAGAATGAAATACTACTGCTACTGCATAGCCTACTATGTATATATGTATATACTATGTACACAGGTTGAGCAATTGCTCATTATCATTTAAAGAGACATGCACCGAAACGGGTCGCTGTGAACAGAGCTGTTTTTGAGGAGGTAAAAAGGGTGTTGTTTTACACAACCATTGAGGAAATTTAATCAAAGTATGTTACAAACTTTACATGAAGATCCTAAAGAATCATACCAACTTGTGGAAAATGTGCATCTGATGATCCCTTTAAAAAAATCTAAAGTCTTTTTAGAGTAACAGTGGCCGCTAGTGGTTACTAGAGGAATGAACATCATTCAAATCAAATTGCATTGACTCCAAAAATCTATTAAAAAGCAATTGAATTTCTAATGTAACATTCCAAGTTTTATTTTTGGTTGTTAGGGTCCTCAGGGGCCTCCTGGACTTGGTGGCAGCCCTGGACAGACGGGACTTCCAGTAAGTTTACATACACCAAAATAATATGTCACAGCCACAGAATAGTATACAGATGATATTAAATTGATCTGTTTGTTCTCACAGGGATTACCCGGTGAAATCGGCTTCCCGGGAAAACTAGGAGAAGCAGGAAAACCAGTGAGTCGCTGTGACTTAACCCTGAGAACTCAAGCATATTGTCCACACTTCAATAATCTGTTGCCTTATTAACGGAACACTCATTTGTAGTGTGGAAAAACTTGAAATAATGATTTTAATGGTAATTATTTTTTCAGGGTCTGCCAGGAAAAGATGGATTGGATGGTTTCCCTGGAAACGACGGCGAGAAGGTTAGAACTGTTTTAATGAGGCAAACTGTGAACTCAGTTCTCTGGAGGCAGAACTTCATCATTTATACACTCGTCGAAAGGCCAGATCTGGTTTTTGACCTTTTCATTTGTGTTTTTGTTGCACTACAGTTTTTGTAATTATTTTGCATTTCCATTAGGGGCAACGAGGAGAACCCGGACAGGACGGTTTCGCTGGTAAACCGGGATCGAAGGTAAAGGGTGGTCGTTTGTGGACTAGTTGTTTAAGATCTGGGTTGGAAATCCTTTTTTTATTATTTTTTTTTATTGTATCACTAATGCTACTTTGTCTTTCTCTCAGGGAGATGAAGGCCCTCCAGGACCCCGAGGACCTGCTGGTGAACGGGTGAGGAAAGCAAAACTTAAATGAGTTTTGAGAATGCCTTGGCAAAAGCACATATGAAACGGCTGTCTTGTTCTGTCTCAGGGAGAGCCTGGTTTGGGTGGGCAGGTCGGCCCGATGGGACCCAAAGGAGAGAGAGGAGGCCAGGTAAGACTGTGTACTATATGGACGTTTGTTTGAAAGAATCAAATTCTCTCTCTGCTCTCTTGATGTTTCGAGGTCAGAATCAGGTGTTTCATTGATTAACAGAATCAATAGATATTGATTTGTTAAAAATATCAGGATCTACTTTAAAAAAACTCTACTGTGAGAACCATCATCTATTCACTTCTCATAAGACATGTCCAGACTATATTTCAGCACAAAGATCGTGAGATAAATATACGAAATTAGTCTTGTTAATGTCAGTTTGAGTCATGCGTTTGTCAGATCTTCATCCGTCTGTCCGTCTTGTAGGGGGAGAGAGGGAAAGATGGACCTACTGGCTTGAAAGGAGACAAAGGAGACAAGGTGAGAAGCAAAAAGACTGCTGGAAATGTGCATATACAGTATAGGTTAGGGGCTAGTAAGGGTTTTTTTTATAGTGAAAAAAAGAAATGAATACTTGTATCCAGCAAGAACGTGTTAAATTGATGAAAAGAGACAACAATACATTTACAAAAGATTTCAATTTCAAATAAATGCTGCTATTTTGAACTTTGTATTCATCAAAGAATCCTAAACAGCACGACAGTATTTCTTAATATTATTAATGTTGAAAACAATCACAATTTCTTGAGCAGCAAATCATCATATTATAATTATTTCTGAAGGATTATGTGACACTGATGATTGGAGTAAAATTCAGCTTTTCATCACAGGAATAAATTACTTTTTTAAAATATATTCAATTGGAAAACATGTTATTTTGAAATGTAATAATATTTCACAATTTTACTGTTTTTACTGCATTTTTGATCAAATAAATACAGCTTAAATACTTCTTTTTAAAAACATTAAAACAACTTTTGAATGGTAGTGTATTTAGTTAATTCATAGTTTTGATAACTTGAAATAAAAATGAAAATAAAATAAATGATTAGGTGATTATCTAAGACTCATTTTGTTGTGTTTTTGCCTACAAGTCACCTCTGGATAACGGCATTTGTGATATAAACGCAACAGGCTTCCAGAGGGCCGTTTTTGAGCATGTGTTGCTGTAGGTTTCACACATGTCAGTGATGGTCTCCTGAGGGCATGAGGTTGTTAATGAGATCATTAACATGCTGACAGGATGAGGATATAACCTCTCTCTGTGACTGTTTTTCATTCATACAGGGTGAGGTGGGCCCCAGGGGTCCAGCCGGGGTCCCAGGCAATGTGAGTACAGTTGATAATTGACATATTACATACAAATATAACCATATACATTTACAGATGGTATAAATAATCATCTGATTTCTGATGTAAGTAATACATCAGATGAATAAACGAGAATAGAAATCTCTTGTTCAAGTTTTTAGTGTTTAATCATGTATTGATTCAGCTGATGAATGTGGCTCTTAATTCATATTTGTGTTTTTTATTTTCTGTAGGTGGCCAATGTGATTCCTGAACCTGGCGAACCGGTAAGTTATCGGTTTTGTCTTGATTTTGACCATATTTTGAGTAATAGATATTGAGAATAGTTTGTTAATAGATATCGTGAGTATATCTATTAATAAACTTATTTAAGTGTGTTTGTGCTGTCTGTCTTTACCCTGCACGATATTTTGATATATTTTAATTGATGCACTCATTTTTTGGGGGCCACTGTATCATATAATAAACCACATATTTTGCCTGTTTTACATTCACATTTGAAATTTCCTGATCTTTAGGGCAAGCCGGGAGAGAAGGGAGAGAAAGGAGATCAAGGAAAACCAGGCGAGATGGTGAGCTTTCCAACAATAATTTGAAATGTAATGAACTACTGTATCTTTTCAAGGTTGTAGGGATCATCTCAAGAGGGCAGTAGAGAGTCAGGTTTGGTTGTGCTAGTCTCTTGTGCGTCTGAAAATGTTCATTTACAGAATCACTTTACTGTGACTAGTGCAGACATAATAAAGTCTCCTGTCAGTTTGAGGAATCATGAGGCAAATATACTTGAAAGGCAACAGCTAAATATGTGCATTTCATTTCTGAGAACAGCCACCTGAAGTGTTTCACGCATTATTTGACAATAGATATTAAGGGATTCAGCGTTGCATAAAGGAATATTAATAAACATGAAGGTCAGGGGCGTTGCATCCCATCAGCTGATGTTATACATCTCTTGTGTGCTCACGTTAAAACCACCATTCTGCTATAGGACACCATTTGCTATAGTTTTAGCACCTGATAATATCTCAAAACAGGTGAAGGTGCCTTTTTGCCCCGAGCTATTAATAAAGCAGATCCTGGGCATCTATTCACAGATCAGTGCTATTGACATTTACTGTAGCTGTTTTTTGTTAAATTGTTGACATTTCAGTTTTGACATCTCCAAGATGAGCTTTTCTGCACAGTCAATCTCTTGACTAATTAATATTAAAATATCAAATAAAGAAAATAAGCAAATAAAGTCTAAAAGCCTGAACAACTCAAGCACATCTTTACAGGACATCAGTTTATAAATATCAAAGTGAAAGTTTGGCTGATGAATATAATTAGGTCACATAACCTAATGATCTAGGAAGATTAGTGTGGGATAATTCATATTTATGTGGTCATATTGACATCATGACTGGCTCATCTTCCGCCCTCCCACTCTAACACTAATAATGTCAGTTAATGCTTTATAATTATTCTATTATACACTCACCGGCCACTTTATTAGGTACACCTGTCCAACTGCTCGTTAACACTTAATTTCTAAGCAGCCAATCACATGGCGGCAACTCAGTGCATTTAGGCATGTAGACATGGTCAAGACAATCTCCTGCAGTTCAAACCGAGCATCAGTATGGGGAAGAAAGTTGATTTGAGTGACTTTGAACGTGGCATGATTGTTGGTGCCAGAAGGGCTGGTCTGAGTATTTCAGAAACTGCTAATCTACTGGGATTTTCACGCACAACCATCTCTAGGGTTTACAGAGAATGGTCCGAAAAAGAAAAAACATCCAGTGAGCGGCAGTTCTGTGGGCGGAAATGCCTTGTTGATGCCAGAGGTCAGAGGAGAATGGCCAGACTGGTTCGAGCTGATAGAAGGGCAACAGTGACTGAAATAACCACTCGTTACAACCGAGGTATGCAGCAAAGCATTTGTGAAGCCACAACACGCACAACCTTGAGGCGGATGGGCTACAACAGCTGAAGACTCCACCGGGTACCACTCATCTCCACTACAAATAGGAAAAAGAGGCTACAATTTGCAAGAGCTCACCAAAATTGAACAGTTGAAGACTGGAAAAATGTTGCCTGGTCTGATGAGTCTCGATTTCTGTTGAGACATTCAGATGTTAGAGTCAGAATTTGGCGTAAACAGAATGAGAGCATGGAACCATCATGCCTTGTTACCACTGTGCAGGCTGGTGGTGGTGGTGTAATGGTGTGGGGGATGTTTTCCTGGCACACTTTAGGCCCCTTAGTGCCAATTGGGCATCGTTTAAATGCCACGGCCTACCTGAGCATTGTTTCTGACCATGTCCATCCCTTTATGGCCACCATGTACCCATCCTCTGATGGCTACTTCCACCATGTCACAAAGCTCTAATCATTTCAAATTGGTTTCTTGAACATGACAATGAGTTCACTGTACTAAAATGGCCTCCACAGTCACCAGATCTCAACCCAATAGAGCATCTTTGGGATGTGGTGGAACGGGAGATTCGCATCATGGATGTGCAGCCGACAAATCTGCGGCAACTGTGTGATGCCATCATGTCAATATGGACCAAACTCCCTGAGGAATGCTTCCAGCACCTTGTTGAATCTATGCCACGAAGAATTGAGGCAGTTCTGAAGGCAAAAGGGGGTCCAACCCGTTACTAGCATGGGGTACCTAATAAAGTGGCCGGTGAGTGTATATTTAAAAAAATCATATTTCTGTAGCTGAACTCATGAAAGCTCTCTCTGCCATGCACTCATCTAATAAAATAGTCCAGACACCAAGCAGTGCATCATTTACAGAAACACAGACAAGCTTGTTACAATGATGTATCTGCTCTCACCTGAATGTATTAGTGTGAAATGAGAAATCTCTGTTGAATTACTGCAGTTCTCACTAGTCAGGCCAAATGCAATCATTTCTGTCAGAGAAACTGCCCCGACGTCATCTTAAAAGAGAGCCAGGTTTCATTTCTGGAGTGCAGCGTAAACTTTATGAGATTTCAAAGTCACCATGGCTGGATAAACTAAAGTATATTAAAACATTCACATTCAATTACACATTATTACACACTTTGAGGATATTATGGCATACATTAAGACTTGTTACTAAAATGAATCTGATAACCTTCACAATCTCTAATATTCCCAGGGTCAAAGAGGACTTCCTGGAGAGCAGGGATTCAGAGGGCACTCCGGACCTGCGGTAAACCAGAAACAATCCTTTATAAAACATCTGAGATGCTTTCAATTCATTCAGACAAACTACTGAATATGATGATAATTGTTAATCCTTAATCCAGTCACACCTGTGAAAATGTCAGTGATTTTTCGAGAAATTGAGATGTTTCTTGTCTTTCTCCTGTTGGTGTGAACAGGGCCCTAAGGGTGACGCTGGTGATAAAGGAGAGGCAGGGGGACATGGAGACCCAGTGAGTTTGTCTTCTCCTCACACATGAATGCATTGTTTGTTTCCTGAACTTTTCACTGTCAAACTCTTCACTTTCTTCAGGGTCCGCCCGGATTGATGGGCCCTCAGGGGCTCCGAGGGCTGCCAGGCAACGTGGTACGTTCTTAAATACATTCTTGCCTTTTTTGACATCCAAAATACAAGATCCATTTTAGGAAACGTACAATTTGTGTCAAATGTCTAAATGCACATGGGGTCATATAAGCAGGTTGTAATTTTTCTGGTAGAGATCTCATGAACAAATACGTTTTAAACTTTAACTTTTGCAAGTGTAAACATCTTTTGTCTGTGTGTTTTTCAGGGTATTCCAGGCAGCATCGGTCCACCTGGTATCGCTGGACAGAGAGGGGAGAAGGTACAGAAATGAAATATTCAACTAATACAAATTGATGACTGATGAGCCAAAACATTATGACCAGTCACAGGTGAAGCGAATATTATTGATCATCTCCTAACAAGGTCACATATTAAGGAATGCATCATAACACACAGTGCATTACACTATGCTGCGTATGAGTCTGAGTAGCCACTGAGCAATCAGAGTGCCTTCCATGACCCCTGTCAATGTCGAAAACGCCTACAATGGGCGTTCATGAGCGACAGAACTGGACCTTGTAGGATTGGAAGAAGGACATCTGGTCCGATGAGTCCTGAGTCCATCACATGGAATGCCGTGTACTTGTGCATCGTACACGGCATTATATATACATATAGTTGTCAGTCAATTTAATGGGTGGGTTTTATGGTAATTGAGAATGAGCGTGCATGCGCGTCCCATTTACGACTGATTGGAATTCATTAACATGATGAAGGGTTCAAGGTGTTGCCCTGGCCTCCAAATTCCCCAGATCTCATGGATGCCTTGGTGGGTCGACGGTGTTTTGGCAGCACACCAACAGCATACTAGACATAATGTTTTGGCTCATCAATGGATTATTGTATCAAGTTATTTATTATCATGAAACATAATTTACCCTGTCCGAATCAGAATGTATTTTTTGTTTGTATTTATTGCTATTTATATGCCACCAGGGAGATGCAGGTAAAGATGGTCCTTCTGGACCCCCTGGTCCAACCGGTGAGCCTGGTTTAAGAGGAGAAATCGGTTTGCCAGGAAAAGGCAAAGAGGGAACAAAGGTAATGCATTCATTTTGTGATTCATAAGCTTGATGGCATGGATTATATTTTTGTTACTGATGTGACTTTGTTAAAATTGCACATGTTCTAAATGTGTATTCTCAAAACTACTGGGCAATTAGCTTTAGAAGAAAAGAGCATGCATTTCGTTTCATTCTTGTTTTAAGGTTTCCCGTCACGAGCGTGTAAAATTGCATTTAATAAGCTGTTTACATCTTGTGCTCTGGAGAATCTTAAAGTTGTTTACCCTAACTTTTTCCATTTATATTTGCTGATTGTGGTTAAAAGCACTGAAACGTGGAGAATAAAACTACCACACATTAAACTAATGAGTCAATGAGACTGTGGCTGCAGGTGTTACAGGGGAACTGGGGTTGTTTTATAGTTACAGCTGCCTTATTTTTCCAGCTATACACACACGCACACAGTCTATCCAACAGAGATACATGCTTATTAACACGTGTGTGTGTGTGTGTGTGTGTGTGTGTGTATAATAATGAAATGGATGGATTTGTATGCCGTATTATTGGCACCAAACAAAATGGCGTCACGATTTTCAGTGAATCATGACTTAAATTTCATTCTGTATGTCTCTGTATGACTTTAAAAAAACTTGGAATGAAATAATCCCTTAAAAAATAAACTAAATATGATTTTGTGAGAGGGAAAATGAAAGGACTAATAAAAAATTGAGAAATAGAGAAGCTTGAAGCACAGTATTACTCTGCTTTGTGTGATTACAGGGTGATACAGGACCTCCGGGTCCAGCTGGACCTCCCGGACTGAAGGTAATGAGACTTCGATGTGGGTTCTTTCTTGTTAGAAGAAAGAAACAGACTTTATTTTGTCTTCCATCAGCATGAAATATAATTTTGGGCATTTTTTTTTATATCATGAGCAGGTGCGTGTTCCCCAGAGGCAAAAGCTGAATCACTTTTCATTGGCATTTCATTTATGTGATGGTTTTTAATGAAATGTCAGACAACCAGATAATGATACTAAAAGACGTTTTCCTGGGGAAAAAGTACCAGATATTCATTTTGCTACTGTATCAATCAGTGCTTTACCAGTGCTCGACTTAATAAATGCAGGACATACACTCTCGTTTAAATGTTTAGGTTCAGTGAGATATTTTTTAAAAGCTTTTAACCAGAAAGAATGCCTTAAATTGATCAAAAGTTACATTAGAGACACTTATAGTATTACAAAAGATTTCTATTTCAAAGAAAATTCCATTTATCAAAAAATTCTGGAAAATGTTTCCACAAAAATGATTCCTTAAAATGATTAAGCAGCACAACTGTTTTCAACATTAGTAATGATAATAAATGTTTCTTGAGCAGCAAATCATCATATTAGAATGATTTCTGAAGGATCATGTGACTCTGAAGACTGGAGTAATGATGATGAAAATTCAGCTTTGATCACAGGGATAAATTACAATTCAAATATATTCAAATAGAAAACACTTATTTTAAACTGTACTATTATTTTACAATATTACTGTATTTTTGAGATGGAAAAATGATAGATATAGATAGATAGATAGATAGATAGATAGATAGATAGATAGATAGATAGATAGATAGATAGATAGATTACCATACTAAATATATTACAATAAAGATGCAAATTAGAGTATATTATAATATTATAAACACAAAAGAACAATATCTTATGCAACAATAAAGTAGAATTATAATTATTCAGCCCTGTTTATCACTTTTTATTTTGTGTTTTAGGGCGTGCCCGGCCCACAGGGCATGCAGGGAATGCCAGGAAACAGAGGACCAGCAGGAGAGGGAACCACTGGACCCCAGGTACAGAAACACACACAGTCATGCTATCTGCTCATTCTTCCATTGCAATATCCAATCAAAATGCATTCATTTTCACATAAGCACTAATATTAGCAACGCAAATAACTCTAAAAAAAAGCCCTATGGCCAAAAAGTGACCTTTAAACTGACTTTAAAATTTGCCATGAATTTGGGAAATGGGTTAAAACCAGTGTAACTGTAAAAATGCCTGTTTGTCCGTGCATATGCCATTGTTTGCTGTAGTTTGAGTGAACACATTTGCATAAACAAGCACACATACTGTATGCACACAGAGAACATGGTTTTATTATGTGAAAGCTTATGTGACTTTTCCATCTATTTCTGACCCAGCTTACTGTTTTTCTTTTTTTTTTCATGGATCTGAAGCACACATTTATTTATGCTCATATCTGAGTGATATTCTGTGTCTTTCTCAGGGGCCTCCCGGACCTCCAGGGCCAACAGGAGCCGCGGTAAACAATCTCTTCATATTTATATCACTTTCAAATGAGACAGATGCTCACAGAACAGCCTTAAGTGACGTGTCATGTTTGATATTCAGGGTTTGAGAGGACCTCCAGGAGTGAGCGGACCACAGGGACCCGCTGGACATAATGTAAGATTCATTTTGATTTACTTGTACAGGGACAATTCTGTTATTGTAGCACTATTAGCTAAAGGCTACATGTAAACTGTAGTCCCTGGGATCAGATGATTCATATTTTGAGTTCTTAAAAACCGCGCAGCACACAACCGAAGACGCTCTGTAATTTGGGCCTGTAATTTGCTTCATGCTAATGATAGGTAGTAGCAGGTTGTATTTATAATTCAGTGAGATTTCATATTCACATTTTAGAGAACAGTTTTTCCTGTCCAAAAAAGTAAATATCTACTTACGTTAGTGGTTCTACTATTAATATTGCTTAAATTTAGAGTTACCACTTAACTGCTTACCAACCTGGTTTCATTTTTTTTAAATCCACGCAGAACACAGTCATTCAACATCTCAGATGGAGCATCTTTAGCTTCCATTAATCATATTGTACCTGTGCAATGACAGTGAAGTGCTTTACTTTTCAATCCTGAATCGTGATGCAGAATTAAACCAGTTTCACGGCCCTGCTGTGGATCTCATTCAGTCTTCTTGGGGATTCAGTGTCAGTTTGTGACTAACACGGTTTGAATGTGTTTTCCTGTGGTGAGGATCATCAGCAGGAGTCATGCTCATGTGCATGTGTGTGTGTGTGTGTGTGTGTGTGTGTGTGTGTGTGTGTGTGTGTCTACCTGCAGGGTTTACCAGGAAGACCTGGAGAGAAGGGCTCAACTGGAGAACCAGTGAGTGATACCTGTTCATCATTTAAATATGGAATCATCAAATCAGCTGACATTTAATATTCACCTGCTGCTGATGGACCATAAATGCAGTTAAATAAGTGTTTTATTGAATTTTGTTTTCCCAACCTCTTTTACAGGGAAAAGCTGCAGACCTTTCTGATCTGAAGGTAACAGCCATCCATCCTAAAATCCTCCATTCTTCCATCCTTCTATCCATTTCTCAATCCATCCATCCATCCATCCACTCATCCATCCACTCACCCACCCTTTTATCCACTCATCCATCCACTCATCCACCCTTTTATCCATCCATCCATCCATCTGCCCTTTTATCCATCCGCCCTTTTATCCATCCACCCTTTTATCCATCCATCCATCCATCTGCCCTTTTATCCATCCGCCCTTTTATCCATCCACCCTTTTATCCATCCACTCATCCACCTATCCATCCATCTATCCATCCATCCATGGCGGATAGAATATATAATAGGACATTTATATTAAAGTGCATACCGTAATAGAGATCAGGGTTGGGTCACACCATCCATAAGTTCTTACTTAAACTGGGACACAAGAGAGGCTTAGTAAGTAAATTTTACTTAATTTGGCTGCACTATTATATTAATTAAAGCTCCATTACACCATTAAAGCTCTCTGTAATATGTGTAGTTGCATAATTTGGCATTCACCTTTATTGATCAGAAATAGTGTTGAAAACCCAGGATTTTGAGTTTATTGTGTATTTCCATTCTTGTTAAGGTTGTAACTGTGCGTGTTTCTCTTTCCCAGGACATTTGTTCAGATTGTCCCCCTGGACCAGCTGGACAACCAGGTACTCCAGGACCTCCTGGTGACAAAGGTCATTCTGGACCACCTGGGAAAAACGGACAGGATGGATATGCGGTGAGGAATCATGATTTAGACAAATATGTTTATTCTTTAAGCTTAATGGAACTGAAACATGACAGAACATGAAATATAAACGTTTCATCAGTTTACCTCCATTTAAAACCTCAAATAATAGATTAATTTATGAGTCTTTATTGGGATTTAACTGGTGGTTTTTGCAGGGTCCTCCTGGACCAACAGGACCCACAGGACCTCCTGGTGCTGATGGAACCAAGGTTAGAATGTTGACCATATATATACAGTCAAACCAACATTTATTCAGACACCTTCAACATTTCTCACATTATCACAGTTTATGCGCTATAGTTTAGAAAATGGTAATACAATATAACAAGAACTCAGAGTTATCAAATCAGTTGATATTTCACTGGTTTTGGCCGTCCTTCTGTTAGATAATACCAATTTAGGTCAACCAATTTACCAAGCAATGTTAAATTTTGTTCAGTCTGCGGTGTAAAATGATTGCATTACCAATTAAAACATGCTCAGGTCAAAGTGTCTGAATCATTGGTCCCACATTTGTATAAATTTTACTGGTAGTCCACTGTATGAAGAATTTTTGGTTATAATATGTCACAGTTTACTTTATTTTGCTATCCTCACTTACATAAATGAACTGTAGTGTCCTGCACCCACTAGTAAAAAAAATATCAAAAATGATATCGGGTGTCTGAATAATGTTTGGTTTGACTGTACACATTATAAATGCATATCCTTATATGGGTGAAATATAGTTGTGTCAACCGGCAGCATTGCATCACTGGTGTTTGTTTTAAATAACTTATTTGTGTTGCATTGCAGGGGGTCAAAGGTGACAGAGGTCCTCCAGGAACAGCTGGAGATAAGGGTGAAAAGGTACTATCAACTTACCATTTTTCATCACTGTTAATATACTGCATGTATTATATGTGTATTCAGACTATTTGAAATACCATTATTTATCCTTATGCCACATCTTTCTCTCATTTATTTGCATTTTCCCAGGGCAACTCAGGACCTCCTGGTTATCCTGGGGCTGCAGGAGCCATGGGTCAACCTGTGAGTATTTTAAACACACTTCCAGACTGTGTAGCTACACTAAAAAAAAAAAAACGTACATTTCTGCTGTATCTATAGGGTAATGATGGAAACCCTGGACCTGTTGGACCACCTGGACCTCCTGGAGAAAAGGCAAGGCTAATATGTTTTGTTCTGTGATTTGTTGGATGGATTGCAAGACTGGAATCTGTGTTATTGATGATTGATAGTCATGAGAATGTGTTTTACCAGGGTAAAGAAGGACTGAAGGGAATTCAGGGACCTCCAGGCCTGCCGGGTCTAATGGTGAGCGATTACATCTCTTTCATCGTTTTTAAAATGTCCGTTCAAAAGTTTTTGGTTGGTAAGATTTGGTAAGAAGTCTCTTATGCTTAAGGCTGCATTTATTTGATCATAAATACAGTAAAAATACAGTAATATTATTATTATTACAATTTAAAATAACTGACATTTTAAAATATATTAAAATAGAAAATGTATTCCTGTGATCAAAGCTGAATTTTCAGCATCATCAGTGTCACATGACCCTTCAGAAATCATTATAATATGCTGATTTGCTGCACAATAGACATTTCTGATAATTATCAATGTTGAAAACAGTTGTGCTGCTTTTTGTGGAAGCCATAATACATTTATTCCCCCCAGCATTCTTTGATAAATAGGAAGTTCAAAAGAACAGCATTTATTTGAAATGGAAATATATTGTAACTTGTTTTTACCGTAATTTTTGAGAAATTCTTGCTGATTAAAAGTATTAATTTCTTTAAAAATAAATGAATAAAAAAAACTATTTTGAATGGGAGTGTAAATCTAATAACTCCATGATGCTGTTTTTGTTTCCGGTGACTACATACTGCCTGATACTACACATTCTGTGCTGAAGGGCATGATGGGTAAACACGGAAAGGATGGCAGACCAGGAGAAACAGGAGAGCCGGTATGAGTCTGATGTTCTGTGTGCATACCAGCATCCTAGCCAAGCTTAGATCTGCATATACAGCCAGAAACATAAAAAAAAACATGATTTTTTTTTTTTTTTTTTCTGCTTGTAGGGTAAACAGGGAGAGCCAGGAACACCAGGAAGAGATGGACTCAGAGGAATGCCTGTGAGTTATGACTAAAAACCTAATGAAGATTCTCTTATTCTGTATTACGGATGGATTTCTTTGGGAAGCTGGACTATTTCACCTCACACAAATGTACCATGGCATTATTATCTGCTACCTATACCTATAGGCTGAAATATACACATTTATTTGTGTCTTTTCCAGGGTTTCAAAGGTCACAGAGGGGAACCAGGGCCACCAGGGTCAAAGGTTAGTCAATGGCAGTTGAAATGAATGCCCATAGATACATTCATATTCCATAAATAATCCAGAATTGTCATGGGTTCTGTTTATAAATGCTGACCTGTCATATTGGTTACATTAGGGTGAAGATGGGAAGCAGGGTGTTCCTGGACGTGAGGGTCCAGCTGGGAAAGATGTGAGTAAACACGTAATCCATGTTGTGCGGTCCATCTCTCTATGTCAGAGGTCACTGCAGACCTGACCGCTGTGAGCTGACGGTGTTGGCTTTTAATCGGTGTACTTGTGTTGCTCAGGGTAAAACCGGACCACCAGGGCTAGAGGGCATGAGAGGACCACGAGGAGAATCCGTGAGGATGCCTTTGATGAACCAATTAAATTGCAAAACAAAACTGCACCAGTGTGATTATTTTGTTGGGTCACTGTGTTTGTCTTTTTAGGGTCAACCTGGAGAATCAGGACCAGCGGGCAAGCCCGGATCTCAGGGAAATCCTGTAAGTTTCTTATAGCATGTCAATATGGGCGGCCATGTTGTTCAATGAACTGGGAATTTCGATTTACAACCACTTTTGGACCAGAAAAATGCCTCTCGCTGGTGTGTCTATTAAAGCATGGCTCTGAATTCCTATGGGGCCGCATATTGAAATAGAACACAAAGCACACCTAAAACCCCCTTAACTTTATTGAACTATATTATCAGCAATGTTTACTGTAAATTATCACTTTGTTTTACTGTATTTCAGGGTCAGCCAGGACACAAAGGTGATGCAGGGAGCCAAGGATTACCCGGATTCCCAGGTCCAAAAGGGCCATCGGTGAGTGAAGTTGGTTTGGGACTGATGGGAATTTAATTTTTTGCATATCTAAAAGTAAAGCTTTTATGCCATTAAAACAAGCCTTGTAAATATGTAGAAATGAACAGCAGGCAATCCTAAGTGGATATGAAGTGCTGAAGCCTGTCTGAACATGTGCAAACACTTGTGTTTTTCCCTCAGGGTCCGTCTGGTCCAATTGGCCCAGAGGGAAAACAAGTGAGTGATGGTTCTTTACTTTTCATTAATATTATATGAACACTTTTTCATAATTTTCAATTTCAACATTTTCAAACCATGTTTTTATCATAGGGCATGTTAGGAAAACCAGGAGACAGAGGACAGAAGGGAGAAAAGGTATCCATCCATCCAATCCATCCATCCATCCAATCATCCATCCCATCCATCCATCCATCCATCCATCCAATCTATCCATCCCATCCATCCAATCTATCCATCCCATCCATCCATCCAATCCATCCATCCAATCCATCCATCCATCCAATCATCCATCCATCCAATCCATCCATCCATCCATCCAATCCATCCAATCTATCCATCCCATCCATCCATCCATTCCATCCAATCTATCCATCCAATCCATCCATCCATCAATCCATCCAATCATCCATCCATCCATCCAATCCATCCATCCATCCATCCAATCCATCCATCCATCCAATCTATCCATCCAATCCATCCATTCCATCCATCCATCCATCCATCCATCCAATCTATCCATCCAATCCATCCATCCATCAATCCATCCAATCCATCCAAGCCATCCATCCAATCTATCCATCATCCAATCCATCCATCCAATCTATCCATCAATCCATCCATCCATCCATCCAATCCATCCATCCATCCATCCATCCATCCATCCATCCATCCATCCATCCATCCATCCATCCATCCATCCATCCATCCATCCATCCATCCATCCATCCATCCATCCATCCATCCATCCATCCATCCATCCATCCATCCATCCATATATTTACCACTTCAAAATCATCAAATCAACACTCGTCTTACTTGGTTGCTTGTTTCTGCAGGGTGATAATGGAATAAAAGGAGACAAAGGACCCGTTGGAGATCCGGGCATTCCGGGTAACCCTGGGCCTCCCGGTAGGAAGGGTCACACGGGGATGATGGGCATGTCGGGACCCCCTGGGGAAGTGGGTCCTGCTGGGCCCCCTGGTTCTTCAGGACAGCCGGGACTCCCAGGTCTCAGAGTGAGTCTACATTAGTATTTTAAAAGAAAATGTGGGATGCTGATGATGTCGAAATGATGTCATGAAATGTATTACGTGTTTTTAAGGGCGAGACGCCATCACTGGAACAAATGCGACGGCTCATTCAAGAGGAACTTTCCAAACAATTGGATGGTGAGATTCATTTGGCGAAAATGTATTTGACTTGATACTTTGCAATTTCTTTTTATATTTTCTAAACTTTCCATTGATTTTCACAGCTAAATTAGCTTACCTTATGGCTCAAATGCAACCCGCTCATATCAAGAGCACGGCTGGCCGTCCCGGTCCGCCTGGTTCCCCAGGTAAAGATGGATCTCCTGGCAGACAAGGTCTAACTGGAGAGCCTGGAATGCCTGGACAAAATGGAGCAGAAGGACCCAGAGGTCCAGTTGGTCCTAAAGGTACCACAGACTAAATTCAGATTGTTACTTTGCTCGATTGACGTTTGAAGTTTAATCTTTTCAACCTACGCTGTTTTTTTAGGTGAACGAGGTTCAAAAGGTGAAAGGGGAGAAGACGGTGTTGGACAGAGAGGAGAGACTGGTCCAGTTGGCCCCATTGGTAAGATCTTTTGGTCATCAATGCTTGGATTTACATTGACTCAAATGATATGTGTTTGGATGAATCTCATGAAAACTGTCAAGAAAATTTCCCAAATCCAACCAAAAAATTAAAAGAAAAAATCATGTTAAAGAAACCTGTTTTAGGACAAGATTTACATAATAAAGTTCCATTTTTCGACTTTAATAAATAAAAGGTCATATTTTTTGTATTTTCTTTATGCTTTATTTTTTTTTAACAATTTCGATTTTATATTTTTATATTTTGGAGAGAAATGTGCTTAAAAAAAGAGTCAATGCAAAAGTGTAAAATGGTCTTAAAATATATCTTAATTTTATTTCATATCATTTTAATATAAAATATCGTTTAATTTTTTCTTTTGATTTTGGAGTGAAAATTGTGACTCGAACATTTCTTTGTAAACGTGTTGTAATGGTAAACGACGGCTGAGATCATATTTGCACCACAGGTCCTGCAGGAATGCCAGGATATGGAAAAGATGGTCTTCCTGGAGCCGCAGGTGCTCAGGGAGAGCCCGGTAACCCTGGTCCTCACGGTCAGCCCGGACCTCCTGGACCGACAGGGCAGTGCGACCCCTCACAGTGTGCCTACTACGCCAGTCTGGCATCAAGACCTCACTCCAAAAACGTCAAGGGCACTTAAAACACCCCTCACTGTCCTGGGCTAACACCTATTTATGAACTTGGACATTCAATGAGCCAAGAATATGTTCTGTACCATCAGGAGAACTCCAGCGTCTGAAGGGTGTGTAAATATGTGTGTGCGTGTGTGTGTGTGTGTATGTGTGTAAATGTGTGTTTGTAATAGGCTTTTAACTTTGGTTAATGTCTTCTTTAACCCTGAGTTAAGTCCACTTTTAGCCCTGGGTTAAGGAACATTTCACACTTATAGACCTTATGAAGCCCCGCCCCTTTTCAGCGCTGCGTAGTTGTGTTCTGTCTTCCGGTTTGTGTTTCCACAGCATGAAGGAAAGATCTCACTGAATTGTGAATGAACATTTTAAAATGTTCCCGGTCTACTGACATTTGTTATGACATCCGCTTCAAACATTACAATGCTCACGATAGCTTTAGTTAACTCTACAATAAGTTATTCCACTTCATCCTCTTCAACAGTGATGCCATCTGTAACAAAATACACAGTTACCGCAAAAACAGAAGATGAAACACAAGATGGCTGTGCGCTTGTTTCTCTGGCGCACAAGGTCTATAGTTATGAAAAAGTGTTAGCATTTAGCATTAGCGCTTCCAACTGTGGGTTGTGAAATCCAGCTCTAGATTAACCCTGGAAAGTGATTGTGATCATGGAAAATGTATATTCTATATAGTGAATATTAAAAAAAAAAAGTGTCATTATGAACTCCACAATATTGAATCGCTTAGACATTTTGAAGTTGCTTTCTCTCAATGAATCAGTTGAACTGGTTCACACATCGGTCAGAATTTATTCAGTAGCGAGTCGTTCTGAATCAAAAGGATTTTTACAAATTAATCACAAATCGCTTGGAAGGTCATAGAAAAGTCATTTGCTCTAAAATCTTGTAAATGCCTTAAATATTAATGTTAACACTTCAGTGATTGTACAGTGTCTAAAACAGTTAAACGTTAAGAAGAGACAGTATTATACTCTACTTGTCCACTCAATGAATTTAACCCAATAATATGCAAATAATAATATTAACCCAGTTTGTAAAGATTTTACACTCTACACATGACATCCCAGGATCGAATGCTAACCTAGTATAGTGTGAAACCCATTAACCCAGGGTTAAAAATGGCTCTTGGTCAACAATCTAAAGTGTGAAAAGCCCACAAGTGTCCTGCCGGTCAGAGTTTAATTTTTTTAGTTAGTAGGTTTTATCTCAAGGTCATTTACTTCAAGTGAAGACTTTCAAGGCGTTTCATATAACAGGACAAGAAATCCTGTCACGACGACAGGAAGACATTTACTTACCAGACCGTGATGTCATAGTGACACAATCCTGCCCACACTCACGCCGTTTACTGAGGTCATTGAGTTAGTGATATCGGTATTGGCTCAGGATGCGCTTATCAAGTCTGGGAAATTCTCTGCTCGAGGTTTATTGATGAAGCGCTCCGCTCCTCTGGGAAGAGACAGAGGAACGCTTTTGCACTCATCAATAGGAAATCTCAATGAGGATCATTAGAGGTCCTGGAGATGGAGGAGAAGTGCATTTCTGCTCTTTTTTTGTCTACGTTTTGTAAGATATATCTCTTTGTAGCCATGCATCAGGTGAATAACTTGCCTTTCCTTTTCATTTTGGATCATTAAACTTGCGTTTGTGATGACTGAAAGGCAGCTGCTCAATTCAATGCATGTTTAATAGTTTAACGCAGCTTAAAACAATTGGCAAAAATGTCTGTCACTGCAGAAATACACACCATTGATGCCTCTTATAATGTCATTTGTAAAAGGTTTGCGTAGCACTTTCCTTTTCAAACGGCTTTGCCTTTGTCATTATGATGGTTCAGGAACACAAAGTCCTAGTTAAAAGTCCAGTGTGAGTGTGCACTAGCATCATTTGTGGCACTAAAGCGTTCAGTTAAAGCCGTTGAAGCCACACAGTTACGCATTACGTATCCATATAAGCATTGTAGCAGATCTCAAGAATAGATCTTTTTATTTTTTTATTTAGGAGATTGTGAGTTAGCTTGACTGAAATTGACATCCAAAAAATATACAATTTTGTCTTATTGCCTAAAGATCGGTAAAATATTGATATATTCTTGAAAGGAAGGGGGTTTAATTTTCTATCTTATTACTTAAATATATTATTTTTTAATTGTTTTTAATCTATTCTTTGTAGTTTTTCCACCCTTAGATATTCAGATTCAAAAAAGGAAGATGATTACATTTTCTATCTTAGTTTTGTAAAGGAAAGTGTTTTTTTTTTTTTTTTTTGCTGCAAATACTTTAAGATATGGTTTTATTTTTGTAATGTTCCTACAATTTCCTGACAGATATCACTGAAATAGGTGTCTCTGTGACAGGGGGATTGGTCTGTGCTTTTTCAGCCAATCAGAAAGTCTCGCTGCCTGTCAGTCATTTAGCATCTTCAGGTTGCCTTTCTTTGGAGGGGCAGGGCTTTAGTGTGAGGTCACATGTTGAGTTTAGCAAAATGGCTGAAAGAAGGTACCGCATCATTAGTGGATCATCATGGATATGGTAAGAATGAAGTGAATTTGTTGACTGATTAATTATATTTTAAAGCAAAACCTCACATGATACCATATACAGTAGGCTTGTTGTACCTACATTCAATGCTCATGATGAATCTTTGTAATTAGTATTATATACACAATCATAAGGAATCTTGTTCTTATCAAGTTTGTTTCTTTCCCCCCCCTGCATTTCTTAATTGTTTGTCCTTGTTTGCCCAGCCTTCAAGAGTTGATGTTCTGGTGATGTATTTTGAATAGCTGAGCTTATTACTGATGCAAATTTATGTAAATTCATGGTGCTTTTTTAGTGCAAGCAAAAGAAATACTTGCTATCAGCATTACTGTCATGTTCTCCTCCACTTTATTCAGATATAGTTGCTTTTTTTGACTTTGTATCCTGTTTGTTTGGCTTCTTCAAGCCGTTAATGACTGTATTTGTTTTTCATACCAATTTGCATTAAATTATTCTAATGAGCTACAGGTGCAGGTGATGTAAAATAGTATAATTTATGCATGGTATAATCTATCTGTTTATACTGATTCTCTGGTGCTATAATTATTCTTAATTAGTTTGATGTATGTGTATGTGTGGAGGGAGAGTATGTGTTAATAAAGAGTGGAACAGGTCCATAGGTTTATAGGATTGGGCTGTTATTGTGGGGGGGAACTTATGAAGTTAATACCGTACACAGTGTTCTTCAGTGATGAATTTACAAGTTTGAATATTTTATTCCTGAAAAACAACCACAACTAACAAAAAATGGTCTAATGTATTAGTTAATATAAATGTTGATTATTATAATTGTTATTTTAAGTTAGATTTCATGCGTCTTAGGTCAAACAAAGACCTAAGGTGCATTTTTTTTCTTCTTCAAATCAATGCAATTTCAATTTCTACTTTTTTAAAATCTATGAGCAGATCAAAGATACTTTTGTGCTAAAATCCCCACCATTTGTACAAAGCTCAGCTGTCATGACCATGTTACATTTTTATAAGGAAGAATAGTCGCTTGTTCTTAAACCCTATTTGAGTCGAACTGATTTTATGTGGCAGCTGACCGAGTCACTGATGCTGTACATGGAGCTCAAAGCGTATTAAACCTTAATTTAATTCACAAATGATTGTGTTCCAATAAAATCGTCATTCCGGAATTGTCCCTTTTTGCCAGTCTGTATCTATAATTATCTTGAAAATGACCTTAAAGGGATAGTTCACTTTGAAATTAATTTTTAGCTTAACTCAAGGGCATCCAAGATGTAGGTGTCTTTGTTTCCACAGTAGTTTCAATTTTGATATTTTTAGGTCAAACCGTTCTTGTCTGTCAGTCATATAATGCAGGTCTATGGTCACCACCTCAAAGAGCATGCACAGAGAAGTCCAAATTAAACATGATTTAATGACTCGTAAATGTAAGTATACATCGATGGCCTAAGACACGAAACGAGCGGTTTGTGTGAGAAAACGAACAGTATTTATATAGTTTTTACCTCTTGTAAACACAGACACGTCCAAGTGATCTGAGGGCGCCGGCGCTTCGGTCTGCGCAAGCGCCGGAAGTGATCTCTCTGAAAAAATTCAACGTTGTCTGTTGATATATCGAAATCGTCTTCCATTGCGATTTCCTGTATATCTAAATAGGTTTAGATCTTCACAGTGAAAGGTAACACTTCCGAAATCTCTGTGTAAACAATGAGTGACGTACACGCGCGAGAGATCACTTCCGGCGCTTGCCGGAAAAGACCGAAGCGCCCGCGCCCTCAGATCACTTGGACGTGGCTGTGGTTACAAGAGGTAAAAACTATATAAATACTGTTCGTTTTCTCACACAAACCGCTCGTTTCGTGTCTTAGGCCATCAATGTGTACTTACATTTACGAGTCATTAAATCATGTTTAATTTGGACTTCTCTGTGCATGCTCTTTGAGGTGGTGACCATAGACCTGCATTATATGACTGACAGACAAGAACGGTTTGACCTAAAAATATCAAAATTGAAACTACTGTGGAAACAAAGACACCTACATCTTGGATGCCCTTGAGTTAAGCTAAAACATACCAAAAATTAATTTCAAAGTGAACTATCCCTTTAAAACATGTATTGGACAAGCAGTCTACTAGTCAATGTAAACATCAAGAGATCCAGGGTTAAAGGGATAGTTCAACCAAAAATGAAAAAAAATGTAATTTACTCACCCGCACTTTCGTTCATCCTCGAAACAGAAATGAAGATCTTTTTAATGAATTCTGAAAGATTTCTGTCCCTCCATTGACAGTCCGTGCAACTACCATTTTGATATTTCAAAGTTTCAATCACATTATGTATAAACATTGAACCGCATTGGTTCTCGCACTTCAAGCAAGAATGCTTGAGCATTACTATATCTGATGTGTTTCGATTAATGTCTATATGTGAATAAAATCATCAAAAGTTAAATCGGTTCATCATATAATCGTGTCTCTTCAGCTACGATCTTTATACAAACGTTTTGAAGCGTCAAAGTGGGAGTTGCTAGGACTGTCAATGGAGGGACAGAAATCTTTAAAAATGTTTTAAAGATGAACTAAAGTCTTACTAAAGTTTGAAATGACATGAGGGTGAGTAAATGATGACAATTTTCATTTTTGAGAGAACTAACCCTTTAAAAGGATATGGTGAATTATAGTGAACTATCCCTTTAAGGCCAATGCCATAAATAATAAACAAATAATATCATTAGATATTCTAAGGCTAGGTCTGGTTATTGGAGCTCTGCTATATATATATATATAAATACTAAAAGCTTTTTAAGACAATATTGTAAATATAATCAGTCCGTCTGAAAGTACAGATCTCTTTTGAGAGATACATTTTCTGCGACTAATTGTTTAAAATGAATGGGATCTTATCCAGAAAGCGCTTATAAAAGCTTTTCATGAAAAATAAACCGTAGCATGGTGGTGAAAAGCTTTTATTTCAAGCTGCCCTGTTGCTGGATCACTGTCGTTCTGTTGGCGTAGCTTAATGTCTGGCACCATGTCTAACATTGGTCTTTACAATTACATTTTATGAGAAATATTTAGAAAAATACACGCAGAAATGCAATCGTATGGCATGTAGAGGTCCAAAAAAAATTACTTCACCATTGATATTTACCGGTTTGTGGCCCAAGAACTGAAACGTCAATTTCCAATTAATTAATTTATCTGCAATTTACTGTAAACCATCTGAAAGAACAAACATTTTCCTCTAGTTTATGTACAAGGTACACCAATAAACCATGTGGATTGGAACCTCCATCAGGAGCTTCATCTGTATGTCTCTATTCAACTGTCACGTTTGCTTAACTCGCCGTGTGAAAGTCTCTTCAAGTTTGTCGGAAATGGACTGCATCTGTACTCTTGATGATGACGACGTGATGAAGGTTTCTATGTTTCTGTTCATGGACCCTTGATGTTGACGGACTTCTTCCCGCCAACCAGGTAGAGAGGTTGAGGCCTGTAGCAGTTTGAAGGATCACAAAGCCCTGGAGGACCCGGGGTTCCTCTGGCTCCAGGGGTTCCTGGGGTCCCGGGCACACCGGCCTCTCCTCTGGCACCATCTGCCCCGTCCTTGCCGATGCCAGGCTTGCCAGCTGGTCCTGTTTTAATGAAATCAGACTTGATAAGGAAGGTTTTTGAAAATGTGACTACAAAATATAGTACAGTCTAAATATCTAATCCGTATATAGAACTATCAACAGTTTGTTCCAGTCTAAAATATCTATAGCTTTTGGAGTGGTTGAGGTTTAGCATGTTGTACCTTGAGGTCCGGGTTCTCCATGGATTCCTGGAATTCCAATTCCCTTATCTCCCTTGTCACCTTTTAGTCCTGCATCACCTACACAAATGCATAAACATAAAAAGCATTAGATAATACAATAGATCACTTTATAGACATTTATATAGTACAATTAATATGCAATTCAATATTCAAATCGCTTTACAAAAAAGGGTCAGATAATCATAATTAGAATCAGATAATATTAGGATAGTTTGCTATACACCCTTTGTACAGTACAGATTTTTTGCCGTATTCATGTATTTACATGGTACTTTTAGTTACACTAACAATTAAAAGTTTGGGATAATTTAATAATGTGAATTCAAAGTAGCTGTTTGTTTTCTATTTGAATATATTATAAAATGTAATTTATTCCTGTGATCAAAGCTGAATTTTCAGCATCATTACTCCAGTCTTCAGTGTCACATGATCCCTCAGAAATCATTCTAATATGATGATTTCCAGCTCAAGAAACATTTATGATTATCAATGTTGAAAACATTGCGGTTTTATATTTTTTTTGAAACTGACACATTTATTCAGGATTCTTTGATGAATAGAAAGTACAAACAAACAGCATTTATTTGAAATAGATTTTTTTTTTAATCTTTACTGTCACTTTTGATCAATTTTATCCATAGTTGCTAAAAAAAATAGATAGATTTCTTTCAAAGAAAAAAAAAATTTGAAACTTTTGTTAGTGAAACAAGATGGTAAATTGCAAAGTGATAATCTGTAAAATGCTGATACAACATTTCACATTTAATGTTGAAATGAATTAATAATTAGTCAAATGCCCATTAGTACATGTATATAGACTAATACTGCTTATACCAACATGAACCAACGTTGTCTGGGTGGTAATAGTGTAGTTTAAATAGTTCTTACATTAGTGAATCAGGAGTATTCGATCATTCTATCTATTTTAAGCTCTTATGAGAAAAACCTCTGTGAGACTTCTGACATTTATACGGTCAAAAATCCCTGCTAGGCATCATTGTTCACAGAATGCTAGAACATTTTCCTCAGGAGATGCATTAATAATCTTCAATAATCATGTTGATATCCTCTGAGGTTCTGCCGAAATAAGAGGAAGATTGAGATGCAGTCGGGGGCTTTTCTAATCATCCTGTTATTGCTCCTCAATCTCTGTCTCATTAGCAAGCGTAGCGTTCCTCCTCGGCTCGCTGGCAATTAGCGCAGACAGCACACACTGTACAACAGCCTCCGCTTGACAAAACAACTGCAACGCTTCACATTCTGGAGGCTGTTAACCCTTGATTGACCAAAAACTGTTTTTTCTTGACAATTTACAAGTTCAAGTGATTTTAAACCATTCAAGCGCAAGAAGAGAACCCGATCGCGCTGTTATCTGTGAGTAGGCCTACAGCCACACACACCTGAAGTGCGCACACACCAGAGGTGTAAAGTCCAGGTTCAGAAAGTAAAAGTCCTCCTCAGTATTTTGTTCCAATCGCCTGGATTTGCTAATTAGCAGTTTTTCAGCCAGGAGATAGAACTAATTAGTGAAATCAGCTGGGTGAGTTCATGGGTGGAATAAACATATGGCCGGACTTTTACTTTATGACCCCCGGACTTTACACCTCACACACACACACAGAGAGAGAGAGGCACGCACACGAAGATCAGATCACGCACGAACACCGAATTGACTCCTCTTTCACGTCTCCTATCGCTTGACAGACTCATAAACACAAAATGTTAAAATACCCGTCTTGGCAAGTATTGTCATAAACACAGTCGGTTATGTGTTAAGTGAACGTAAACAGTTGAGAAAGAAATCGGATGTGTATCATTATATTGGATCCGTTCATTAGGTCTTAAAGTGACAGCAGCCTGTACAAATCTGATGATGTCTGTGTCATTAATGTTGACCAAACAACAAAACACATCTTTAACAAAGATTAATCTATACTTAATTTATACAGTTATACAATTTTACATTCAATGATTACATTTTTGTACCTGAATACTGTTAGACCGTACTTTATTTGTTACCTTTGTTATATTGTATTTGTCAATGCTTGTAATGTGTGTATTTGTTCTTATTTTATTACTGACTGTTCACTTGTCTTTAAGAATGTTTCATTATTAAAAGCTAGATCTTCGCTGTGGTATCGAAGCACTCAAAAAGTGGGCGTTAAGTAATAAATGAAAAGCAAAGTTACATTACCCACCCACACTGATCCGAAAAATGATCCGATTCGTGACTCAAAAACGGTAATATAATCAGAACCGTGAGTTTAGTGATCCGTTGCACGCCTAATAAAAATGGTATTTATGCTGTGAAATCTTTAATGATTTTTTTATAAGGTAAATATAATTTGCATGATGCAGCTGAAGCTTAACGCAATATCAAGAACGTTTGATCTTGAGAATTTTTAAGAAAAATAAAAAGATGCTTGAATCAAAGGCTCACTGCATCCTCAAGAGCTTAGCTTTAATTCAGCTGACAGCAGAGCACTATTTGAAACAGTGATACATGGTTTGGAAATATCATAAGCAGCGAGTAAAATCAATGGTACCTTTGACTCCTGGTTTTCCAGGAAGGCCATAGTATCCTTGAGGCCCCTTGTGGCCCATCATTCCTCTGGGTCCGGCTTCTCCAGCAGGACCTGCTGGTCCCGGCGGTCCAGCTGGCCCCGTGAGTCCTGGACTTCCAGGGGCTCCAATGGCCAGAGGTTTCTTGGCTAGTTCCTTCTTATAGGCATCTAAATGTTCTGTTTGGTACAATACAATGTTACAGTTAAGTTGCCATTTAAAAAGAAAAAAATACAATTGATGTAGGTCAGGGGTGCCCAATCCTGTTCCTGGAGATCTACCTACCCCTATCTACCTCTAACACACCTGTCTGTAATCATCAAGTGCTCCTGAAGATGAAGTTCAGGTGTGTTTGATCGGGGTTGGAGCAGGAAGATAGATCTTCAGGAACTGAATTGGGCATCCGTGAGGTGATGAGGGTACGTTTACACGACAACGATTTACTAAAAATGGAAACGTTTTTTCCTTTGCATTTTTCGTGTACAGACGACACCATTGTCGAAACGATCTGATCTGCAAAAACGACTGAAAATGCTGTATTGGCCGTGTAGTTGGCGATGTCACTTTGTAAAGCAACACTATAACCCTACAAGCATGCGCATTACGCCACCGTTTTCACAAATTCACGTTTTTGTAGTTTACACAAACAATAACGGTATTGTTTTCAAAAACGTGCACTTTGAAACCCGTTTTTAAAAGTTTGTGTTTTCAGGCCGCCAAAAACGCCGTTGTCATGTAAATGAACAGCCAAAACGCATAAAAGGTTTTCCCTTTTTAGTTGAAAACGTTGTCGTGTAAACAGCCCTTGAAACAGCATCTCGAACAAGAAAAAAATGTAGGGTGGGAATTGTTTTTGTCTGTCAGTAATTGTTGGGATAGATGTGGTTTGCTATTGGTCGATCTCATGTGAGTGACAGGTTGCCCCGCCCTCGTGCCAGAGAACACGACATCAGAGAAGAGATGTTGATGCAAGAGGGAGAGGAAGTTATTTTGATAAAAGATTACGAGGGCACATGAATGAAAAAAATAATAAAAAATGTATGTGCACTTATAAAATCCTTTACAATAAAAATACTGCAATTTTCCATTATTATTATTATTTTTTATTTCATGGTGACTTTAACTGATAAAGATGTCGTACCTTCAACAATAACTGAACAAATCTCACGGATCTTCTCGTCATTCGTCTTGGGCCCCTTTTAAAAACAAATTTTTACAACAACATCAGCAACAACTGCACAGAAAGCAGAAGCAACGCACTGTCCAGTCAAAGATGAAAGTGAACATATAGCAATGTACTGACAGGTAGACCTCTGGGACCAGGGGATCCTGTTAGGCCTCGTTCCCCCTCCAGACCTCTGGCTCCCTGGGGTCCCGTCAGACCCTCATGGCCTGGCTGTCCTGGACGACCATCAGCTCCTGTAGCTCCTCTCTGGCCTTTCTCTCCACGCTTAGATAAAACAAAGAATGAGAAGATAAAACAAACATCCAACAAAAGCAATAATTTGTATTTCCTGAAGGAAAAGTTTTACAGTAATTTTGTGGTAAGTTTAGTTTTTTTTTTTATTCTACATATTTATATACACACACACACACACAATTGATTTTTTTTCACAGTCCTAGTTTACACACATATACATATATATATATATATATATATATATATATATATATACACACACATACAATAATTTATTTTATTTGATGATTTATTATAAAAAATATTGTTATATCATTTATTTCATATTATTGGTTTATTTTATATATAGAAATATTTAGATTTTAAAATTACATCTTTGTTTGTTATTCTACAATACGCCTTGAATGAATGTTTAAGTGGCACGCTTACCTCTCCCTTGATTCCAGTAATACCCGGAGGCCCCTGTAAACCATTATTAAAAACCATCACACTACTGTACACACACTGGAATACCATAATTAGAGGGTGTGACTGGGTATGCTGCTATAAATATGGCGAACCTGATCACCCTTCACGCCTGGTTCTCCCGAAACACCTGGATCTCCCTGTAGAACGAAGAGAGAGAAAGATATTAGTGTAAAATTACACGGTATTCAAGTGCAGGAAGCAGCAGGTGTTTAATACGGTCACTGAGTGCATAGTTTGACTGGGGCATTTTAATTTACCTCACTTCCTTTGGGACCGACGGGACCCATTGGACCCTGAAAGAACAGGAAAAAAAAATGACATGATCACACACAGCGGACAATAATGTCTGCTCTGTTGTGATTATTACAATAAACAATGATCACACCTGGTCTCCTTTATGACCCGTGTGACCCTTGATTCCACGGGGACCCATGAGTCCTTGGTCACCTTTATCTCCCTGCGGAAGTAGTCAAAATAATAATGAAATACTGTATGAATAACAATGTATAATTGTACAGCGCTTCACCTAATAATTGCCTTTTATTAGTACTAGTCACACATATACTGTAATTAATTATACTAATTGGGGGTGGGGGTTTTCATCTGGAAATGGGTTTTTGCAGGATGGGATGTCTGTAAATGCTTGGATTTACATGCAAACGTATGCAACAGGGTTAGTATCTATCAATACACTTTTTTTTTTTGCACACTAACATAAAACTTGCTCACATGTACTGTCTTTGCCATCTCCAGCAAAGTACATAGGTTTACTGCATAGAATAAGTATGCATATTGGATAACACAGTCATTAAGATCCATAATCAAACCAACGGGTCTGTGTCCAACCCACCTGGATTCCTTGTGGGCCCATTGAGCCGACTGGACCCTGTTTTCCCGTTTCACCCTGAGGAGGACAAGTTTGTTGATTAATTGGATGCATTTTTCAACAAATTGTACATGAATTGTAATCTCAGGACAGAATGGTGTGCACCAAAGGAAAAAAAAATCTGAATTATATGTATTTCTGAATTATGTTTTTATTACAGTGGATCCTTTGGCTCCTGGAGTTCCATCTTCTCCTGCTGGTCCAAGTGCTCCCTAAAATATAACATTAACATGATTATAACTCATAAAAAAAAAAAAAACATGCGTACAAGTGTAAAAAAACAAAACAAAAACATTATACTCACATCTTTACCAGGAAGCCCAATTGGACCAGTCGGCCCTACAGCACCAATATCACCCTGTAATAGAAAGAGTGTAATTGCTTGCTATGGCATCACTGTTTTAAAATTTAAATGAGATTCAGCATATATTATTTTTTTATGTAATGATGTTAACCTTTTGGCCTGCAGGCCCCACGAGTCCCTGTTTTCCTGGCAAGCCCTAAATTTGAGATGCAATATTGTTAAGTCAAGGTGAGTCACAGATTACAAATTATAGTGTGCAAAATGTCATAGCTGATAGCTTTAATATACAGTATATAATATAATAATATAATCTAATTAGATTAATATAATGTAATTACAAGTATATCTGATTACATAATCCAGATTAAATATAATCAGTCACTACCCAGCACTGCGCACATGCACATAAATATACATTGATTAACTCACTGGAATTCCCACAATTCCTCTGACACCAAGGGCTCCGGGCAGACCTGGGTCTCCCTGTCAAGCAGACAGCAAAATCTCAAAATCTTCCTAAGTTTTTATCATTGAACGAGCCAGATTTAAGAAAACAATATGCATTTTAATTAACAAAAAAGGTCAAATACAGCATCATAAAAACTGGATATGCATGCAGTGTAGCAGGTACAAATGGAAATGTTTTTCCATGAAGTTTGCATCATCATAAACCATTGAATCATCATCATAAGTCACCTTCTCTCCAGTAGCTCCTGCTGCTCCATCAGATCCATGCTTTCCTGGCTCACCCTGCACATAACATCCTCTTCATCATTATTAAAGTTATCATAGACATTTCAAATAACTCTTTCATTACATAATTATTATCATTTTGAGCATAAAACTACTGAGAACTGATTAATCCGTGACTCACAGTGTCACCCTTGGCACCCGCAGCTCCTTTCTCTCCCGGCGCTCCGATCGCACCCTAAAACAACGCATTATGATTAGTCAGAAAGAAACCAGGTACCTTTAAATGGTTTTTGCTGATTTTGCTCAATTCATAGTGTTCTTGAGTAGGGTAGATCATACGGACAAGCAATAACTCACATCATCTCCTTTAGGCCCAAGATGTCCCTGTCGCCCTCTGATGCCTTCAACACCCTGTTAAGACACATACATATTCATTTACTTCACTAAACTCAATATAGAATTCATTATCTGTACAAAATAACTGTTAGTTGACCAACTGCACTCAAATTTGCTGCATCCTGGGTTAGCCCTACGGAGTGTCTATTTACACCAAGAGCAAATAGCCCACCTTGTTGGCCGAGGCTATTTACACTAACTCCGCCCACCATTATCTGATTGGGCCAGACGAAATGACCAAATTAGCTTTTGACTTGGCCAACCCGAGTTTGAATCCATCTTTTAACTCATTCTTCTCCCTTTTCCCATCACATATCAGCTCAAAAATATTCGAAAAGCGTAAATAAAGAGCATAACGGGTGTAGAATAGCTGGAATATAGTGTTTAATGGGTAGGTGTAGTGGTGGGCTTTAGAGACAGGGACAAGAAATGTCCCCAATAAAGCAGCATCCATTTATGATTTTAATAAATACAATCAAATAAACTGAATATGTTGTTATTATTGCACTGTTTTATAATATACTACAATACACTGAGGTGCAAATAGTATCTGCCACTATTTGCCCTAAGTAAAAATAGCATCGTACTAATATTTACACTTAAATACATTTACACTTAATTTTGATGGTCCATTTTAGACATTCTACTAACTATAAGTAACTTTGCAACTACATGTCAATTAACTCTCATTAGAGTATTAGTAGGCTGTAGCAGACTGCTGTTCCAACGCCATCTCACGACCAATTTTTACGAATTCGTACGAGTGATTAAAAGGTGGCTAATTCGTACGAATTCGTACGACCTCACTCGTACAAATTCGTACGATTCGTCTAAACCCACGTGACGGGTAGGTTTAGGGGCGGGGTCAGGGGTAGGTCATTCTTACGAATTCATACAAATTTGGTAACTCGTAAAATATGTACGAATTAGCAAAAATCGTACGAATTTGTACGAGTGAGGTCGTATGAATTCGTACGAATTAGCCACCTCATAAAATTCGTACGAATTGCCGTGAGATCGGGTTGGGTGTTCGGGTTAGTAGAATAAGTTGACATGTAGGTGCAAAGCTACTTATAGTCAGTAAAATGTCTGTTGGGGGAGCATCATAATAAAGAGTTAGCAGATATTAAGCAGACAGTTTACTCATACTCTAATGAGAGTTAGTTGACATGTAGTTGCAAAGTTACTTGTAGTTAGTATAATGTCCAAAGTGGAGCATCGAAATAAAGTGTTACCGAAAACACTGCTATTTTTACTTAGCATAAATTTAAGGCAGCGATAGATGCTATTTACACTTAGTAACGCTGAAAATGTATTAATTAAATTTGTTAATTTATTATATACAATATATTATTATTATATTAATATATTATTTAAAATAAATATAGATATTGTAATTATATTATTTTTAGTTTAGTATTTATTTAACTCATTTATGCACTCGTGATGCCACAGGACTGTTCTCTATCTCCCTAAAATAGCTTGATATCATCTTAAAATCTTGCTTTTATATCCTATAAGCTCTGTTGAACTCCATTTCCACTAGACTAGCTTGCTGAACAGTCTTTTCTCATGAATATCAGATAAAGTCATAAATCATCTGTGCTTTGATGCCAGACTTTAGTTCAGAACGACAGTGTATATTTGATTTTTTTTTTTTTAAATTTGTGAAACACTGCTCACGTACTGGGGATCCTGGTGGTCCGGTGGGTCCTGGGATCCCGTTGAATCCAGGAGGACCCTGCAGACATGAAACAGACAGGCTAAAACTTTACCAAAAGTTCATTGTGCTCAGCTGGAAGAATGACATTTCTATTGCTTTTGTGTTATCACACAAGCCTAAAATATTATTCCCTGCATACATTATGCTCACACAGCAGTTTTAATCTGTACGATCACTTCAGATGTTAATTGATTGGCTTTATTGAGCTTTAAACAAATGTAATAATTATGTCATGCATTGATCGGGCTGGAGGACATTGCTCTGCAAGCGTTCCTCTGGTTTCTTGCTCTTTCCTCATCTGATGCAGATGAAGAAGATGTTTTAAGTCTTACCCGATCTCCTTTATCGCCATGAGGTCCAGGGAATCCGATAGGACCTCGCTGACCCTGCAGGGAATTTGAGTAAACACTATGACAATGTGTCAAAGAGATATTCTTGTGGTGACAGATAATATTAAAAAGTTGAATGCATCTAAGCCTACAACGAATAAACAAAGTCTTCATACATCATCTCCTGCACGTCCAGGAGGACCTGACTCTCCAGCGGTCCCTCGCTCTCCCTGTAAATAAAGAAGAAAATGATGCCAGTGTTTGTTGATTAATCAATCTGAAGAGCTTGTCTATAGCCGTTTCTAGGTTTTCATGATTTCCATTACACGAGAGTAGATGTTAAAACTTCATGCTGATTTGTACTCGGCTTTCGCCAAGATAAGCAAAACTAAGACGTAGCTTTACAGTAAACTATGCTTCTCCATCCATTTACGCTTCTTTCCATAAGGTGGTGTGACTCCCCTTCTGTCCGGCGTTAATGGCAGCAGTGTACTTGGGGCGTCAGCGCACGCGACGGCTGCAACTACAGGACCAGCACGACAACCGTCTGGATTGAGCCGAGTAGGGGACATCTCTAGGGTCTTCAAGTGGGCACCTTCCGTCCTTAGTGTTTAGTCGATTAGCCCACGACACCTCAAGAGGGCTCGACAGTGACTGTGGCGTCCCAGAGTCACCCCCCTCCGTCCCCCACTCAACTCAGCCCAGCTTACTGACCTCTACATCCCTCCTGCTGCTGAGACCTAACCACAATCTCACAATCTCGCCGCAACCCGACCATACGCGCCAACCCGTTGACTAAGGCTGTCGAGCCCCACTGGTGCGTTAATATGCAGTTTCAGTGGCAACGGTTCCGTATGGCATACCACCTACCGCAAAACACAATATCTGCCCAACCACTCGTCATTCACGCAATATCCACAGGAACGTATACAAACAAACCAACAGACTCTTCAAGTTTTCAAGAATTCTACGAAACCGTAGCGTGGCGGCCTGTACACAGCCAGCTAGAATCTTTCCGTCTCAACCACAGCCAGTTGCTGCTCCTTTCTGCTGCTTCAGATAAGTTCTTTACTGTGCGACGCAACTCTTGGCCACTGAATCCGACGTCTCTGAGGAACCGGGTTGTAGAGTGTGCCACAAAACCTCGACAACCCACTTCCACTGGATAAACCTGGACTCTCCATCCTCGCTGTTCTGCTTCAGTGGCCAGATGAGTACCGCAGTTTCTTCCTCTCATATGCCTCATCTACAGCATCCTCCCATGGCACTGTTAACTCTATCAGTTGAACAATGCGTGCTGATCCAGACCACAAAACAATATCTGGTCGTAGGTTAGTGGTGGCAATCTCAGGTGGAAAAATAAGCCGTTGATCAAGATCAGCCAGCATCTTCCAGTCCCTAGCAGCTTCCAGTTGTCCTGGGCGAGAATTGGTGTTAACACCTTTTCTTGGTGGTTGCTCGCCTGGGCGGAGGAATATTGTCTTCTGCGTGTAATGTCTTGCTAGAACAGGTGGCAACTTATTGGTCATACTACGCTTGCCTACCAATGCTAAAGCCAAACATCGCAGTACTTGGTCATGGCGCCAAGTAAACCGACCTTGGCTAAGAGCCACCTTACATCCTGTCAAAATGTGCCTTAATGTGGCAGGTGATGAACACAAAGGACAAGAGGGATCCTCTCCTACCCAGAGGTTTAGGTTCTGCGGTGATGGGAGAACATCATATGTTGACCTAATAAGGAAACTGATCCTACTCTCTTCCATTGACCAAAGGTCTTGCCAGCCCATCTTACGTTGTTCCACACTCTCCCATCTCATCCACTCTCCCTGCTTGGCCTGGGAAATGGCCTTTATACACCTCATCCTCTCCTCCTGCTGTCGCACCTCGTTGACTACCAGCTTCCTCCTTTGAGCTGGGCCTGCCTTGTGCCATTTAGGAGGAGCTAAACTGAGCCCAAAACCCCCTCTTCCATGCTGTACCTGTCCCACGATATCCCTAATTTGAAGGGCAGCCTTTGCCTCTACTACAGATTTCTTTGCTGACCACTTTCTACCAGTTTTTAACACAGGGGCTGCCTCCCTTACACATTTGTCGCGTGACTCTACTAAGGTCATTTCCAGTCTGACCTTGGCACACTTGAACTCCTCGGTTAAAGCAGAGACTGGCAGCTGCAATATTCCTTTACTATAAAGTCCCGCTCTGCTGAGGCAGCGTGGAACTCCCAACCATTTCCTGATGTATGAACTTATCAACGCTTCCAGTTTATCCACTGTTGTCAAAGAAACGTCGTACACGGTCAGTGGCCACAGCAACCTCGGCAGTAGACCAAACTGAAAGCACCAGAGTTTTAGTTTACCAGGTAGAGCACAGCTGTTTATGCTCTTCAACCCTTCCACTGCTTGTCGTCTAACTTCTCCCACCCGAACTGTGTCCTTTAGATCCCCATCGTACCATCTCCCAAGACTCTTCACTGGCTTCTCAGAAACTGTTGGTATTGCCTCACCATTAATGAAGAAACATTTTTTCAAAGCACTCTTACCTTTTCACCCAGGATACCTGGCACACCGTCCACACCTGGAAGACCACGATGTCCCTGGCAGAGAGATTCAATTTAATAACACCTTCATTCATTAGAAAAGTAGTTGGTGTTTGGCCAAAAAAACGCTCTTTAGTGAGCAAACTGATGTACAGCTACTTTGGACAACATATTTCATCTTTGTGCCACATTCATCAATTTCTCCTCACCAAGACACATGATTAGAGGAATGATTCATGTCTGAAGCACAAGTTACGTGCCAAAGTTTATTACTTAGGGGTATGGACTCACCTTCATCCCTGGCAGACCAGGCAATCCCTGTGGTCCAGATGGGCATGTTGTCTGGCACTGCTAACAAAATGAGACACACAAACGCATCAGGTCTATTCATCACTAACTGCAGGATCAGACAGGAAGTGAAGAATAACTCAACCAGCCTGTAGCTCACCAGAGACATGCAAAAGGAGCACTGAAGATTGAAGATGAGGGAGCATAACACTGGAGCCGATTGTCAACTCTTAAAAAACATTTGCTGCATTTTCACGAGCCAATGATAAATTATAGTGCAAATATAGTGCACGTTGACATACAATCCAAGTTCTATATGTTGCATGCTGTATCTTTTTGTGTTTTAAGATATAGGCCTTTGGCAGAACATTTCTTGAATGCTGATGTGCAGGTTCGGTGTGTCCATGTGAAGCATAAATGTTATTAAAATCTAACAAGCACTCACAGTCTCCCCACTTCCCTCAGGGTTCCCAGCACCTTGTGGCCCCTACGGACAGCAGAAGGACAGCAGCGTAGTTTAGATTCAGACACACACTTAAGCAAAGCCCCTTTTAAAATCCTCAAAGGTTACAGCGTTCAGGACAGATCTGCGTGAAAGCTCTGCATTAGTTCTAAACCCTCTGAAAGCCAGAAGTCACCTGAACCAATTAAAGTAAGGGGTAAAAGCAGAGACAAAAAGTCTTAGGATGTATAAAGGTAGACAGTGAATTACAGTGAGTTTTAAATAACAGATAGCCGACGGCAAAACTTCAAGAGCCAAATTTGAAGTTTTGTATCTGTTAGTAGCCTATAGGTTGGGTTTGGTAATGCTAATGTACTGCTAAAAGTTGACGAAATTAATGACATTTGTAATGCAGTAATGTAATTGTAAATGTAGTCTAATGCAAATTTGGACAATAAAAGTACAGGAAAGTCTCCTCCCCCCCACCACCATATTACAATGCACTGTCACTGCCACCACAAAACAGATTTTTATTTTGTCTTGCGTTACAGATTTTTATTTTATCTTGCGTTACAGATTTTTATTTTGTCTTGTGTTACAAATTTTCATTTTATCTTGCGTTACAAATTTTCATTTTATCTTGTGTTACAAATTTTTATTTTATCTTGCGTTACAGATTTTCATTTTATCTTGTGTTACAGATTTTTATTTTATCTTGCGTTACAGATTTTTATTTTGTCTTGTGTTACAAATTTTCATTTTATCTTGCGTTACAGATTTTCATTTTATCTTGCGTTACAGATTTTTATTTTGTCTTGTGTTACAAATTTTCATTTTATCTTGCATTACAAATTTTCATTTTATCTTGTTACAAATTTTTATTTTATCTTGCGTTACAGATTTTTATTTTGTCTTGTGTTACAAATTTTCATTTTATCTTGCGTTACAAATGTTCATTTTATCTTGTGTTACAAATGTTTATTTTATCTTGCGTTACAGATTTTCATTTTGTCTTGTGTTACAGATTTTTATTTTATCTTGCGTTACAGATTTTTATTTTGTCTTGTGTTACAAATTTTCATTTTATCTTGCGTTACAGATTTTCATTTTATCTTGCGTTACAGATTTTTATTTTTTCTTGCGTTACAGTTTTTTTATTTTATCTTGCATTACAGATTTTTATTTTATCTTGTGTTACAAATTTTCATTTTATCTTACGTTACAGATTTTCATTTTGTCTTGTGTTACAGATTTTTATTTTATCTTACGTTACAGATTTTTATTTTATCTTGCGTTACAGATTTTTATTTTATCTTGTGTTACAGATTTTCATTTTCTCTTGTTACAGATTTTCATTTTTTGTCTTTTTTAATTTTAATTAATTTATTTTATTAATCAATGAATACATTTTGTATTAATACATTTATAGTCAATAAGTTAGTTGTTAACTGTTTTAGTTCAGTTTAAACAATAATTTTCTGTATTTTTACATTTTATTTGAATTTCTACAAATTTCTAGATTAAAATTCAATGATGTAAACAAAAACTCAATACAGTGAGACATAGACATAAACTCTAAAATTAAAACTCTACCATTGAGTGTTCTGGTTATATGGACACTAAACTAAATTAAGCCCATTACAGTATACGTTGCCTGAAAGTTGTTTGAAAACATTCGCCATATGTAAATTTGCTAAACTTATGAAATATATCAATGGTAGAAGCCGGTCTTACTGCTGGTCCTGGAGCTCCTGGTGGGCCTGGTGGTCCTGGGACCCCAAGTCCTCCTCTTGGTCCAGGAGGACCCTGGAAAAATATCATAAAGGATATTTATATTCTGGTAACAGAGACAATCAATAAAGCAATGACAACAAGAGCTAGATTAAGTATGAAAACCGATATGTAATGACAATTGTATACTGTAAAGGTGGCACAGAAGCGCTTCTGAAATGGCATTTAGGTGTCTTTACACAGACTGTTTAATGCAGCTTAAAGGTGGCATGAATGCATTTACACCGCAATTATAACTGTATACTTTGATACTAAGGGTTGAAGTGGGTCAGAGCAGGCATAATTTAATCAGGCTTTTATGCAGCACTACACAGAGATTTGAGCAGCCTTAACTCTTTAGCTATATTAAGATGCCTTAGTATTAATGCACTGCGTAACACTTTGAAAAGAATTCCGACCTCTGGTCCGATGTTTCCCTCATCTCCTGGAGTACCAGGCTTCCCTGGGGGGCCCTGCATGAGTGGAAAATAGCATTAAGAAGTGTAAATGTGAAATTAAAAGATGTGAGTGAGACTAATTACAGTAAAACCAGTTTTTTTGTTACATACTGGAGGCCCAACAGTCTCTGGTCCCTAGAAGAAGAAAAACACAATAACAACAGAATAAGTCAAACCTTCAAAATGCATAATTTGTCTAAAAAGCATGGTACAGTCGTTTTTGCTAAGTAAATAATCAAAAGCACAAGAAAACAATGATATGACAATGCAATGTCAATAGAACACGTCAACATCACAAAAACAAAAACATTTAGAATTTAACAGTGAAGCGCTTGTTTGCTTTCCAAAACGAGGAAAAGACTTACCGGGGGTCCGGCAGATCCAGGGAAACCAGGAAGACCCTACAACCCCCCAAAAAACAAATCTTAGCATAATGACATGAATTCACAGTCCCATTAAAATTTCACAACTTTTTTTTTTTGTTTTTTTTTTAAAATGTGTGCATTTTATGAAAGACTATTTTGCAGGTAAATAGTGAATTGTGAAGAATCTGAGAAAATGCATCATTTTATTGATTTCTCGCTGTTCCGCAATCATGGAATCATGAAAAACGGCAGGAAATGAATGTGAATTCAAACAGACAGTGAATTTAAGGGGTCATTCTGAGGTCTCTTACTCTTTCTCCCACTGGTCCTCGTGGCCCCATGGGGCCCATTGGTCCCTACACATATAGAAAGAGAACCAATTAACATCAAAGTAATTCATTTAGCACAATGAAATGAAACAGTTTGTGTGCTGCTATGAAACTGATTACACGTTATTGATCGTCTCATTGGTAACTCTTTGCAATAAGGTCCCATCGCATTAACTAACATATGAATATAATGAGCAATACATTTGTGATAGTATTTATTTTTGTTAACGTTCGTTAATAAAAGTACTACTATTCATTGTGCAGTTAACTAATATTACCAAATGGAACTTTATTGGAAAGTGTTATCGTCTCGTTTAGGTTGTGTTATTAATGTCATGTGTCTCAATACTAACCAATAGTCCTGGGACCCCCTGCAGTCCTCTCTGTCCTGGCAGTCCAACCTCGCCTCGATCTCCTTTACTGCCCTACGACACACACAGAAAGACAAAAACAGTTTCATCACCATTCAGCATCGACTGCAGCTGTTGCTAAGATATGGCGGAGCCCGGTGGGTCTATTCTAACATAACTAGTGATGCATCTGTCCTCATCTGATAGGACCAGAGTCAGCTCTGAGCAGCATTTCACCTATTTATGACACACCAGATGATGGTGCAATTCAACCACGCTTTCCCTAAATAGATATTGACGCAGGAAGCTGGATTGATTGGCTGTGTTTTGGATCTGGCAGCCTGTAAATGCATTTTCTCATTAGGAGTTATAATATAAAACTTGCTGTTTTAATGGGTATAGCGGTCAAGTTCAATAAAGGTAATATTCAATCTTACTGAATGAACGCCAAGTTTTTATACATGTTGTATAATACAATTCATGTGACACATAGGGCATTGTTCAAATATAGTTCTCAGAACTCTGTTCTCATTTTTTAAAATGAGCAGCGCAGATATCCCTTCTCAATTACTATTATTAGTACTTTTTTGTTGTAATTCAAACAGTATACTATTTTCTATAGAAAATGTTTAAAAGAACAAGATATACCTTTTTATACTGTGCATTTTCATATTGTGTTGCCTACTTATTTTGTAATACACACTTACAATTTTAGTGATTTTTATTAGAATTTATGTGTGTTTTATTTTTTTTTAAACAGAACACACACACACATATATATTATATATATACTGTTTTTTTTTCAGTACACAAATATAATCACAATATAGTTATATACAGTATATATATATATATATATATATATATATATATATTGTTTTCATTTTTAGTGTAGAAAAAAAACTTTGTAACAACTTCGTAGCATCCAAGCTATTTTTTGTGTGTTATAATAATAAGAATATTATTATATATCAGCTTTATAATTGTTAGACCTTACAAACTACGTTTTTTAGCTGGTTTAATTAAAAAAAGAGATAATATAATGATATATCAGCTTCATAATCTTTGTAGCTTACAAACTATTTATTTTTAGTGTTTAATAATAATAATAATAATAATAATAGATTTATGCATCATCTTTATAATCTGCTGTAGCAAAAATAATGATCAGCTCATCAGTATCGGTCAGTATCAATTTCAATATCAGTGCATCCCTTTTCCTAACTCTAGGACTAACTTTTAGAACAATGTCTCCCTGAAGATGTTGGAGATAAAGATGTTTCTTCAATTTTCCATACTTACCGGAGCTCCAGGGGTGCCCGGGGTGCCTGGAATACCCTGAAGAACAGAAGATTTTTTTTTGAGAAAAAAAAAAACTAGGTGCTAAAAAAACACAGTAAGTCAGTTAGTGAGACAGGACAGATGTGTCGACATAAGAAAATCTCCAATGAGCAACTCCTGCCTCCCTGAACAAGAGAATAAATCCCTAATGAGCTGGCCGGGACCAAAGAACAAACGTTTCATTAGCTTTTGTGGAAGACTGAGCTGCTTAAGTCTAAAAGGAACAATTCTAATGGAGGTTCATTAGACTTTTACTTCAGGACTGGATCACAGAAGATGAAAATACAAAAGAACACGAGTTAAAAAGTTCAAACTGATAATCATTTTGATTTGAGCATCGCTACAGTGAATGAATAGGAAAATCGAATCCTTTGTCGATTGTATAACTAAATATCTTGTTTAATTATGTTACGGCTAACATACAGTATATCATCATTACTGTATGTATTTTCTATTTTTCCCAAATAATAATAATTAATAGTAAATTAATAAGATAATAATAAAAATAAAAATAATGAAATGCATTCATTATTTAAAAAATATTGTTTTGCCATATTTGTGTTCAATATGCATCAGATCTACTGGTAATTTCTCATATAAACGTGAAGTTGACTACATTTCTAAGGCAACACACCCCAGACGAATAGGGTAAAAACAAAACGGATTTAAAAAAAAAAAACATACTTCCCCAGTTAATTGATTATATTAAGAATTGCACATATTTTTTGAATCCAATTTTTTCTGACATGCTTTTAAATATGCAAATGAGGCATTGTCTAATCAAATATGAGCTAATTTGCATCAATTTCCAGAATAGGAATCTTAGGAAAGGATAACACCAGGTTCGGAAAATCGGTTTTACAGAGGGGATTTTGCATAACTCCATAAATAAGAAAATACTGTCAACAGCCAGAAAAAGCCTTAAAATATATGCATAGTAACTGAAATCTACAGACACAAACAGATAAAGTACAAGAAAATAAAGACGTTTAGGGTTATTTGGACGTTTTCTTTCCACTAGTCTGAAAAACATGTTATGAAAAGCCAAATAGCCCAAAATCTCACAATTGTCTGTAGTGTCTTGCTTTCATTTACAGTAGTCATGTTTATATTGAACAGAAAGACATACGTCTCTCCCGTCTCTGCCATCTTCTCCTGTGGGTCCACGAGGCCCCTCAGGGCCCTCAGGGCCGGGGGGACCAGGGATTGGCTTGGGATCCGGCTGTAAAGTGTTGAAGGAGTAAAAGAAGGAAAACGATGAGTAAATGTAAACATGAAATGTTTTAGAATCCTTTTTATCATTTGCTTTGGTCACAAATAATCTGTTTCATTAAACAAAATCAATATCCGGAAAGGCTGCAAATAATCTCTCTCTCTCCAGGGACCGTAAACAATTACTTTAACACAATAAAGAATAAAATGTAAATCATTATCTCTCTGCCGCCGGCTTCTCTTTATTAGCTTAAGCTTCAAGCGAGCCAAGGAAATTTAGAAAGTAACTGTATTCTTTCAAGGATGATTTCGTGAAATTTCAAAGAAATTTCTTAATAAAATATCACATTATTAACCTTGTGGTGTTAATAATCTCATATATAAATGCATAAAAGCTGTTCCGGGTCATGTTTTGTGGATTGCAGTAAGTATAGCAGGTAGCAATGAGTCACTTCAGCAACAAAGCATTGTAGTAGATTATTTGCTAAAAATAATAATGATAAATTAAAGAAAAACAAAGTAAAAAAAATCAAATACCTCAGCATTGGCATACATCTGAAGAAGCGAGAGAGAGAGAGAGAGAGAGAGAGAGAGAGAGAGAGAGAGAGAGAGAGAGAGAGAGAGAGAGAGAGAGAGAGAGAGAGAGAGAGAGAGAGAGAGAGAGAGAGAGAGAGAGAGAGAGAATTAAGATTATTGCAGAGTTAGTGAAAGTGAAACCCCTTCACCAAAAAGAGAAAGCACACCTGTAGATGGCGCCACAACATGCGGCCTACGATAGCACCCCGCTGGCAAACTCGTCAAAAAACAAAGCAAATGCGTGAATGCCGACATTGACGTCAACCGTTAAGTGGCGAAGTGAGATGTTGAGGCAACTAGCGTTTCCAGTCGGCCATAGCAATAAACTCGATATTGTTAAGGTTGTACCTTGGTTATGCAATGCATATATTAGAATGAAAGTAATGCTATTGATAATAATTTATTCAAAATTGTGACTAAAGTCTTAAATTGTACAATTGTATTGACAGTTTACTGCTTAAAACCATCTTTGACCAGCTTAAGGTGGTTTGATGGTCTTTGCATCCAGTTTTGGATGCTTGCTGATGAGGGTAAAAAAGCAGCCAAACCACCTTTCAGCCTTTCAGCAGGGAGCTGACTTGATTTTTCCATATTTAAGTTGTTAAACATAACAACAAAAAAGATTGTTTTCTCATTTAAGACAAACAGGAAGTGATGAAAGCATACCTCAGTCAGAGGAAGTTCCGTGCAGCTCTCTCTCTGAGCTCTCTTTGGGTCACAGTGAATCAGCATCCACTGCAACTCAAACTGGAAAACATAAAACAACCAAGTTACTGCTTTATTTGTACAGTAACTACAACAACTGCTTCGTGTTGAACATGAAAAGTGATGCACAGTCTCTTGTAAGTTCTCTTCATAAATAAATAAATGCATAATCCAGCCTACAGTATATGCTCATCCTGTATATTCGTGATTAAAAATGAAAATATGAATGAATACAAAAGCTATGAAATGACAGGTAATAATAGATTATGACAGAATTTTTATGACCCTGTCTGTTAAAATGAAAGTCTAACGCAACCACTGGACTACATTTACAAATCCCTCCGACCACAAACCTTATTTGATTTACATATGCATTTTCAGACTTATTTTTATCCGTCCTTTGGACAGGAAGTGACAAGGTGCTGAGGTTCAGTAATCTGGCAGTTTCAGTGTGACAGTTACACAGACCGACAGTCACATTTATCACAGGTACAGACTGTAACAGGATGTGATGGATTTGGCAGGTGTGGGGTGACAGTAACATTCATCAAATACAGCAGAGATCAAAACAACTGAATTAACCCTTTCAAACATGTTCAATATTAGTTCTTATAAGTCTTTGTTACCTATTTAAAATGCCATTTAAATTATTCATATTAAAGCAAAATCAAATCTTAACATCTTAACAAGGTATATGTCTGAACACAGTGATATTAAAGGGGCACTAAGTATTTTTGGTCACATTTTATTTTGAGGTGTCTTTGTTACAGTGTAATTATACATTTAAGTACCGAGTAATATGAATTAACTAGATCTACTTACTATTAGGGATGTCACGGTACCAAAATTCCAGTAGTCGGTACCGATACCATTAAAATTTTACGGTTCTCGGTACCAATTTCGGTACCACAGCAAAATCAGTTTGAACTATTTTTCCAGTCTATTTAACCATTTGAAAAAAAAAATTAAATTCAATTATTTATGATGGTAAATTTATGAAAGCATTGAAGGCTACATTCTGTTTAAACGAAAATATTGATGACATTGAGAAATATTGCTTATAAAAAAATCAAGGGAAAAATAAGCAACCTTCTATGCACACATTATTATTAGTAGTAGTAGTAGTATTTTTAATTAATGGAGACGTAGTTAAATCTATTGTACAGTAGCCTAATATATTTATTTCTGTCAATTTCTTTGTTAAACCAAACTTTTATTTTGACGGGTTGCCGTGAAGACCTTTGAGTTTCTGTGCGTGTATGATATGACGATAGTTTTTCTCAAATGAAACGATAAAGTGCTCATGAAGTGACTCTCAGAGATGAATTGAATCATGAATCATGTCATCATATCGTGAGGCAGCAGAGACGGAAAATAGCGCGAGCGTCACTCGACTCGTGCTTCAGTGTGTGTGTGTGTGTGTGTGTGTGTGAGGTAACGTTAAATGAAACCGCGCGTCTGCGCCGTTCATTCACACAGAGACAAGCAGAACACGCAGGGGTAATATTTAAATAGTCTTTTTTCATTTTAATATACACAGACACCACATCAGCAGCGCTGCCGGTCGCCATGTCTCAGCGCTTTCATGAAGAGGACGCAACTTCACGCCCTTCGCGCATGCATGCGCATCCAGAACCGGGTTTGACCGGATACTCGGTACCACCGGTACTTGGTACCGTGACGTTTAAATTTTTTTAGTACCGACTTGGTACCGAAGTACCGAATATTTTGACAACACTACTTACTATAGGATTAGGGTTTGGTTTAGGGTTAGTTGCACGTAATTATGCATAAGTTATAGCTATTATTAGTAACATGTAATAATCTAATAAGGACACTGTAAAATAAAGTGTTACCATATTTTTTTGTTATTGGCCAATGCAACACAGATAGAGAGATAGATAAATAAATAAAATAAATACATAAATAGCCAATGTAATACATTTTTCTGTATTTCTACATCTACATGAAATTCATCTTATGTGAGTGTGAATCATTTAAATGTCAAAAGTAAACTTAGTTTCTTAATGAATAAATTATTATCATCAACAATAACAACATATTAATAATAAATACTAAAGTAATTTTTTTGCAAGTATTTTTTATATAATCTAAATCTATATGCAATACATTATGAGACATTTTAAACATATCTGTCAAAAGCATGCTATTCATTTATTTCTTATAAATAAATAATGCATTTTATTTTTCTATATCATGTACATCTCATGGGACTCTATATTTTAAACATATCTGTCAAAAGAATAAATAAATATATAAAAATAAATAAATAAATAAAAGCGCTAATGATGAAACTGTTGCTCTCACCACTACAGAGGTGTTGGGATCAGAATCCAGTCTTCCGATGAGAGTGTCTCCCTCTGTGTTGACATAGCCTTTCCTCTTGATGGGCTTCTGGTCCACCGGGTGACAGTCCACGTACAGCGTCACCAGCTCCTTCTCCACGCCAACCATCACCTTGTGCCATTTAGTGTTGAAGAGGACAGAGAGGCCCGGAAAGGTGACGGTCTGGACGTCTCCTTCTATAGTGGTGAGGAAGAACTCCAGGGCCTGCTGGTCTCCATTGAGACGCATGCCTGCCTGCTTCAAGCCGTCTTCATCCACCACCTGCCAGATGTTCCACACCTTGTTCACGGTGTTCTTGATCATGCGGAAGGTGGTCATGAAGGAATACTCATCCGGAAAGCCTCTTGGAAAGTTCAGCCTGGTGGGAAACAAATACGGATATTTATTAAAGGTCCCATATTGTACACCTTTCTGGAGGTTTATTTGAGGTATTTATGTCCTTAAGAATATAAATGTGCGGTATAAGTACCAAAAACCATCTCAATATATTTTTTTATTAAGAACAGGTCGATTTTGGCCTGTCTAATTAATATTCATGAGCCTCTCTTGTGATTGGCTTGTTGTTTTCTGAGTGACGCACGGCCAGGCCAACCACAGGTAACTAGGGTCATGTATGCTGTAGGGTCATGGATGCTCACAAGTAAGGTAAATAAAACACCTGTAATGATGGGCATTGCTGAGGGAAATGTTATCCGGCCTTATATGTTCGAGCCGGACTCAGACCCCGAATCGGGACAACCAACCACCTCCTCAAACGCGCTAACAAAAGGATGTTTCAGAATGGAAATTAATGTTTTGGGTTTTTTCGGCTTTATTGTAAGAGTATTATAATTACCATTACATCAATGCTGCACGCAGATTTACCGTTAACGCTAATTTAAACTGTCTGTAAACAAACTTTTGAAATACTTTACCCATGCAAGGACACTTAACGTTAGTTTCTGTTAGCAAATCAAAAGACACAGAGACTGAGTGAACTCAATCTCACCGTCTTTAACTCAATAAAAACAACTAAGGAAAACAAACAACGTATTTTGTCTTGTTTCCAACAGATATTCTATCAAAGCTTGTGGCAACCATAGACTGTACAAAACAAGACGTCGGCATCAACTTACCAACACGTTAGTGTTGCATATCCGTTTACAAACTATAATTTTAGATTATGCTCCATAATGTAACATAAAATGTGTTAGAAGTTTATTTACGGGTTATGAATTTGAGGTTGGGCCCAATAATGTAGGGACTGCAGCATCTTTGATGAGTAGCTTCTTTGAAAAAGCGGCATTGAACTGTGCCAGACTGACGAAGCAGTCGCACAAATGTGCAGAACAGACGACTAAGGTCGAACTAAACTGCTGTGGTATTTAAATATTAGCCACTGGTCTCTTATATTAATGTTGTTCGGAAGCAATAATGTAGTTTCCTGACATCCATCGACTGAACAGCGTTTTCTCGGCATGTTTCCGTGTTGTTGTTGCTCAGCAACGATGTTGTCTGGAGTTGGGCAAAAGGAGGGAGGGATGGTGGGCAGTGCTCGGGGTGATGACTGAAGGCGGTGACTGAGTAGTTCAGACGTCACATTTATACGGAAGTCACAACGGCTTGTGAAAAGGCACTACTTTATGCAGGCTGTGTGCATTTGTCTGTGGATTGAAACTTATGTTTTAGTTACATAGCCCCTAGACCTCTGTTATCTTGAAAAAAGCCAGGAAATTTCAGTTTTGACAATATGGGACCTTTAAATATTTGTTTCTTAATACAGATTGCTTTTTTTATCACAAATGGATTGCAGAAGGCAACCAAGATCCGTCAGTGCCGTTAGATACAATGTGTATCTCTGTTATATCATGGATGCGACCAAGCAAATGTAAGTTACCTAATATTATATAAAAAAAGGTTTAGAAGCCAACTTTAAAGTTTTAAATATATATTTTTAATCTATATTAATATTGAGGTATGGTCTGAGGGCAAGTGGCTTTAGTGAAAGTGAAAAAACAACTAAATAAAATAAAATAAAGGTCCATTTGAAATGATACATTTGTGTTAAAAACATTCTAGTGATTCATTTAATAAAAATTGTTAAAAACTTGTCTCATTAAAAAAAAAATGTGGGGGAAAAAAACAAGGTTTAGAAACTTGTTTCAAATGTTTAAATATATAATTAAATCTATATGAATATTGAGCTATGGCCTGTGGGTGGGTGGTTTTAGTTAAAATGTATCAAATAAAATAAAATAAACAAATAAATAAATAAAAAAATAAAATACATAAAAAAAATAAAAAAATAAAAAAAATACAAAAATACAAAAATTAAATTAAATAAATAATAATAATCATAAAATAAAATTTATTAAAATAAAATAAAATAAAATAAATGAATTAAATAAGAGAGAAAATTACATGAAATGGTGCATTTTGTATTAAGAACACTAATGATTATTTTCAAAGTTTTAAAAACTGATGGCAGGAAAAATTGTTTAACTTTTTTTAAGAATTGCACTGTAAAAGCTTACATTTTAAACTATAATGTTGCACTGGTAGCTTTGTTAAACAGAAAGAACTACTGCAAATGCATAATGAAGTTACGTTCTTGTAATGAAGCGCATCTATTTATAAATGGGATGTATTACCTCTAAGAATAGTAATCCACCTCCATTATTGTCTGATCATCAAGGGAATAGCCCTGCATTATACACACAGCTCGGCTTCAAGTTGTTCTGAGATAAAATTATGAATAACATACAGATCAGAGAAGTCCACTTTCATCTTCAAAGCCTGTGTGTCGTCCGTGAGTTATTTCAGATGAAAATAGATGAATCAGATGCCGGGCTGCAGGCGGTGAGGGAACAACACACACCATCTGAGAATCAATTACCTTGTCTGGTTTTACACGCACCCTCTCTGGGCTCGACCCCGTGTGGTGTTTTAACAGGCAGAGGTGCTCTGCGGGAGATGTTCTCACGAATGAAGCTACAGCAGCCTTTAACCAGCTTGTAAATGGATCAAGGCGAGGCCATAAATATGGAGTTTCCTGTTGGCTAGTAAAATAAATGAGGGCCACTGTTCGGAATAATGACAATGACAATGACAATTTATTTGTATAGCACTATTAAAAACAACAGCTGTTGACCAATGTGCTTTCCACATAGACTCACAAATCAATAAGGAACCCCATATTCAAGCAACATGCAAACACATACAAAACACAGTCTTTAATCAAAAGCTTTTGAAAATAAATAGGTTTTAAGTTTGGATTTAAAAATAGTAAGAGATGGAGCCTGTCTTAAGCTAATTGGGAGAGTATTCCAAAGTCTAGGTGCAGCGATGGAAAACGCTCGATCTCCTCTGCGCTTTAGGCGCGATTTTGGGGTAGACAGTAAGGCCAGATTTGAAGAGCGTAGAGACCTTGCAGGCTTTTGTTCTATTAATAATTCTACTAGGTACGTTGGTGCTAATCCATTTAAAGATTTATAAACTAAAAGTAATACTTTAAATTCTACTCTGTAACACACCGGTAACCAATGCAATGATCTTAGAATCGGTGTAATATGCTCTCTCTTTTTTTTTTTTTTCGCACAGAAAACGGGCCGTAGCATTTTGGACACATTGTAAACGAGATAGTGTTTGCTGACTAATTCCCAGATATAACGAGTTACAATAGTCCAATCTCGACGAAATAAATACATGAATTAATTTCTCAAGATCTTTAAATGAGAGAAACGGTTTTGCTTTAACGAGCAGACGTAACTGATAAAAACATGATTTTACCACGGAGTTTATTTGACGATCAAATTTTAGATTATCGTCTAAAACAAAACCCAAATCTTTCACCCACGGTCTCAAGTACACGGACATCTCACCCAGATTTAGGTTTACAGATTTTGATTGCTCAGATGGGCTAAACATAATGATTTCAGTTTTCTTTTCATTAAAAATTAAAAAATTTAAAGAAAGCCATGCCTTTACCTCCTCTAGGCATGCTGTAAGAGACGTTAGGGTTAAAAAATCTCGTTTCACGGGCAAATAGACCTGTGTGTCGTCTGCGTAGCAGTGAAATGACAGACCGTGTTTTTTAAAAATGGACCCAAGAGGAAGCATATATAAAGAAAATAATAATGGAGCTAAAATAGAGCCCTGCGGAACTCCATAGTGTAGGTGTGCTGTACTCGAGTAACGTTCTCCTATCTTAACTGAGAAACTCCTATTTGTTAGAAATGATATTAACCATTTCAAAGCTGTACCTCCTATACCAACATAGTGCCTTAGACGGTCAGTTAGGATAGTATGATCAATTGTATCAAACGCTGCTGTTAAATCGAGAAGAACAAGTACTGTGAAATCACCAGAGTCGCAAGTAATTAAAATATCATTAAAAACTCTGACCAATGCGGTCTCTGTGGAGTGACATTTTCGAAAGCCAGACTGAAATATTTCAAATAATGAGTTCTCAGCTAAATAACTCTGTAACTGTAATAGAATAATTTTTTCAAAAAATTTAGAAACAAATGGCAAATTAGAAATTGGCCTAAAATTTGTCAAAACAGATGAATCCAGGTTCGATTTTTTAATCATTGGACGGATCACTGCATGCTTTAAGCAGTCAGGCATAATGCCAGATTCTAGACTGCGATTTATTATAATCAGAAGATATGGAGCCATATCAGCAATAAGTTGTCTGAATAAAAAAGGAGGAAGACTATCCAGTGGTGAGCCAGAAGGCTTGAGCTGCTTAGCTATGTCTAACAATTCCGCCTCAGTAACTGAGTTAAACTCATTAAATGACACAGCGTCAGTTTCATTTAAAAGATGGTTATTAGGATTAAGAGAAATTGTAGAGGATGTGCAAATTATACTCTGTCTAAGATCTCTTATTTTGTTTTCAAAGAAAGATAAAAACTCATCACATGACGGGGATGCAACCCCCGGAGAGAGTACGGCCGATGGATTTAAAGTAGCATTTATAATATTAAAAAGTGTCTTTGGTCTGGAGCAGTTCTTGTTAATAATGTTTGATAGATGTCGACATTTGGCTTTTTTTACTTCCTTCTGGTAGCTGTGCAGAACGTCCTTTAAAATCTCAAATGACACCTGAAGCCTGTCCTTTTTCCAATTTCGTTCCGCTCTTCTGCAACAGCGTCTAAGGCAACGAATGGAATCATCAATCCAAGGTTCATAATGGGATTTTTGTCGCGGTGATCTTAAAGGTGCCACGGTGTTCAAGACATCAGAGCAGGTGGAATTAAATCTGGAAAGAAGTACTTCCGCGCTGATCTCACAAGCAAATTCATCGAGCGATGGCATCACTTCGTCAAAGATGGTTAGGAAAGATGATTTTGTATGATTATTAATGTAGCGATACGGAGCCTCATAAGATAAGATTTTAGAAATCTTCGCATGGCAGGGTACAGTGAACATAACAGTCTTATGATCAGAGAACCCGTTTTCACTGATTTCCAAATCAACGATAGAAACTCCATGCTGGAGCACTAGGTCAAGGGTATGGCCACCTTTGTGTGTGGAAACATCGATCCCCATAATAAAATCAAAAGCATTTAGTAGATGCATAAATTCCTTAGCCGAGCAATCATTCATGCAGCATACATGCACATTAAAATCACCCACGATAAGAAACTTATCATATTTTGGGGTCAGATCACCAAGGAATTCTGCAAAATCTGTTATAAAGTTTGAGTTATATTTTGGTGGTCGGTAAATAACAGCAATCAGAAGTGGATCAGCAAGTTCAAAGCAAAACATCTGAAGTTCAAAACTGCTGTAAATGTTACTCGCCACCGAGCGACAGTTAAAGTGTTCTTTATATATAGACACTAGTCCACCACCCCGGCCAGTTGTCCGTGGGGAGTTAAAATAGCGACATTTGTTTGGCAGAAGTTCGGAAAAAGGGCTCAGATCTCCTGGACAGAGCCAGGTCTCAGTAAGAAATAGAAAGTCCAGTCTCTGCACAGAGAACAGATCTTTTAAAATAAAAGTTTTATTTACGATCGATCTGGAGTTTATCAAGGCCATCCTTACATTCGTGGAATTTGATGTAGATTCCTTTTCATGCACTGCATGTGGCAGCGAGCGAAGATGATTCAAACACACTCCTCCACAGTGGAAACGAGGAGAAAAATCAAGAGTGTGTACGCCCGAAAGCGACGCCAGCTCAGTCGGAACCAAGGGAACCATCCATTGCCGAAGCGGATACAAAGAGCGTCTCCGAACAGCTCGACGCCAGGTAAATGGAAGTTCTCCATGCCTCAGCAACTCCATCCTCAGCTTAACCGCGATGCCTGCTCGTTTTCCTCGGCGTCGCCTCCGCCTCAAAATCGGAAAAGAGCCAGGCCAGCGGCGCAGGTATCCAGGTATAGATGATAAATCCGGTGGTGGTATAGAGTGAGAACCATCCTGTAATTGGTATGGCTGCACATTTGATGAGATTTCCACATTTAAATTTAATAGAGTTTCTCGATTATAAATTAATATTGATGCGCAGCATTTCTGCACGGTAGCACAAGTTAAAACATATAAACAAACAAACAACAGACGGAGCAATAGACGGCCTGCCACACACATCGGCGCCATCTTTTCCATCTCCGGAAATGTTTTTCATACATCTTTTCATAATCTCAGTCTCAAGAAACCCCTTTCTCCCATTTCATTTCATTCCAAGTCACGCTCTCCCAAATAGATATCAGCACTTCAAAGACAAGTTGAGAGTCCATTTAATCAGTTGGTAGTGTACAGATAACGGTTTCCTTGTTACAGCACAGTTTTTGTGTATTGATACTACCCTTTGTAGCATAAGTTTGCATAAATCCAAGCATTTACAGACATCCCACCCAGCAAAAACTCATTTCCGGAAGATGACAACCTTTAAAGCTCTTGCCTGATCATAGCCCTTCATTTTCCAGTTATATTCCTCTGACCTTTTCTCTTTTGTAATGTCTCTCAGACATCTCTCTTTCTACAGTCTTTCTTCAAAATCCCTCTTGCTCACTCTCTCTCCTCCCCATCATGAGTGGACACGCCCCCCACTGCTGATTGGCTCACTCTCTCCTCCCCATCATGAGTGGACACGCCCCTTGCTGATGATTGGCTCACTCTCTCTCCTCCCCATCATGAGTGGACACACCCCCCACTGCTGATTGGCTCACTCTCTCCTCCCCATCATGAGTGGACACGCCCCTTGCTGATGATTGGCTCACTCTCTCTCCTCCCCATCATGAGTGGACACGCCCCCCACTGCTGATTGGCTCACTCTCTCCTCCCCATCATGAGTGGACACGCCCCTTGCTGATGATTGGCTCACTCTCTCTCCTCCCCATCATGAGTGGACATGCCCCCTACTGCTGATTGGCTACAAGTGTGTTGCGTTGCTCGGTCGGATCCACTTTCAACAGCATTTTTCAGAAATCGCTTACTGCACATTTAATTGCAATTTACATGCAATTAAGTGTCCAAAATATTACATTCAGTTCGCATTAAAGTAGATCATTTCTGTAATAAGTATGGCTCTAGTATGCTAAAGTGTACTTCTTTTTCACAAAGGTATAACTGATGTTTATCAGTTCCCTCTTCAAAGTTTATTATAAAATTCATGCTCTTATATTTTCCCTAAGCCTCTTTTCAGTTATCAGCGAGACACTTGTGTCTCTTACTACAAAAAAAATGATAAATAAATAATAATTATATATATATATATATAAATATATTAGGGGTGGAACGGTACACAGAAGTCACGGTTCGGTTCATACCTCGGTTCAGACGTCACGGTTCGGTACGATTTCGGTACAATGGAGGGAAAAGCAAAACAAAAATGCAGAAGGCTTTTTTTATAAATGTCTTAAGCCTTGTATTTTTAAAATAAGTTTTATTAATAAAGGCATAGAACCAGTTTATTTGTAGTGCACTGACAGTAGTTTTATATAATTAGTTTATTAATTAAATGATTAAAAAGACGAAAAGACCTTGAGATATGTTTGGTAATTGTACCTGAATGAATTTAAAATTAATTTGCTATTTCAGATCAATATATTTGTTTTCCTTCATTTTAATTAACCCTAACTTTATTCTCATCTGAATTATAAATAATTGATTTCCGTATAAAATAATACTACCATTAAAAACTTTTGTTAACAGTTGTAGGTTACAGTTTGACAAGAGTTTAGAGTGTGACAAAAGCACAGTTGTGTTTTATTGCGAGTGTACACAAATATAAGTAAACACTTTGCAGGTTTAATGATGTCCTGTAGGAAAAAAATGACGGAGTATGTTTTTATGTTTCCACTGTTCGATCGGCCGTGCCTCTGACACACACACACACACACACACACACATATACACACACACTGTTCGATCGCGCGATTCGCGCCCGCGCCTTTCTCTCTCTCTCTCGCACACACACACACTGTTCATCGCGCCCCTCTCTCTCTCTCTCTCTCTCTCTCTCTCTCTCTCTCTCTCGCACACACACAAACACACACACACACACACACACACACACACACACACACAAGCATTGCAATCTTGATCGCAGCCTGTTGATTGCTGCGTTCACAGTCACACCAAAAGCTAATAGAGCGAAATTTATCGCTATTTAAGAGGGTTTTTTTTTATTCGTACCGTCTATTCTCCGTGCAAATTCGTGCACCGAACCGTGACGCCCGTACCGTTTCGGTTCAATACGAATACATGTACCGTTCCACCCCTAATATATATATATATATCACCTGCTGAAACATGAGTATTTTTGAGTCAGCGTGATTGTATGGGGCGTATGGGTATGCAGCGTTTTGCTCGAGCGGATCCACATGGGTTCAGACAAGTTAGTTTTTGCATTATTAGAAGCTGTTCAGAGGGTGAAAACACCTGTCTCTGACCTGTAATAATGCAACACCTGAAACAAAGATCATAGATGCCAACAAGGTTATGTGTGTGTGTGCATACAGTATACAAAATATTTAGCTTTGGTTTACGTAATGCACTCATGCATATATTGATAAGAGTGTAATTTTTGTTGTTGTTGTTGTACATAATTGATGTGTGTTTTTGGACATAAAGACATCCCCAGTGTTTATGTGCATTTGTGCACATAGTTTAGTGAGTGGTCAGGTTTATAGTTACCTGGTTGGGATCTGGAAGTTAGCCTCTTTGTCGAGTCTGTACGCCACCTGGAGGGGTGTGGAACCTTCTACCTTTCTGACGCCCTTCATCGGGATGACATCCAACTGAAACTGTGTGATCAGATCAAATCCTGCCACACAAATACAATCGAAATGGTTCATAAGCTCTCTATAGACACATACCTAATGTCTGTGTGGGAAATCAGACAAATGAGACCTGATTTCAGATCACGCACGCACACACACACAAAAATTATTCAAAATATCTGTCTAAAACATAATCATTTCTGGGAAAAAGGAAACAGAGAATAAAATGCGATTAAAATAATTAAAAATGGCAATTGTGTATTAATTATATACAATGCATTTTATTCTTACAACAATCTCATTTGATCCAAATTAGATCCAATTATGATAACATTGCCATTAGCATTTGTGACAAATTCATGCAATAAATAATATAATGCCGTTAAATGCATTAATATCCACCAAAAACATCCATTAGGTCTCTCCACATCTGTTTGCTTCAGGAAATGCGTTTGTAACTTGCTTACTCCCCGTTTCCAGCCTGTGCTCAGAGCAGCACATGTTAGTGATTTGAGGTTGCAACCCTCCGCATTATTTGTTAAAAGCGAAGGAGTCGCAACCAATTAAGATCTTGCTGAGCTAGAAGTGTTTCCACTGCAGAAATTGGCCGGCCAGAGACGAAAGTTTTATTTGCCTCATTTGAGATCTAAAAATGTCTTGAAAGGCGACTATCAGATTCAGCATCTTTACCTAATGTAACAAACAGCTTTGTGCCGCTGCATGTCCTACTTAAGGCCATTTATAGGTAAACAATGCCTGAACAAAGAGGATTTTTTATCGATAATCATGCAGGATGGTGGTTAAATATTCATGCTAACATTCATGAAAAGTGCTCTACTATGCAGATCATTATTTTTACTAAAGGAGCTGGGCCTCTTTTAGATCATTTTTTGGATTTGTCATATACTGGATTTACTGCATAACACACAATCCCAAAGAGTCTGCAATGAATGCACACAGTTCACAGCATGTTTTCTCACAGGGGCTCTATTTTACCTGGAAGGTCATCTTGTCCATTCTTCATGGTTGGGCACACCGTGTCGCCATCTAATCTGTTCAAATCCAGCTCTGAAAAATTCATAAGTGACATGAGTGTTGTGCCAGGCCTTTCTACAGTAACATATCACCAGTGAATACGCTCTGATTGGAAAAAAAGTGACATTCACCCTTCTCTTGACAGCAGGCAATTTGTACCACACACAAATATCTTTTACAAAATAATAAGAAATGTATTTTTAAATACTAATTATTATTTATATATATATAAATATATACGCCTTGCTACGAAAGTAAATAGATGTACAATAAACAAATGTATTTTCTAATTTGCCACACCATCCTTTAAAGGCCATATGTGCACCGCTGAGCATAAGATGTGATCAATTTGTCGTAATTACAGTGGGGAAGCACTTTCTGGAATTATGGACTTAAGTGTACATGTGTGGGCCTGCAGGACAGCTTTTATAAGGTCAGATGACTGACAGACATAGTCATCTGTGCTCATTTGTATTAATCTAATGTAAGTGCACGATGGGAAAACAAATGTGACACTCCATCTATCACAAGGACAGTTCTGCCCTACAAAGGCAAAAGACCTTAACTCACCAGAGTGTGAAACTGAGAAAAATGACTTTAAAGTTTTTTTGTTGTCCAGCCAATTGTATGATAGGTAGGACAATGAAAATTTGCCAAGTAGTTGTCATAATGAATATATTTATCTACATTAAAAAATATTTAGCTCAAACTTGACCTTTGACCCCTATTCGGAAGTTACTGTATTCTGCCTTTGCATTATCTGCAAAACAATAATGGGTCATACAAAGGCAAAATACCTTAACTTCTAATTTATTGACCATTTTGCCTTTTATCACTCTATACAAACATTTCTATGATAACAACGATAGCCTTAAAATAACATTTAGTAAGTTCTGTCTAGTAAGGGTTAATATTACATCAATAGTTACAAAATATTACAAAATAAAAAAATTATGAGAAAGACCTTAACTCGCTAGAGTTTGGAACTGAGAAAAATGACTTTAAAGATTTTCAGTTGTCCCTCCAAATTAATTATAGGTAGGACACTGTAAATCTGGCAATTAGATGTTTTAGTAATAAAAATTATCTACATAAAAAAATCTTGAGCTCAAACTTGACTTTTGACCACTATTTTAAAGTTACTGTACACTCTGCCTTTGCATTGTCAGCAAAAAGTGAGAAGTTATGCCAAGGCAAAAGGCAGTAACTTCCACATTATCAATATTTGGTTGCTGATCACCATTAACAAAATCATTATAGTAGCACCTGTATAAAATCTAGTGATCATGGCATTTATTTTGTATGATTTACACTTATAGACATCTACTTATTACTACCCTGTGCTTTGGTTGCATTCTGGTGGCATTATTAATACATGAGACATGGCAAAATACCTCCATAGCGGTAAGATCTTCAATTGGTACCGAGTGGCATAAGACTTGATAAACGCGCGTTCAAAATGATCACGATAAAACAGGTCCTCGCGCACATTCGACCCGGGGACTCGTTTATAGTATATTCGTGTTCGAAGGTGTCATGCTCCTCGTACGTTCACGAAAAGTACGAAGTACGAACGCAGTGCTTTCCATCTTGAGACTCGGTGGGGAGCGCGCTCTGGACTACCTAGACGACTAATGCATTTATAGCACAACCTTCTGTGTTCTGCGTCTTTTCAGTAGCGGTGGTTTCAGCTGTCTGCCCTATTATTGTGCAGTGCACTTCGCTCGTCCCGCGGATTTATTCCGGACAGTGTGATTGTAGGTACAACCCGCTTGTAACAGCTTGTCTGATGTTGTATGCACCAACAATTCTTGCTGCATTATGTTGTATGCACCAATATACCGTTGTTGCTTCATTATTATCACTCTGTGATATATTAGTCGCGCGTCGGCTCGACCGTGTTCAGGGCGGAGCTGAAGGCGCCGGCGAAGTTTTGGCACTCTGCCAGCTAGATGCATGATTGTTTCAACCCGATCTGGGTGAGGCGGGGATTTAGTTCTTTGTTGTATTCACCTGCTACGGCGTGTGTAACAACTCTGCATATATCATTCGCGATGGATAGCCTATCGCACGTTTTTCATATGGAGCGGGTTCAGACCATACTAAATGTTCTGACCGCATTTGTGCTGGACAAAGCTCTGAGGACATCAGAAGTTACAGGGACTGATGGCAGCTGTACAAAGTACACAGGCTACATCGTAATTTCAATTTTAATGGAGAGCAAAACAAAGGCAGAACACCGTACAATCTGAAAGGTAGCATATTTGATAGAACGCCAGCACCGTAACTTCATATTGACGCGCGGCTAAACAAAGGCAGAGTACCGTAACTCAAAATGAGCGTTCCAAAACAAAGCCAAAGAGCGGTAACTGGTGTTACGGTGTTCTGCCTTGGTTTCTCACGGGCTTTTGGAAGTTACTGTTAAGACAACCCATTATTTTCTCGAAAAAACGACGGAATTGACTCAAGATACTTATCCACATGATAAAGGGGGTCTTGAATGTGCCAAAAATATAAAAAACGAATTTTCGACCAAACACGAAGTTACGGTCCTTTGCCTTTGCACGGCAGAGTTTACCTCCTACGAATATTAAACCCTCTGATGGAGAACATCAGCCCTGTTTCCTTTCTATAGTTCACCATTTGACAACCTTAAAATATCCTGAGAATGGAGTTGATCTGTTGTTTTAGCACCGGTTTTCATGTATGTATGAATTGTATGTTAAAGGATTAGTTCACTTTTAAAAAAACTTTTGCTGATAATTTACTCACCCCCATGTCATCCAAGATGTCCATGTCTTTCTTTCTTCAGTCGAAAAGAAATAAAGGTTTTTGATGAAAACATTCCAGGATTTTTCTCCATATAATACACTTTGCTGGGCACCAAACGGTTCAAGGTCTAAATGACAGTTTCAGTGCAAACTGCAAACTGTTCAAAGGGCTTTAAACGACACCAGACGATGAATAAGGGTCTTATCAAGCGAAACGATCGACTCGTTCATCAAAATGAACAAATCTTTTTTCGAGTCATTTGATTCATTTAACGACCGAAATGAACGAATTGACTCGGAAAAAGATTTGTTCATTTTGATGAACGAGTTCGAACAGGAGAGTTACACAGAACAGAGCAAGGCGAGCATGTGAGCTTATAAAACTTAAACTTTGTTTTTGTTTTTTTAAATGAGCGATCGTTTCGCTTGATAAGACCCTTATTCATCGTCTGGTGTCATTTAAAACCATTTGAACAGTTTGCAGTTTGCACTGAAACTGTCATTTGGACCTTGAACCGTTTGGTGCCCAGTAAGGTGCATTATATGGAGAAAAATCCTGAAATGTTTCCATCAAAAACCTTAATTTCTTTTTGACTGAAGAAAGAAAGACATGGACATCTTGGATGACAAGGGGGCGAGTAAATTATCAGCAAAAGTTTTTTTTAAAGTGAACTAATCCTTTAGGATGATAGAATCCGATTTAGGATGCTAAAATATCCGTTTAGTGTGGTTACACTATTCTGTGATCTAAAACAGATTTTAAAAAATGCTACCAAAATGCCCCAGGGTTGGCTAAAATTAGATCATTTCATATTTGATCACTTCCTAAAGCCTGGTCAGAAGCATACCATGATATGACCATGTTTTGGGGCGTTCATCATGGATTTAGGACGATACTGTGATGATATTGCTATGGTGTTCTTTTAAGCACCTTGGTAATAACGTACGGTATGGTAATCATACAATGCCATGGCATATTTTAAAAGTACCACAGTACTACCATTAGGTACCACCACAGTGGTTTTATAAGGGTTTAAGTTTGGCTCTATGACCAAAACCGCAGTGCTGGAAATCATGAAATAACCGCATGGGGAGCTGGAGAGCTTCATCTGCTGACGCAGCGCTTTAATAGAAGAACAGTATGAACAGACACACTGACATCTGGAACTTCTTGAAAGCCTGAAATAAGCAGGCAGGAGCGAGAGGTACCATAGTAAAAAAGGCATTTCCCTGTGTTTTTACAGTGCTGTTTATCCGGGCGCAGAGCCGTGTGAGAGCGCTTTAAACCCTCATATCCTCTCATGTCATTTTAAAACCACCCATTAGTGCAAATGAGGGACAAAGCCGAGAATGAAGCCGCACTCTCTCGCACACGTTTATACGTGCCTCCAGACATGCTTATGGTGGCACAGTGATTCATTGTGGACCACACACTGATGTCAAACCCATCACAACTGTACACTGTAATAAAGTTGTAAATAAAAGGAAGGTTATTGGAGTATGTTTTACAAGAAAATACTACTTCAGTCTTTCTACTTTCTACAAAATTGCCATTTTGATGTTTAATTCAATGTGTAACTTTATAACTATTTGTAAAATTTACTGGTAATTTCAGAGTGGATATTCTTTCAAAAATAAATCATACACCAAATGATGTGTAGTGTAAGGTCACATGACAAGACTTAAATCGCTGCATAGTTGTATCACTACATGGTGCTCCTATTCATCTACGGTATCCAAATATTGATGCACCTCTTGATGGAAATTACATCACAAAATGTATTTCCATCCAGAGGTGCATCCATTTTTGGTCAAGATCTTGTATTGACAATGCAAGAGTCCAGCACTCTGTAAAGTCTCATCCAGCACATCCCAAAGACACTCAATGAATTTAAGCTCTGAACTCAAAGGTGCCAAAATAATTCTTCATGTCCCTACCAACCATTCTTTTACAATTTGAGCCTTATGAATCTTGACATTGTCACCCTGGAATATGACCATGATGTGTTTTCCTACATGGTGTTACGCAGCACGTTTGAGCTTCTGTAAGAGCCAATGAGGTTAATTCTAGTGTTACGCAGCACGTTTGACTTCAGCAAGAACCAATGAGGTTCATTCTCGTGTTACGCAGCACGTTTGAGCTTCAAGAACCAATGAGGTTCATTCTCGTGTTACGCAGCACGTTTGAGCTTCAGCAAGAACCAATGAGGTTCATTCTCGTGTTACGCAGCACGTTTGAGCTTCAAGAACCAATGAGGTTCATTCTCGTGTTACGCAGTACGTTTGAGCTTCAACAAGAACCAATGAGGTTCATTCTTGTGTTATGCAGCACGTTTGAGCTTCAAGAACCAATGAGGTTCATTCTCGTGTTACACAGCACGTTTGAGCTTCTGTAAGAACCAATGAGGTTCATTCTCGTGTTACGCAGTACGTTTGAGCTTCAACAAGAACCAATGAGGTTCATTCTTGTGTTACGCAGCACGTTTGAGCTTCAAGAACCAATGAGGTTCATTCTCGTGTTACGCAGCACGTTTGAGCTTCTGTAAGAACCAATGAGGTTCATTCTCGTGTTACGCAGCACGTTTGAGCTTCTGTAAGAACCAATGAGGTTCATTCTCGTGTTACGCAGCACGTTTGAGCTTCTGTAAGAACCAATGAGGTTCATTCTCGTGTTACACAGCACGTTTGAGCTTCTGTAAGAACCAATGAGGTTCATTCTCGTGTTACGCAGCACGTTTGAGCTTCTGTAAGAACCAATGAGGTTCATTCTCGTGTTACGCAGCACGTTTGAGCTTCTGTAAGAACCAATGAGGTTCATTCTCGTTTTACGCAGCACGTTTGAGCTTCTGTAAGAACCAATGAGGTTCATTCTCGTGTTACGCAGCACGTTTGAGCTTCTGCAAGAACCAATGAGGTTCATTCTCGTGTTACACAGCACGTTTGAGCTTCAGCAAGAACCAATGAGGTTCATTCTCTTGTTACGCAGCACGTTTGAGCTTCTGTAAGAACCAATGAGGTTCATTCTCGTGTTACGCAGCACGTTTGAGCTTCTGTAAGAACCAATGAGGTTCATTCTCGTGTTACACAGCACGTTTGAGCTTCTGCAAGAACCAATGAGGTTCATTCTCGTGTTACGCAGCACGTTTGAGCTTCAGCAAGAACCAATGAGGTTCATTCTCGTGTTACACAGCACGTTTGAGCTTCTGTAAGAACCAATGAGGTTCATTCTCGTGTTACGCAGCACGTTTGAGCTTCAGCAAGAACCAATGAGGTTCATTCTCGTGTTACGCAGCACGTTTGAGCTTCTGTAAGAACCAATGAGGTTCATTCTCGTGTTACGCAGCACGTTTGAGCTTCTGTAAGAACCAATGAGGTTCATTCTCGTGTTACGCAGCACGTTTGAGCTTCTGTAAGAACCAATGAGGTTCATTCTCGTGTTACGCAGCACGTTTGAGCTTCAGCAAGAACCAATGAGGTTCATTCTTGTGTTACGCAGCACGTTTGAGCTTCAAGAACCAATGAGGTTCATTCTCGTGTTACGCAGCATGTTTGAGCTTCTGTAAGAACCAATGAGGTTCATTCTCGTGTTACGCAGCACGTTTGAGCTTCTGTAAGAACCAATGAGGTTCATTCTCGTGTTACGCAGCATGTTTGAGCTTCAAGAACCAATGAGGTTCATTCTCGTGTTACGCAGCACGTTTGAGCTTCTGCAAGAACCAATGAGGTTCATTCTTGTGTTACGCAGCACGTTTGAGCTTCAAGAACCAATGAGGTTCATTCTCGTGTTACGCAGCACGTTTGAGCTTCAGCAAGAACCAATGAGGTTCATTCTCGTGTTACGCAGCACGTTTGAGCTTCAAGAACCAATGAGGCTCATTCTCGTGTTACGCAGCACGTTTGGGCTTCTGTAAGAACCAATGAGGTTCATTCTCGTGTTACGCAGCACGTTTGAGCTTCAGCAAGAACCAATGAGGTTCATTCTCGTGTTACGCAGCACGTTTGAGCTTCTCTAAGAACCAATGAGGTTCATTCTCGTGTTACGCAGCACGTTTGAGCTTCAGCAAGAACCAATGAGGTTCATTCTTGTGTTACGCAGCACGTTTGAGCTTCAAGAACCAATGAGGTTCATTCTCGTGTTACGCAGCACGTTTGAGCTTCTGTAAGAACCAATGAGGTTCATTCTCGTGTTACGCAGCACGTTTGAGCTTCTCTAAGAACCAATGAGGTTCATTCTCGTGTTACGCAGCACGTTTGAGCTTCAGCAAGAACCAATGAGGTTCATTCTCGTGTTATGCAGCACGTTTGAGCTTCTGTAAGAACCAATGAGGTTCATTCTCGTGTTACGCAGCACGTTTGAGCTTCTGTAAGAACCAATGAGGTTCATTCTCGTGTTACGCAGCACGTTTGAGCTTCTGTAAGAACCAATGAGGTTCATTCTCGTGTTACGCAGCACGTTTGAGCTTCAGCAAGAACCAATGAGGTTCATTCTTGTGTTACGCAGCACGTTTGAGCTTCAAGAACCAATGAGGTTCATTCTCGTGTTACGCAGCACGTTTGAGCTTCTGTAAGAACCAATGAGGTTCATTCTCGTGTTACGCAGCACGTTTGAGCTTCTCTAAGAACCAATGAGGTTCATTCTCGTGTTACGCAGCACGTTTGAGCTTCTCTAAGAACCAATGAGGTTCATTCTCGTGTTACGCAGCACGTTTGAGCTTCAGCAAGAACCAATGAGGTTCATTCTCGTGTTGCGCAGCACGTTTGAGCTTCTGTAAGAACCAATGAGGTTCATTCTCGTGTTACGCAGCACGTTTGAGCTTCTGTAAGAACCAATGAGGTTCATTCTCGTGTTACGCAGCACGTTTGAGCTTCTGTGAGAACCAATGAGGTTCATTCTCGTGTTACGCAGCACGTTTGAGCTTCAGCAAGAACCAATGAGGTTCATTCTCGTGTTACGCAGCACGTTTGAGCTTCTGTAAGAACCAATGAGGTTCATTCTCGTGTTACGCAGCATGTTTGAGCTTCTGTAAGAACCAATGAGGTTCATTCTCGTGTTACGCAGCACGTTTGAGCTTCAAGAACCAATGAGGTTCATTCTTGTGTTACGCAGCACGTTTGAGCTTCTCTAAGAACCAATGAGGTTCATTCTCGTGTTACGCAGCATGTTTGAGCTTCTGTAAGAACCAATGAGGTTCATTCTCGTGTTACGCAGCACGTTTGAGCTTCTGTAAGAACCAATGAGGTTCATTCTCGTGTTACGCAGCACGTTTGAGCTTCAAGAACCAATGAGGTTCATTCTCGTGTTACGCAGCACGTTTGAGCTTCTGTAAGAACCAATGAGGTTCATTCTCGTGTTACGCAGCACGTTTGAGCTTCAAGAACCAATGAGGTTCATTCTCGTGTTACGCAGCACGTTTGAGCTTCAGCAAGAACCAATGAGGTTCATTCTAGTGTTACGCAGCACGTTTGAGCTTCAGCAAGAACCAATGAGGTTCATTCTTGTGTTACGCAGCACGTTTGAGCTTCTGTAAGAACCAATGAGGTTCATTCTCGTGTTACGCAGCACGTTTGAGCTTCAAGAACCAATGAGGTTCATTCTCGTGTTACGCAGCACGTTTGAGCTTCTGTAAGAACCAATGAGGTTCATTCTCGTGTTACGCAGCACGTTTGAGCTTCAAGAACCAATGAGGTTCATTCTCGTGTTACGCAGCACGTTTGAGCTTCAGCAAGAACCAATGAGGTTCATTCTAGTGTTACGCAGCACGTTTGAGCTTCAGCAAGAACCAATGAGGTTCATTCTCGTGTTACGCAGCACGTTTGAGCTTCAGCAAGAACCAATGAGGTTCATTCTCGTGTTACGCAGCACGTTTGAGCTTCAGCAAGAACCAATGAGGTTCATTCTCATGTTACGCAGCACGTTTGAGCTTCAGCAAGAACCAATGAGGTTCATTCTCGTGTTACGCAGCACGTTTGAGCTTCAAGAACCAATGAGGTTCATTCTCGTGTTACGCAGCACGTTTGAGCTTCTGTAAGAACCAATGAGGTTCATTCTCGTGTTACGCAGCACGTTTGAGCTTCAGCAAGAACCAATGAGGTTCATTCTCGTGTTACGCAGCACGTTTGAGCTTCAGCAAGAACCAATGAGGTTCATTCTCGTGTTACGCAGCACGTTTGAGCTTCAGCAAGAACCAATGAGGTTCATTCTCGTGCTACGCAGCACGTTTGAGCTTCAAGAACCAATGAGGTTCATTCTTGTGTTACGCAGCACGTTTGAGCTTCTGTAAGAACCAATGAGGTTCATTCTCGTGTTACGCAGCACATTTGAGCTTCAGCAAGAACCAATGAGGTTCATTCTCGTATTACGCAGCACGTTTGACCTTCTGTAAGAACCAATGAGGTTCATTCTCGTGTTACGCAGCACGTTTGAGCTTCTGTAAGAACCAATGAGGTTCATTATCACGCGACAAGCAGGTTCAGTTGAGCTTCTGTTTATGTTCGCTGATCAATGTTTATATGTGAATAAAAGCCTAAATTCAATCTGTTCATCAAATAAATTGATCGCGACATGAGGGTGAGTATTTGATAAAAAAAATAAAAAAACCTGAACCTTCAGGGTGGAAAAAAAAAATATTTTCATGTCAAAATTACCGGAACAACATGAGGGCTAAAATGTCAAATAGGACATTAATTAATCATCAATCAGTTTTCTTGATTCCTCAAATCTTATATTCATTTATACCTAACAATCAACAATGACTAAAAAACAGGAAAGACAAGGACATTATGGGATGAGTACCAGAGCAAGAGTATTTTATCACTAGTTAAAATTTCTAAGACACATTAAACATCAAAAGAAGATACTCACGAGCGAGAGCTGGAGCCCAGAGCAATGTGAAGACAATCATACGTGTTAAACATCCTGTCAATGTCCGTCGCCAGACCCGACTCCTGCCAGAGACAGACACCATTCGGATTCACAGAACATCATTATTATAAAACTAATACATGCAAACAAATATTCAAGACTGAGGAAGTAGTAATGTAAAAATATAACTTGTAAAACTATTATTGTGAATATTTGCAAGACGTGTCCCCCTTTTTGAAAGGTTTTGAAAGTGGGTTTAAAGCAGGAATATGGATATTTGCTGTCTCTGATTCAGTAAATTTTACTGAGTCAGTAAAAAATTTTCACTCTTTTATTTTTAAAAGAAATTTAGCACATTTATTCAGCAATGATGCATTAAATTAATGGCATTAAAGACATTTATAATGTAGCAAAAGATTTCTACTTCAAATAAATGCTGTTCATTTGAACTTTCCAGTTATGAAAGAATCCTGAAAAAAAGTAACACGGTTTCCACAAAAATTTGAAGCAGCACAACTGTTTCTTGAGCAGCAAATCATCATATTATAATGATTTCTGAAGGATCATGTGACACTGAAGACTGGAGTAATGATACTGGAAATTCAGCTTTGCATCACAGGAATAAATTATATTTTAAAATGTATTCAAATAGAAAACAGTTATTTTAAATTGCAATATTTCACAAGATTACTGTTTTTACTGTATTTCTAAACACACAAAAAATGCAGCCTTGGTGAGCACAAGAAATTTCTTTTAAAAACAGTAAAACAATAGTACTGAGCTATTGTTGAGCTACATGAAGAGACCCATGCTGAGATAGGGAGCCACCTGTCCCTGTGTGTGTGTGTGTGTGTGTGTGTTGTTTTAAATTGGCAAGAGGCACAGGAAGGTGACAGGAATATATTCTACCACAGTAATGATGAATGAGTCATGAGTCCCACACAATGTGCACAATCTATCCACAGCATTGTACACACCTAACCCTGTCATCCATCCATCTATGATCCATCCATCCATCACACAGTGAGCTTTAGGCTCTTGTCAGGGTCAGAAGCCAGAATACATGCAGCAAGTCTTTCAGTGTTCTTTCGTTCTACTGGATTAATGGTGAACATTTTAAAGCTCCTGTAAGTGATTTTTTGGCAAATATTATGCATAAATTGTCCTGAAACAGAAGCCCTGATCATTCACAGCCGTCTTTGTGACAGCACTACAGCACTTACAATCTGCCTACGCACGTGTTGGTCGATCACGAAACTTGGCAAGCTCTCTGCCCGTCAGTCATCACGTGTTCAAGTTTGCTGACACGGATTCATTATACAGGGTGTCTACAGATATAAACAAGTTAAATTTAAGACTTTTTAAGACCTTTTTAATGCCACTTTGAATGAAATTTAAGACCAAACCTGTGATGGAAATACACATTATTTTACATACGTATATGTAATATTTAATGTTTAACCTAAGCAATTGAAGTAATTTAATATTAACTACTTGTTTATTGAACTAAAATCAATGTAACATTTGCAATCGTGAGAATATTCAGCAAAATAGCTCCTGTCATGTTACTTAACTATACCTTATGATAAAAAAATAAAATAAAAAATAAAAAAACTATATCATATGTTATAAATAAAAAAACTCAACATTTTTTATTTTTACCTCAGTATGTTTCTTCTTTGAGTTTTTTTATGTGCTGTTATGCACATTAGTTTTGATTTCTCACTTTAAAATCTCTCACACAGACAGGCAGCGTGAGTCTCAACAGTGCTGCAGAAATACATTACAGGGCTCGACATTAAGCCTTTTTATGTGCTTGTCCTTTTGACAATTCACTTGTCCGAGTAAAAAAGTTGCTTTGTTCGGATTTTTTTTTTTGTGTGTTAATTTATTCTGAAGCAATATTCTCAGTGTTCAATCAGCGTTGATATTTAAATCGGCATATTGTAATATCTGCACCTTTAAAGGGCAAATTTTAAATTCCTAAATTTGATCAATAAATTAAATTATTTAGAATAATAAGACACTATAGGGCTGTTACCCTAGGTAGGACTGATCAAATTAAATCATTTACACTGAAAAATTACAATTGCATAAAATAATGTTATGAAATTGATTTAAATATACAAATAAGAAACGTTGGAAAGAATGATACTACTTTTAAACAAAACACTAAACCGCCAGTAGGTGGCGGCAGGCAACCGTCTTAATGAGTGAGTCATTGAGTCATTGATTCATTCATACAAACGATTCATTTAAACGGTTGATTCATTCAAGAATGAGACAGATGTTTATGTATGGGTCATTGAATCTTTGACTCAACCGATTCGATCAAAATGCTGAATCATTCAGTAATGAAAACAGGTCGAGTGTTCCTGTGAGATGCGCCGTGGTTCTGCTGTGATTTTTGTTTGGAACTATTTTCGCTGCTGAAACAGAACAAAAACAGCCAATATTGCATCTAAAATGTAAGTGACTTAATTTTAACTGTTTATTGAACTGTTGTAGGAAATCAATGTCACATTTTCAATCGTGATGGTGTTCAGAAAAAATAATTCAGTTTGCTTAACATATGTTAAACATATAAAACTCCACATTTAGATTTATTATTGGCAGTATGTTGTTAAATGAGTGTGTGTGTTGCGCTCATTTGTGTAGATTTCTCCTCGAGAGGCTGCGCGAGCGTCAACAGCGCAACCTTAGCGTCAGTAATACATTTATTATCCACAATCGATCGCAACTTACAATAAAAGTAATAACATCAGAATCATTCTCTCGGTTTAGTCATTCCCTCGTTATTTTTGTTTTTGTTGATGTTCTCATCAGGCGGACAAGCGTTAATGTCGAGTCCTGCGTTATCATTATCATTCACTGTTTATGTAATAAAATCAGAATCATTCTCACGATTCGATGCTTCACTGGTTATTAGACGGACATTGGGTCCGTCAGACTGGAGAAATTTTAGCGGTAATGTGACCAGAAATATTTAAGACCCATAGAATCTGAATTTAAGACATTTTAATACTTTTTAAGGCCTTTTATTAGGACAACTTTATTTAAGACATTTTAAGACTTTTTAAGGACCCGCGCGCGGACACCCTGATTATAAATATCTACTTCAATAAACCGTTCAGACATCAGATCTTCTCTGATTAAATCCAATGAAAACACTAAGGCAGATGTCAAGATTTGAAAAACAACTGAGTCAATAAAGTTATATATTTAAATATATTTTAATACACAATTTATTCCTGTGATCAAAGCTGAATTTTCAGCATCATTACTCCAGTCTTCAGTGTCACATGATCCTTCAGAAATCATTCTAATATGATGATTTGCTGCTCAAGAACCATTTATTATTATTATCAATGTTGAAAACAGTTGAGCTCCTTAAAGTTTTTGTAGAAACCATAATACATTTTTTCAGGATGTATACACAATTTCATATGCATCTCGGTCAACCGTGTTAGGACTGTCAAAAATATCCTCTCTCTCTCTCTCAGCTTAATGTCATTCCCTTGACAAATGTTTTTGCTTTGCAAGCAATTGTTCTATTATACAGAAATGACAGCTTGTATTTTTCAATTGCAGCTCAAGTTGATGCAGAAGCGTGTGTGAAGATGACAGAACAGTTCAACAGAAGGATCAGAGCATAATACAGACAATTATGCAACTTCAGATAAGCAGTAATAAAAGTTAGAGAATGTGCATATAATAATAATAATAATCCGTTACATTTATATAGCGCTTTTATGGGTACTCAAACATGGACATGGAACATTTACATGGAAGGGGGGAATCTCCTCAACCACCACCAGTGTGCAGCATCCACCTGGCAGCCATATTGCGCTAGAACGCCCACCACACACCAGAGAGGAGACAGAGTGATGAAGCTAATCTGTATATTGATATGATATGAATATGCTCGAGTATATGCATCTGTGTATGTGATGGTTTTAAAAAAAAAAGTTTTTAGTTACAGCTCTCAGATATGATTGTAACTGAAATCAAAATGATTGAAATTAAAAACATTTTGAAAAGAAAAGAAAAGAAAGAAAAACTTTTTAGGATCATTAAGATTATGGTAACACTTTACAATAAGGTCTCATTAGTTATTATACATGAAACATGAACTAACAATGAGCAATACATTTATTATAGTATTTATTCATCCTTGTTAATGTTAGTTAATAAAAATAGTCATTCATTATTTGTTCATGTTAGCTCAAACAGTGCATTAAGTAATGTTAACAAATGCAACTTTTGATAATGTATTAGTAAATGTTGAAATTAACGTTAACTAAGATGAATAAATGCTGTAGAAGTGTTGGTCACTCTTAAATCTTGTTAACTGAAGTAGTTGACTAATGTTATTGTAAAGTGTCACCACATTTACGCCAAGTCTCATTGTTGCAATTAAAGCAAAGTATAATTAAATATCATGGCATTTGGTAACGCTAAATTTAACCTAAAAATCATTGCTTTACAGTACGAGAAAGAAAGAAAGGTTGTAAACAACATGGAAAATATAATTCCTTCTTTTATTCTCTATTGATTTTGGGGTAATATGTGACCATGTAGACTAACTGTGAGAATGACCTAACTACACAAAGCTCTCAGTGAAGGAAACTTGGTCAGAAAACATTTTCAGAAATCAAAACGCGAGTTAATGATCACAGGTTTCCAAACACTCCTTTTCAAAAAGGGTGCCAGGGTAAGTAAGCAAAAACACAAGAAATATGTTAATTATTTAGTATTTAGTCCTACGATTATCCATCGCATACTACATACTATATATAATGGCATTGTCATCTGAGAGCATGAGGTTTTGTAGGATTCTCTCTCATACAGTAGTGGGTGAAGCTCAGATTAGAAGGTGGGGTTATTTAAATCTTGGATTTCATCCTGCTGAACACCCGTAATCCATGCAGGGCTTCATTCGCTTTCTGAACACGAACGTATGAGGGAACGTTCCGGAAATCACAAACTACTGATTAATCATAGTACAGGAGATTTGTGACCAGCAACAGAGTAAAAATACCAAAACTGAGGGGGAACTCTGTCCGCTTTATATAACAACTGACTCACTGAACATCAGCCACAAAACATTGGAAATGTTCCTTATTAGTACCATGAAGTAACATGTAAAGTAAATGCCCTTACAAAATTGTTGCAGTAAAAAAAATCTGATGATAATACTATAGCATTTGTCCAAAATCCTTAAAAAAACAAAACATGGTAGTACCATGGTACTTCTTTGGAATATCATTTTAGTGGTATACCATAAACTAAAGTACTGTGCAGGGTTCTTAAAACCTTTTGACCAAAGAATTTACATGAATTATTAAATAAATAAAAATCTAAAGCATTTACAATTTTTAAATTCCCTGATACTAACAGGTTTTCCATAACCTCTGACCATGATATTACAGTCAATATACTCTTATAAAGTCATTTCAATTGAATAGCTAACATGTGGCCTATAATGTGTCCGACATTCTCATCTTGCAAACGCACACACTGTAATATGGAGAACATCATCAGATTTGTGTTGGGACGTGTCATTCTCTTTCAAGACAACTGCTGCTTTCCTGAACAAACCAACTGCTGTCTTTCATCCAGATGTTGAGGGAAGTTCCTCCTCAACTTTCATCTAAACTATAATTACAAAGGCGCTTAGAAGAAAAGAAAATCATACAGACACACAGGTATTTTATCATGTACTAACAGAGAAGAGCCTGCCTTAAAAACTCTAACATAAAAACACCTATTGATCAACACAGATGCCCTTAAGCCTAAATTTAGGTACTAAATAAGTGTGTTAAAGTGTGTTAAGGTACAGTTAGCTTATCGAAGGGAAATTAGACACAAATTGCTGAGGGAATAGGAATTAGTTTTACAGTCTGTGAGTATTCAAAACACTCTAGTCACTCAACAAAGAGTCAAAGCAACTCATCAGAGGGAAATCTTCCCACAAAAATAAGTTAAGATCTTTTTCATGTTTTCCATGAGGGTCACCAAGTGTTTGAGATCTTACCTGCTCATGCTGAGTTGAGGAGCCATATTTCTGTCCCTCAACGCGGATGTGAGAGTCTGAATGGATGTAGAAGAAGTTTTGTCCTTTGGCCCAGAGATGCGTCGTCCCCCTCCAGTCCGTATTCAGCTGTGCCCACGGGCCTATCTGACTGAAGACGACCTGTGCAAGAGATGCCAAACTTTTGGGACACATTAAGGGTTTTTTGCGAGGGCGACCTGGCTTGGTTCCTGGCGTCCCATTGGCTGGGTGAGCTTCGAGGGGTGGTGGCATGGTTTTTTTTATGACTGATGTTTAAGGGAGATGTTGCGCCTCGGGCGTTACAAGCACCTTTTTTCATTTCTGCACAGGAGCTAATAACACATGTTGAGCAGCGGTAATTCTTCTAATGGGAAGCCCTACTGTGGGGAGAGCCTGTCATAAACATTATGTTAGATTGTGTGTTCTTGAAGCTGGTTAGAAAAATACTTGCAGCATACCACCTGGTTGACAACCATTATTCACGAATCTTACTTCCAACTGCATGAATAAATCCGTGCTGATTTCACAAAAGTTGCATATGCGGGTAAAGACGTTCCTGGAAAATATGAGGAGAAGGTAGTGTCCTTTAACAATGCTGAATCCAAGGTTTCTCCAAGTAGACTGGCACTGAAATTACTGCAAACTTTGTTTTGTCACATTTTCTGCGTTGATTGTTGGAGAAAATCTGCAAAAGGGATTTAAAATGATAAAATGGTTCAAAGGTAAATAAAATGGTAAAAATGTAAAATAAACGTGGAGTTTTCTGCAGAATTCAGTGGGTGCAGGTTTCTAGTCAGACCGACTGATGACTAATAGTGAAGGATGTTGAGATAAAGCTGTCAGTTGGGGCATATTCAATAATGAATCTCAATTTATGCCAAAAATATGCGTTTAAACATTGAAGGCACAAAAAAAAAATAGACAAAAGCTGATGGAATAAGAAAAGCAGAAGCAAACAAATCTCTGCCAATCATCCTCAGAAAATGCCGGTTAGACATACTGATGACTAACTGTGAGGGATGTTGAGGTACATCTAACAGATGGGACATATTGCATAATAAACCGATAAAACATTTGCATGTTCATATTAGATTAGTCCTTATTTGATTATATAAATGAACAGGAGACCCCTTTGGGAATGCTCTCAAAAGAAAAAGGAGATTGTAAAGTCGCTGTAAAATGACTGTGAGGTCGATCTGAGTCTGCTTGCATAAGCGCCCTCACTATAAAGGTCTTGCCTTGCAGCTTTGCCCTCATCAGAGGAGGATTCTGGGAAAGGAAATACTAATGACATCAAAACGGGTCTATGAAATTGACTTGCTCACAGGCATGTCAGCCACAATGACTTCTGTTACATCAAATGTTACGTAATTTATACCTTACAAGAGGACTTAGGGTATTGCTGTAGGGCTCAGACAGAATCTGCATTTCATCTTACAGGATATATAATTCAACACCTTCACCTTCACAAGATTAAAGCAGTTTCGTCTGTATAAAAAGAAAGTGAAAAACACTTGAAAAAGTTATAACACAAGCTTAAAACGAAGAAATGCTGAAGCATGCATCATGTACTCATAAAACCCATGTTCAGGCTGTCATGGAACATCTGGATGGCTGGTCATTAATTAAAGATTTTAGACACCAAGCAAAAAAAAAAAAAAAAAAAACTTGAAGAATGCGTGAAGACTGCAAAATTACTTTGTCAGACATTCTCTGGCTTCTCTTGTACTGATAGTGAGCCATAAAAAAAATCAAGGCTGCTTATACAGCATCATTGTGTGATAGAGAGCATGTGTGGTCAATTAGTACAGAATGACACCGCCTGAGGCTAGGTTTGAAATAGAATACTAACATGCTTACTGTATATTAGCAGCTAAAAATGTACACATTATGCCATATCTTTACACTTGAAAAAAAAATTACCGTTTTTTTTTACCGTTAATTTACGGTAAAAACTTGCAGCTGTGGTTGCCTGAAATTCCCCGGAAAAATACTGTCACGATAACCCCTTTCACAGAAACATACAGTCTTTACTGGTAAATTACCGTTAAGAGATCATGTATGAACAGGACCTTTTCAAAAATACCGGTAAATCAGTTCTGGTAAATTACCAGTATGATAAATTGTAACATTACCAGTAAATTACCAGTGTGTGTATGAGTACGTATGGGGTCAGAACGCGCTGATGTAAGAAATCTGCTTTGGGCCAATCATACAGTTCATTTGGAGATGACTTTGCACTTTTTACAGTAAGCGCCACTGCTTTTTAATAGTTTTTCTATGTAAATATGTGCTAGATGGACATCTTTGACCATTGCACCTCATCTCGCAGCTTTTTCAAAACCCATGCTGCGTCCAAATCGAATACTTTCCTACTGTATAGTATGTGGAAAACAGCACACCAATAGAGTAGTATGTCCGAATTTAAAAAACAGTAGGCGAAAAGTACCCCGAAGACTAGGGTTGGGTATCGGTTGGGTTTTATCCGATACCAGTACCTACTCGGTATTTTTTAAACGGTTCCGGTGCCTAAACGGTTCTTGAAACGGTACTTAAGAAAACAAAACTAAACACACTTTATCAAAAAATAATACCCTTTTATTTACAGGGCCAAACTGGACACAACATTAACTTAAATCTTTAAACAATATAAATACAAATGATAATAAAACCAATATAAAATAAAAATTCACATTTACATAATATCAAATAAAACAATATTGTATCAAACAATGTAATAATACTGGAGATTAATAGAGATTACTAGCAGGCAGAGCTGCCTGCCAACTCTCACGCATTGACCGTGAGACTCACGCAATTGACCCTTTTCACACGCTCTCACGCCACACATCCATTTTCTCACGCAGAGAAAAATCGGCGGACAAAGAGGACACTGACACCGACAGACAAGGTTACTTTTGATATGGAACAAATCCACAGCAGATTCTGTCAATATTTTTATGAGATTCACACAATAAATAACGTTTTGGCTCTTTGAAATGTGACAGATCGCTGCGCGCGTCAGTTCAAACGGCACGTGATACAGCAGCCTACAAATCCACTGCTTCTTAGCTACGCAGCGTTGAGTGAACCTATGAAAGAGAACATCTCTGGTTACTGGTGTAACATATCTCTCAATAGGGAACGGGACGCTGCCAAGCTCCTCGCGTTGCCGACCAGCTTCCTTTTTCGGCAGAGAAATCTGAGGAGCAGATGGCGCGCGCCAACATAATATGACGACGTAAGTGCGTTGTGGCGGCGCCTGCGCCATCAGCCAATGTATTGGCTTGATTCTAAATGGATTCAGACTATCGGCACACCCAGATGGCGTTCTGACGCGTAATTTTACACGTGAAATGCAGCCAAACCTTGCGAGCAAGAGCGCGCATGCGAGACAGAAGAGACTGTGCGTGTGTGTGTGTGTGTGTGTGCGCCTAATTAAGTCAGGCACCGAAATCAGGCACCGAAATTGTCGTTCTTATTCGGTCTGGTTACTACCGTTTACGTCGGAACCGGTTCCCTATTGGCACCGAGTTTCGGTACCCAACTCTACCGAAGACCTACTACTTCCGTTGAGATTCTGAAGTGTGCATTCGATGGACACTTTACTATAGCATGAGCAAGGGAGAGGATTTATAAATGCCAGTGAAGCGACACAACTGACGCTGGTAGGTCACATGACAGTAACAACATGGCGGATGTACTTCCGAAATTAATTCATACTACTCATATTCATACTACATAAACGCACTTTTTTAACGGTCGCAAAGTAAGTTCAAATTCAAATGTAGTACCTACTCAGACAGTACGCTGTTTTGGATGCACCACCTGCCTTCTTTTTCATTGATCAGCGCTGCGGCTCTGCACTTGGATGGATACTATTATGCGCATCTTGTATTTTTGAAAAGCAAAAACACATTCTGTTTGATCATCACCAAAAAATTATCAAATTGAACAGATAGTGAAACATAAAAGCGATTCTCCTCATGCAGGGTGAATAAAGACGACGTTTAAAAATAATTTACGATGACTGACATCACAGAATTTACAGATTTTTTGGTGCTGACGTGTGAATGGTCTCTTAACAGTAAAAAAAAACTAAAACAAAAGGATGTCAAAATGTCTAAACAGCATATTTGTGTATTTACCGGTAAAGTCATTCTGGTCATTTTACGGTAATTTACTGGGATTTCTGTGTGAAAGGATCAGGTGTTTTCAGTTTTACAGGATGCCAGTATATTTTACAACTTATAACCATATATTTCTTTAAGTGATATAATGTTTATACACCTACTTTAACTACCAAAATCTGCATTTTTACCAATAACCACCACAATAGACCAGTAACAAGTTCATCATGAGAGGCCTGTTCATAAAACATGGTCAATACAATTATTTTCAATGTAAATAACAGAAATAGCAATGATTGTATGCTAGTAGGCTATTCAGTTATACATTTTAAAAAGTTGTATTTTTGTTGTTGCATTCCCTCTGAGATTGCTGTCACATGACCTTCAGCAAGTGGTGTTTAAAAAATAATTTATTTTTAAATCCAATTTTGAGTAAAAATGTCTTAAAAACAAAGTGTGCAATTTATGTTAAAATACTTGTCCCTATATAGAAAGGTTTTTATATATATATATAAAACTATAGGTAAACCATTCATGGGTTCTTTGAAAATATTAACTTTCAAAACAACAACAACAAAAAAACAGTTTATCCAATGACAGACAGGTGAGGAAACCTGTTTGAAGCAGTTATTTTCATGAAAAATTTACAAAAAAGATGTTAAAATTGCAGTGAGAATTGCTTACAATTCATTTATAACACTGATCACTGAACTTTATAACACTTAAAACACTGAACAGTGATTTTATTTAATATAGCAAACATACTAAATCCTGCAGAAATAGTGTTTGCATGTAATTGCAGGTTTCTAAGGTTTGCAGAACTCATGGTATTTGCTTATGCAATGGCATCACCTAGTATTTCGGGTTTCCTGTATGCGGATAAAATCAGGAAGTTACCTGTCCAAGACCAGATGGTGCAGTTTAGATAAACCCATAACACTGTCTGCACACCTGCAGAGTCTGCTAGTACTCAGAAATGCAGCGTTATTGTGCAACTACCCACGTGAGCTTTTAAAAACACTCTCAGAAGGATGTATATACTGACTGCACCGATATAGCATCAATATTTGATTGGTACACACAGTGAGGTGACCTCTACATTCACTGGCCGAAACAGACCTGCATGCTTTACTGCACAGCACACACTGTGTGTTTAAACAACCATCAGTGTGAATGCTCTGAACGCTGGGTAACATAAATATGTTATTACGAATAGCAGAGGCTTAACACCTAACACTCATGGGCATATAATTAATAAAT